AAATGAAAGAAATCTTCTGGAACCGACTTGGAAAAGAATACTGACGAAACGAGGTTCGGAACCGTTCAGAACCGTTCAAGAACCAGTGGAGAACCAACACAGATAAAATGGAACGAGAACCATACTTCGGTTCGGTCATGTTCGATGGTGTCGCAGTGTCCTAGAACCACTTTGGTAAGTACAGAGACAACCGTGAATAGCCGTGAATCAGAGCTACTAGTGACGTGAACTTCATCATCAGAAAGTAAAAAAAAAATGGTGGGAAACCGAAGCGATCCGGGCCTAGAACTTCGTCAGAGTAACGCTACTTGATGCAATGAATCACATCCCTAGCATATGATACACTCATTTCAAGTTACACAATGCACACACACCGGCGCCATCATTGATGATTTTATTTCAGTCCCGGCTCGCCGATTTCCACACATCGACTGTGTTAATATATGATGGGTCGTCTAAGAGATGACGATGTGTTGCCCAGTAAAAATATTTCGTCGACTGAACAGGAACTTGTGAACGCCCATCACCCCTGATAATCCCGCTGCCAGTGACTCGGAGTCTATTATGTACTGAGCCTATCATTGATCAGACAGGCCAGGAACACCGGACACAGGTACGCTAAGCTGCGTCAATCGGACTTACTCATGCTGGATTACACTTACTGGCAGCGGCTGATGATAATTAAACTGATCCTGGGAGTTGTGGGAGGGCAAGAAAAATATGAGCGAGCGAGATTATAGTGAAAACGAGCGAGCGGATTGTATGGTGTAGCGATGAAGGGATCCGAGAACAAGAAGGAAAGGACGTTGTGGTGCCGGATACTTCCGAGCACTCGGGAACCGGCACCTTTCTCATAGACGAAGCGTGCGCCGTCGATGTGAGCAAATAAGTCGGCTGATTATGTTGCAGCTACGTACGCTCAACAACTGCACATCATGTCAATAGGCCAGTATTGCCGAGGATTTTCTTTCTTGTTATTATTAAAAACCATTTAGTCTCTCGGGGCGTACCCTATGCCGACTAGTTATGGCAGGACTATGTAAGTAAGCTCCCATTGTTGTAAGTGATCCGTGGAAGCAACCACCGGGATTCCTGACTTTTCATTTCCGATGGAACTAAGCGTCTGTATGTCCGCATCGGTCTGGCCTCCACCATGGTACTTCTTTTACATACTATAATGGGTCTCAAAGTGAAATACAAAACTCACAAACAAATAAAAAACTTCGGCATCACTTGAAAATTTCGGCACCTTCAGACTCCGACAGAGCCAGTGCCAGTGCATACTCGGGAACATAATCGTTGCCGTTGCCGTCGTCGCCATCGTCGCCGTCGTCGCCGTCGTCGTCGTTGTAATCATCATGGCTGGGGTTGTAGTGGTCGTGGACGTGGATCTCGAGGTCGTCCGGCGAAGCGTGGTAGTCATGGGTTGGTCACCGAATCTTCTACTCCTCCAAGTGCTAGCCCACCAATCAGCGCAGGAGCAGGAGAGCGATCCAAACCACCTACCATACACTGGGACAAGAAAAATAGTCCACGCACCGCTCGCCTTATTGAATGGTGCAAAGTCAACCAGGAGGCTCGACTCAAAATCTTCTCAGATTCTACGAAGGACTGCAAAAGAGGAAGGGCTGCACACGCCAACAAATGACGACACAGAAGAATGCATACCTGCAGCAACTTGCGACAACCATTTTCCAACATGATGAAGATCCGAAGGTTAGGGAATACTTTAGAGCGCATCCCCTTGCCTTTACGAAGCCCATTCAAAGTCGGTTTACATCGTGAGTCCTGGTTATGACCACAACAAATATCAGTACCGATCTGGCCACTAACTAGCTACTTTACTAGGCTACGCAAAAAGTATAACGAAATCAACATGCAACTCGGCCAGACTGGTGCTGGTCTGTCTTTTGAGGCTATCAACGGAGATGAGAAGATGAAGAGCATACTTGGTTTGTACTTTCCTTTCTGATGCCAGCATACACTCTAAAGGTGTTCTAGACCGGCTCTTGGTGCCATTCCCATGGTGGGTTGATCTCCATGGGTGGTGGAGAACCAATCCCGCGTACAACACCTCATTTTCGACGGCTGATCCAGGCCAGGATTTTGCGGCCGAGGCCGCAAGTCTCTTTGGGACAGGCAAGGGCAAAGAGATCGCTCTGCCAATGGATGATGAAGACCATGTGGATGTGGATGAAGACCGTGCCGATATGGATGAAGACTGTGCAGATGTTGATGAAGACCGTGCGGATGTTGATGAAGACCGTGTGGGTGTCGATGAAGACCGTGCCAATGTCGAGGAAGGGATGAATCAGGGCGAGGATGACAATGTTCGTATGGACGATAATGATGTCCCCTCCACATCTTACAATGGCGAAGATCGGGACTGGCCTGACTGGGATAATCCAACCGATCCATCGTCACCACGGCTCACTCAGCCCGAGCCTCAGGCATCATCGTCCAACTCCTCACTCGTTATGCAGCCTCCCCCAGGTCTTCAACCACCAGTGTCTACCTACCAACGCCCATTCATATCCTCCATCAACACGAATTGTACAGTGCAGCGAGGCCCTACTATTTCTCTCAATTCTCCAGAACCTGATGACGGCCGGCGAAAATTTCCCTTACCATCCACCATTTCCTCAGGCAAGACCAAGGTCGCCGTCTCTCAAGACATGCAGATAGATCCCTCGTCTGATGACTCTGATGCAAGCACAAGCCGGATGATGAAATCCCTGACCATGCATTCACGCAAAACCGGTGGCGCTCGTCATCTTGGCCACACATCATCTGATCAGGATTCTGATCTTTCCTCAACTACATCTAGCAGATCTGTCTCTCGCAAGCGGCCACGTGATGCAGTATCCGAAATTAGTGCAAAGCTAAACGAGGCATCAGGGTCCCTTGCTAAGCACATCCAGGAGTCATCTATCGCCAAGGCTGAACACAAGCGCTTCAAGTTAGAGTCCAAGATGGCTGGTATGAAGCTCAAGGGCCGTCAACACCAAGAGGAGCGTGAACACATATTCCGCAGTACTACCGCAACTCAGAATCACGAGCGTGCTATGGCAGATGAACGGACGAAGCAACTTGAATTGGAGATAAAGCTAGAGCAAGTGAAGTTAGAGCGCTTGGCTTTGGAGAAGGAGATGTCTCGTCAGGGTAACTAACAGTCATGCATCCCACGTCAAATCATTTGGTGTTTTTCATTCGTTCTCACAAATTCATACTACATTTCTAGGCCCATTTTTTCATTGTAGCTAATCATGTATCCAAGTGTTTGAATTGAGCCCCCCTCGCTTTCCTTGCATCGCTCATTCAGATCTGCGCAATAGCTGACCCATCAGTGTGTCCCGAAAAATCTGCCCTTCTGAACCGATGAAGCTCTCATCTCCGGCACCGTCTTCGTTGTCTTCGCCATCTTCACCACCTTCTTCCTCCCTGCTATCTTCACATCTACCCCATTGTCTTGCTTCACGGGCAAAGTGCCCAAATGAATCATCAGCAGTAAGTTTTTCTTCGATTTCAATGATCATGTTATGAAGGATCAAACAGCACCGCGTCCACATATTTGCCTCGTCAAGATCTCGCTGCGTCTGTATTTGGATCCACAGTTCACGAAGGGACTGGAAGCGTCCCTTCAGTGAACCGTAACCGTGTTCAGAGCGAACACGGACCTGGAAACGTTGTGAGTTGATTGGTGTGTGACAACGGTTTGTCTTACCTTTGACAAATGATAGTTGAATGTTTTTTGATTACGGGTCAACCCGCCAGCTGCCGGCCGCTTAAAGGGCACGACACACCATGGACGAGAGCCATACGCTGTGTCTGCCCAAATCCACTCATTCCCGCTCAAAAAATTTTGGGGATTGCGCGCAACCCGGGCCTTCGAAAATGCGTTAGAGTCGTGCACACTCCCAGGAACTCCAATGACATAGTCGACAATGCGCAGGTTGTGTGGCATGATTACGACCTTTTGAACATGTGAGTTTGTTTTTTTTTCATTATAGTTCATGGCATACCTGAGCTGATAGTGAGTAGTTCGATTTGCGATCGTAAAAGCCCTCTCCGTGCCATCCGGGCTTTTGAAATAAGTTAAATGGTGTGCCGTCGACACAGAGAAAACCGCCCCTCCACTCTGGGCATGTTTGTTCTTCGACCCACGTCTTTGCCCTCTCCCTCTCGATCTGATCGTCCTCATAAAGTGGGTCGAAATGTATTACGGTGTCATGATGCTGAAGAAGCGCGATCATTACACGTCGGTGACAGTTATAAACTGTCCCTGTCGAGATGCCTGCCCATTCTGCTATGTCTTCCGTTGTCGCCGCATTTCCGTAATGACCTGCACTATTTAGGAACACTGCCAGCTGCACCGGGATAGGCAACTGTGGGTTATTGGAGTTGTTGTGGAACACTGGGTGGGCAATGATTAAATTAACAAGGTGCTCGAAGACAGGGGGATCTACGCGAAGTTTACGGCAAAATTTCTCGGGATGATCCAGCGCCCACTCCTCCAGCAGATGGAGCTGTGGTGCATGGCTCGATTTTGGACGTGCGAAGAGGACGCGACTCTTCTCGACTTCGTCGTGCAAGGCTTCGATCGTGTCACTGAATTCAGTGAAACTACGCGACATCGTTAGTATCTCGGTCGCAGAGGACGCCGACATCGAAAAAAGCGACTCGGTGACGGAGGAGGTGGACGATATGGATGACACATCCATCATGCTACGAGTATCATCCGAGTCTGGAGACTTGGATGATGAACTTGAACTACTACTACTATCCCACTCATCAAGTCCTTCGATTGCGGTCTTGGCTAGTTCCAGGTATCGAGCAAATTGTAAGTCTATTTGGTTGGTACGTAGTGCTTGTAGGATGTGTTCGCGAGCTGAGGTATGAGGCATTGTTCATCGTTATCGATTACCCCGCGATTGTACTTTGTATTTGTTATCTTATCAATTATGGCGGAGCTTCAATACGGCTTGAAGCCGTCATGTTTTAGATCTATATTTTTTTTTGTTGCTTTGATATTTTAACTTTGAGACCCACTATTGATTTCTTTGTGCAGGTCCAGCGGTACGGCAACCGTATCCGTCGACGGTTGCCGTACAAACCGTCTATGACGCCGACGGCGTGCAGCCCTATTCCCACCACGGCCGCTTTCGATGACTGACTTGTCAATCACATTCGTCCTTGGTGGAGAATATGCCTTCTTCATCTCTTCCCTGCGCGCGAGTGTACGAGTTCTCTTTCGAGCCGCCGTTGCTACACGGTCATACTGATGAGGTGAGTAGATTGGTATGATGCTCACATGCGTTCATAAACTATTCCAGGACTGCTCTTTTCCATTCCTCGATGGCATGCACGCACGAAGCATATCCAGATGCTGTCGTAGCCTTCGAAACTTGACCGAGTCGTACTTGCACTTCCGATTTCAACAGTGACCGATGAAGACTTAGGCAAGTTACCATACTCTGTTACGGCGATTGCAATAAAACTACATGGTTACATGTGGAATATACCTGCTCCAAGTGACTGCATCGTATGCGCCAGGAGGAAGTGATCGTAAGCTCAAGAACATAAGTACAATTACCGTAACACGTGAAAAAATGTATAAAATGCCGATAATCCCAATATTTATCCACAGAAAACTCCATCTTGAGCCGTACTTCGCAACCAAACAGAGTGATAACGCCGCTAACGTCGATGAACATGCTATCCCAATGGAAGCCATACGCCACAATATCCGCTCCGCGTGTCTCGGAAACAACACATTCCAGCCCAGGCAATGTAACCCTCCAAACATCATCCCACTGACACCTCCAATGATGAAGATCGTAGGCAACATTATAGGCCTTCCGCTGTGGGTGAGCAACAAATCCTTCAATGATGTGATAAATTCTTTTCTAGAATGCAGGCCGATCAGAACAAGTTCTGAATATTGGTGGCAATGACGTACTCAACGGCGAACGTGTCATGTAGTGGAGGAGCAGTTGAGTTCTTCCAATGAACAATATAAGGACGTCCTATGTTCTGAGGCTTATTCCACCAACAGCAATGGGTAGCGAAGGTCAGAGCGACTACAGCCAGGGTGTCAATCTCAAGCAGTGTTACCGGGAGCTTCTGAATGTAACGGGCGAAGAGCTGGATGGTGAACCACACCAGCTGAAGGGTGGCGACATCACCCTTACTTTGATCCATAATATCTGCCTCTGTGATGTCAGGAATATCTACAGCTCCCTCACGAATAAACGATATGAGTTCATCGGGCGCAAGAGTAGCTCGTGGAAAACCATCGATGTAGAGCATGAATCCACCCATCCACGTGAAGAATCCATGTGTTAATGTCCATTCTGTCAAGCCACAAGTTTCACGTTAGTTTCTCCCTGATTGAAGAGTCCAAATATGTAACTGACTTGGGTGTGAACTTTGGCCCTGCCATAAGCCAAATTGATCATTGAACTCCTGGCAAACTCGACGAGCACATAAAAACTGCCATGCGGCCCAGGCGAGTATGACTTCAGGGGCGATCAACGCAACAACCATGAGGAGTAGACGATGAAGGTTAATGGAAAATCTTGTCGCATGCGTATGTGGAATGTTTGGAAGGATGGCAGTCCATGTGCACGCAAACAAAGTTAAGCCACAGCTCGAGAGAATGTCCCACAAGGTTCTGGTGTTGCAGGATGGAGAGTTGCTGCCATTGGCATCGAGCGTAAGGATACAGGTATCGTTGAGACCCGGAGGTGAAGCCCGAACAAACGGAACACAGATGAGGACAGCGCAAAGTAAGAGGATCATCGTGAATTTGAGGGCATATTGTTTGTTCATTCTGCTCCCTTTTAATGGGTGCAGTTGCGTGTATTAATCCATGCATGATTGGGCCAGGTTCACACGTTGGCTCTCATACACATGTACAGGGCTCCACCCCACCGGACATTAAACAATGATCAAAAAAAGCCTTAAAGCCATCATACGTTCTGGTGTGGCAGGAAGCATGCAGAGTCGCTGGCCTTGCTGAATGTATGGATAATGGTGTCTGTTCATTCAGATCTGTTTTGAAGGGTTTAATAAGCCAGATTCAAGCGCTAGCGCTTATGCACAGGTGCATGCCTCGAGGCCATCATAATCACCGACGGCGCAGGAATCTAAATGTGCGGTGTTGCGATACATGTCCGATGTGGTAAGTCTGGCGATGAGATGCAAGATGTGCTGGGATAGTTTCATCATTGTCTAGCAGTATGGAATGCAGAGCACATCACTTATAGCCAGAGTGTCGATTTAAGCAAGGTTATCGGAAGGTTGAACGTAACGGACAACCAGCTGGACGACGAACCACGCAAGCTGAAGCATGGTGATACCGTTCGATAGTCCACCACCTTTAGTTTGATCATCTGCGCATGTCCAAATCCACCCATCCACGCGAAGAACCCATGGGTCATTGTCCATCCTATGAACGTGTCAGTTGCATGTTAGTCCTGACTGGCCCGGAAGAGTCTGAGCACGTAACTGACCTTTAAAACTCTGCCACAGATGGGAGCACTCGAACTTCCACTTGCGTCATCAATTTATCCATGGTAAGCCAGGTTCAAGCACCGGCGCTCATACACACGTGCACGCCTTGATATTACTGACGGCACAAGGAATCGAAATATATGTTTCGATCGGAGAGAGCTGACAATCGACTTTGGCTGTACCCAACATCTCGCGATCTCCTCCAGTGTGATGTATTTGAGGGCGTTGCAGGCGCACCACACAGGCTCACACAAACAGTCGTGACTAAATATACGACTCCCGACTAGTAGAATTGTGAGTGAACGACAGGAACAACAGTAGATTGAGACGTACACCAGTAATAGCATGCGTGACTTCAAAGTGTAGTCTTGGACTAGCTGCCATTGCAACACCGTCACTGGACATCCTGCGATACTTGCTAGGACTCATCATTTAGCACACGGCGACAAAATATAGAATCCGATGCATTTCATAGTGCAGATAATACAAAAACAGCTGAAAACGACGCGAACAAAGGGGCTGAACCATTCTATACGAGTCTGGCTGCACCCATTTCATGTGGGGGGTATGATCAAGAGTGTTGCCGGAACGGTTTGCGAGGTCAGGCTAATACAAGACGGACCACGGTGGAACCGTGACGTTGAAGATGCAATCTTCAGAACAGGCGGACTTTCAATTATTCCTTTCGCAGCACCCCCGAATTCTTTTTGCATGCAGAACTTCCTCGAATGCCTCCTCCGCCTTCATTAAAGCTTAAGGAGTGAATGTCATCATATTCTCACTGCAGCGCACCCACAAAGCTCATCGATCATCAGCCATGACGAGGTGCGGTTTATTGTTATTGACAGACTCACGAGTTATTTCAAAGATCGCAGACGGCCTTAGGAGCGTTAAGGAAACAAGGGATTGGTTGAATATGCGGATGTGTGTTATGTGTCCGTGTGGTGCGTGCCCATTTGCATGCAGTGAGGTCGAGGATGTTGCCTATGATGGGGAGGGGTTTTGGAGGTAGGAATATGCGAGGAGTGCGATGGCTAAGGAGTAAGGCACCTGTCAACGCCATTGATATTGGACGACTTCCGTTCAATCCATTCATCATCACATGCACATGCGGAGGCTTCGAACTTGGCTTTGAGGTGCGTATATTTGGAAGCGTGTTTGACTTACTGAGTGGAGAGCACCACGTGCAGGCAACATTGACCTCGTTATTGAAGCGATCCAATTTTAGTCTTTCTACTTGCATAATCCTATTTCATCGCCCTCCATGCACATGTCTAGAGTAGACTATAGCGCTGGATTGGTAGCACCGATGGAGATTCAACTTATATCTAACGCCAGACTCCTGCCAGCTACTACTACTTGAAAGCTTCAACAACCGGATAGCTATGCCATTTCGGAAACTTGAAATTATGATATTGCTCTCCGTTCTTGATGTCCGGTATGACTAGCTGCATTAATTACACAGGATCAAGCACGGCCCATACAGTGTTGTGATTAAATGTGGCATTAACTTGAAGTCTGACGTCTCCCTATTTTGTTTCTCATCATACGCATCTCTTCAAACTCAAATCTCGTGTTCCACCCCAGGCCTGACACAGAACTGCGCAAGACCTGATTCAACTATGGTGAATGGTTGGCCAAAAAACAACTCTACATCCCGTTCACGTGAGTCAATGCTGATTGGACCTTGGTGCTTGTCTGCATTTGGTCTGTTTGATTGTTCTTCACTATATAGACCCGCATGCAAATTGACCGACATATCTAGCCTTTACTTTTCAATCCATCTACCTCCGCATCCAAGTTACCTCGTTTCTGACAGACCGTTGGTACAAGCGTCATCCAAATGGGACTAGAAGACACTTGCACTTCGCCATTCAGATCATACGCACCACCCGGGAGGACAGCTTTGCCTGTGGGTTTCAATTATGAGTATCTTTATAAGGACCACTCAATTCATAAGTTCTTCATTATTGTACATCGCTTGACAATCCTAGCAGTGAACTCAATTTATATAGCCTACTCTCCGGTCTTGAAGTTCATCCGTTCCTCGGGATCCCGCTATCATGCAAGATCTATTGGAATTCGTGTGGTCTCTGAGTCATTTTCCGGTGTAGAGAATGAAACGACCTGCCGTATGTCTCTTCCCTAATGATTGCCCTTACCAGCGATAATTTTTTGTATTCAGAGTTTCAAGGGGACATCATTGCCACATATACTTTCCTCGCCTTGCATCGACTTCAACATCAACATTCTTTGTCAGAGCGTACCCCACATGATGTCATAATACCCAGTTTATGGATGGCTGGCGATGGCGATGAGGATGGTGTCCGGGATCGATTGTTATTTTGATCACTTGTCTACTCATCCCGAACGCCAGACTCGTCTCGCACTCTTCGCTACCCCTCAAGAACAGATGGCTGGCTTATCATTTTTCGATCAAAATGAGTGAGCTTTCTGTTCTTGATATTCGGTACGATTAGCGTGTATTGTCTTGTATTCGTGACCAGATTGCTCTCCAGAACTTGGGCCCCCATTGCAAGCAGTTTGCGTTGCTCGAGGCTTTGTGCCCTTTACAGTTTTGTGAGTTCGTCGTCCATTTCCCAATCGCCCTCTGTTGAAAACTCAATGAACCATACAGACCCCTTGCATCCACCGTTGGGACCCACGATCTGTCATTATTCGCGCGACTACCGTTGGATCGAAAATGAATGTCATTGAAACCAACCACTGTATGTCTCTCCTCTGTCGTCTTTTCTAGCAATAATTTTCCGTGTTTAGCGTTTCGAATCCCACCACAGATTTTTTATCGCCTTACATTCATCGACAAAGTGCATGTCATAAAGACCTGCTGGGTGTCTGACGACGACAATGGTGTTAAAAAGATACGAGTGTAGATATGCACTCCACCTCGTTTCCCAACACCAGATTCATCTCGTACCCTTCGCTACCGCTTCAAGAGCCGGTGGCTGGACCATTTGCTATTGCAAGTGATCCAGCTCTCGGTTCTTGATGTCTGGTATGATCAGCTTCAAGTTCTATTGACTTAAAGGTGACTCATGAGATATGGGTTTGGGATAATAAACGGCATTTATCTCCCCAATCTATCTCATCATATGCATGTGTCAACTTTCACGTCCCAGACTAAGTCAGATACCCTTGTCGATCACATTCGTCCAACATGCCTTCTTCATATCTTCCCTGCGCGTGAGTGCCCAAGTTCCCTTTCGAGCCGCTGTGGCTACACGGTTATACTGATGAAGTGAGTAGATTGATATGATGCTCACATGCGTTCATGAACTATTGCAGGACTGCTCTTTTTTCATCCCTCGATGGCATCCACACACGCAGCGTGTCCAGACGCTGTTGTGGCCACATTTTGATGGAACTGTTCACTGTTCACTCATATTCAGGTGGCAGCCTTTCGATAGATCGAGCGTCCTTGTATGGTATATAAGTGGAACGACGGCCTGTTAATTATCAGGTTTGAACTTGACCGAGTCGTACTCGCACTTCCGATTTCAACAGCGATCAATGAAGACTCAGTCAAGTTACCATACTTTGTTACAGCGATTGTAATGAAACTACAAATTTACATGTGGAATAAACTCGGTCCAAGCTATTGTATCGTATGCGCCAGGAGGAAGTGATCGTAAGCTCAGGAACATAAGTACAATTATTGAAATACGTGCAGGAAGGTAATAGATCATGACACATGTTGCAATTGTAATATATGGCAAACTGCGTATGAGTACGCGCAATATCACTCTCTGGACATCAATAAACCGCGATAGTGGTCCTTCCGAGTCCGATGTCTGTCTGCCGACCGACTCCAGGTGGCAGCCTTTCCGATGTCTGTCCATCGACAAAATCCAGTGGCAGGATTTCTGATGTCTGTCCATCGACCAACTCCGGTGGCAGGATTTCCGATGTCTGTCTGTTGATCAATTCCAACCGCAAAAGCCTTTCCAGAGAATTTGAAATCGTAGGTATCTGAAAAGAGCTCAAAATCCCCAAAAATGTATATGGTATCCCAATGGAATCCACACGCCACAATATCTGCTCTGCGTGTCTAGGAAACAAGAAATTCCAGCCCAGGCAATGTATCGCTCCAAATACCATCCCACTGGTGCACCCAATGATGATTGTGATCTTTTCCCGAGTCAGGGCCATCAGACTGTTGGGCCCTGTAGTTGAATAGTAGCATTAGGCTTGATAATGTGCCATGTCCTTTGCTAAATAGAATGCAGGCAAATCAGAACAAGTTCTGCCAGGAATATTGATGACAATGACGTACTCGCTGTCTAAGCTGTCAGGTAGTGGAGTAGTTGGATCCTTCCAATGAACAATATAAGGAAGTCGTACGTCCTTCGGCTTATCCAACCACAAGCCATAAGAAATGCAGGTCATAGCAGCTACACCCAGGGTGTCGATTTCAAGTAGTGTTACCGGGAGCTTCTGGATGTAACGGGCGATGAGTTGGATGACGAACCACACCAGCTGAAGAATGGCGACCCATTTGGATAGCAGATCGCTCTTGCTTCGATCTTTTATCTCTGCCTCCGTGATGGCAGGCATCTCCACGAGTTTATCATCAACAAACTGCATGAGTTCATCGGGTGTAAGAGTGCCTCGTGGCCGACCATCGACATAGAGCATGAATCCACCCATCCAGGCAAAGAACCCGTGCGTCTCTGTCCATCCTGTCAAGGCATCAGTTTCATGTTAGTTTCTTCCTTTCTGAAGAGTCCGAGTAAGTAACTGACCATCCTCTAAACTTTTGCTTCCACCAATTAACATATTTACCAGCTTCTGCCATATGGCGCGCCAGTAGCCGCAGGGCTGGGCTCGCTTCAAACTGAATTTTTCATTGAAGGCTTTCGCAACTTGGCGAGCATGTAAAAACTGCCATGCGGCCCAGGCGACCACGAATTCAGGGGCCAGAAACGCCGTAAGCATGAGGACTAGACGACGAAAGACAGTATCAAGTATACTCTCATCCTTATCCGGAATGTCCAGATGGATGGCAGTCCATGTGCTTGCAAACAAAGTTAAGCCACAACTCGAGATAATATCCCACAAGGTCCTGGTGTTGCAGGATGGACAGTCACTGGCATCGAGTGTAAGGATATGGGTATCGTTGAGACCTGGGAGTGAAGCGCGAACAAACGGAATGCAGAAGAGGACAGCGCAGAGCAGGAGGGCCATGGTAAATTTGAGGGCATAGCGTCTGTTCATTCTGCTCCCTTTTGAAGGGTTACCATTGTGTTGACTCATGCATGATAAGCCGGATTCAAGCGCTGGCGTTCATGCACCCGTGCATGCCTCAAGGCCACCATAGTCGGAATCTAAATTTACCGTGTCATTGCATCAAAGCGCCAAGTCTGACAATGATAGATAAGCGGGAGTAAGCTCCCCCGTGAACCGGACTATAGCCGACATAAGGTCTTCGACCCCAAAGGACTTTTTTTTTAAAAAAAAAAACTGACGATGAGATTCGAGACATACATTCATTTGCCCAGCTTGGATAGTATAATCATCGTCTAGCCGTACTGAATGCAGGTCAGAGCGATTACAGCCAGAGTGTCGATTTCAAGCAAGGTTATTGGAGTGTTCTGGGCGTAATGGGCAACGAGCTGGACAACGAACTAAACCAGCTGAAGCATGGCGATGCCATTCGATACTCAATCACTTCTATCTCCGAGTCCGCCTCCGATAACAGCTATGTCCATGAATCTGAGCTTCGGAAGCGCCGAAGTTCATCGGAAGTAATAGTGGCCCTTGACCTTGAATGGCTTGCCGTTGACGTGGAGTATGAATCTACCATCCATGCGAAGAACCCATGGGACATTGTCCATCCTATGAAATATCGGTTGCATCCCAGTCCTGCCTGACAGAAGAGTCTGAGCATGTAACTGACCTTTGAACTTTGCCGCAGGTATATGAGCGCTCGAACTTCCACTTGTGTCAAACTTGTGTGATCAATTTATCCATAGTAAGCTTCAAGCGCTGGCGCTCAAACACACGTGCATGCATCGATATCACTGACGGCACAGGGAATTGAAATACATGTTTCAATCGAAGAGAGCTGACAATAGACTCTGGTTGTACCCGCCGTCTCGCGGTCTCCTTGAGTGTGACGTAGTTGAGAGCGTTACAGGCACACCACACAGGCTCACACAAACAGTCGTGACTAAATTTACGACTCCTCGACTAGCAGAATTGTGAGTAAACAACAGGAACAACAGTAGATTGAGACGTACACCAGTATTACCATGCGTGACTGCATGAGTGATATTGGACTAGCTTGCTATTGCAACACCGTCACTGGACACAAAGCATCCTGTGATACTTGCTAGGACTCATCATTTAGCACACTGCAACAAATTGTAGAATCCGATGCATTTCATAGTGCAGATGATACAAAAACCGCTGAAAACGACGCAAACAAAGGGGCCAAACTATTCTATATGAGTCTGGTTGCACCCTGGAGAGCATGATCGAAAGTGTTGCGAAAATGGTTTGCGAGACTATGACAGGTCGAATGCAAGACGGCAGTGGGACGTTGTCTTCAGAACAAGCGGACTTCCAATCATCCATTTCTTCACAGTAGACCCGAGTTCTGTTTACAAGTACAACACGTGCGCAAATACTTTATTATTCACTTTGCGGCACCGGCCTTCATCCATTTCTCAATCAGCAGCGAACTGCATATTATTCTATCAACAACAGCACCAATAGGAAAGTGGAAACATAACTCACCAGTGTCACATTACTACGTACAAATTTACCGGCCTCCTCATTGGTGCTCAAGGAGTATAGCACACTTTAGTACCTTGAGTCTGATATTACAAGGCGCAAAAGGTGAGTCATCCAGTGGAAATTTGATGCAAAGCAAACTACTCCTACTTACAATTGGAACGCAGGACATCTGTTTGTCGCAGCAGTCATTGTATGTGGTGCAACTCTCTCCCTCTCCCTGACACGCACTGACAGACATTATAGATATTGTCAGTGCAACAATAACGGTGAGGAAGGAGAAGCGCATTGTTCGTGCGAGGTGGTGTGAACTGCTGAGACACTCGAAAAATTTCTTTGGAGTGAAGTGGACGGTAGGAAGATGACTTGCTCTTATACTCACAAAAAATGTGGTTTAGGCAGAACCTATCCCCCCCGGTCACCACGCGAGAAGCTGAGCTAGTGACTCCTGCCTAGTACTTGCCAGAACTGTTATGGCGTCGTATGTCACAACTTTGTTTGAAAGTAGGGCCCACGGTAACGTAGTCCCACAGTTGCTCTCATGTTGATGAATAGACTTCGTTTCAGCTCATTTACTTCTGGAGCTGGAGAGAGACAAGTACGCACCTCCTTCACTCGTTTGCTTGTGCAGTTAGAGAGTTGGAAGTGCAGACCTGCTGTCGAGGTGCTTGTGCGAGGTCGCAGCCTGCGCTATTCAACACTTCGAGCTTGAGTACTGACCTTCGGGCTGATCTAGCGATACGAAAATAGTCGTAACCTGCCGTGTATATTGTACTTGTGTTCCTGATGAGGGCAGTGGTATTGTACCTCGATTCAACTAGCGTCTGATTCCATTCTTAGGATTGTCAGAACGAAGCCTCAGTTGACGGTGGTAAGGCAGACTTCAAGGCGATTGTTAGTAATTCGTGGCGACAAACTAAAGACAGCTCCGCGACTAGTCTGGTTTCTCTAGGATATTTCGGCCTGATGAACTGATGGCTTTGCGAATATCCTATTCATCAGTCCGATTTGATTGCAGAGCCGCAGTAATTCTATTCAGTTCATCCTTCTGTCGACGTCAGGCCAAGTACTTGGAATTTATATGTGCATGAATTATACACAATCAATCGTGGTATCACAGTATACAGCCTTGAAACAGTCTGGGATCGACTACCACGTCGAGGAAAGGAATGAGGGCAACGTATTCCGCTAGCTCCACATCTGACATTGTTGCCAACCAGTCTCTCCAGGGATCACTTTGACCGTGCCAAAAATGCCTCCAACAATTCATGGGGACTCGATACTCGGTAACTTCTGAAACTGAAGTGAGCTTCCAGCACGCGCAAATTGGGCATCGAGATAACACCGAATAGGTCGATAAAGAGTGTACAGAGTCTTCTTCCATTTCACACTCATGCTGGTAATTAAGAGCCATATCGAAGATTCGACGAGGTGGGTTCCTAGGCAGCAGCTGTTGTGTGTGTGGGTATGTTTTGGTTAGTTTTGGATTTGGGATGGATGAGTTGGATTATAGGAATGAGAAAATGTAAAGAGATGATGAACGATGAACGGAACAAGAAGATGGTGGGATGTCACGATGATAATATGCAATCAAAATCAAAAATTCACTCACCACCTCCCAAATCCAAACGCAAACGCTCTGGGATATCTTTCCTTCCCAGCCTCCTCCCCACCCCCATCACACCCATGATCGCATCCGCCAACTACCCCCCAGGCTCAAACACCTCCGGATCTTGATACAACCCAGGATCATGCATAATAGCCCATATATTCCCGAATACGAGAGATCCTTGTGGGATGTGCATGCCTTAGTAGGCGTCTGCTTGCGTTAGTCTATGTGGAGGCCTGGCGTGCGCGGGGTGGCGTTGTGGATAGGCGATGTGATGGATGGATGAGTTGAGAGGCGAAAGAAGATGTTGATCAACCCTAACTCACCCACACGAAGCAGAATACTCACTGAGCGGGACAGGCACACCCCATCTAAGCGTCTCCGTGAACACCGCATTGGATGTATCATTGTGCCTAAAATGCAACATCTTTACTTAGCCATCCATATGTGCAGTCTCGATGTGTTTCAATTACAGATGCGTTCCCAGTCCCGCCGGAGGGGTGACTCATATCGGAATGTTAGTAATAGTAACTGGTCAGCGTTAGCCTGGGATTGTGAGACGGCGCGGCCATGTATGGTGATCTCGCGTTAGCCATAGAAATGGAAGAACTGAGCCGATGTGTTAGTTCGTATCATCCACTTCGAAATATGGCAATGAGACATACATATTCTGGATGGCTCCTCCGAAACTACAAAAGAGGAACAGCATGCTAATATAACCATGCGGTTCTATGCACTACACGGCAGATGGTTGTCGATGGATGTCTTGGGACTCGGGAGCTTGGCTAACCTTTGCACGTGCACGCGTCCATTGGACGTTTCTTCATCGGGTCCGAGGCTCCTGAAAAGTATATGCATATACGATGAGCGCACCGTATCTATAGGTCATTGTTTCGTTGAGTACATGTACGTATGTCCTTGTGGTGTGTTTTCGACATATCGGAGGGTGATCGGTTTGAATTTTACTGTCATCACTGTGCTGCCAGGTCGAAGGCTTAAGCATACTCGCACCTGCATTGACAATATTTAGACAAACATTAAAATTGACAAACCGAATGAACACGCTATCACATTAATGTACTGTGAGTGACAACTTACAAGTGTGCAAACAGCTCAAGTTTCAAAAAGGGACGTTGCGGCAAATACCGCAGTAGTGGCGCAGCATTTTCCTAGTCCCCGTGCCAGTCAGTTCTACGCGAAAAACGACTGAAGGGCTCTGCATCCATTAGCAGGTGTCCATCACGCATCCTCACTTTGGCCATTGAGCCAGTAAATGCATATAGTCCGGCCGTGCACCCTCGGATTCGATAGCAGAATCACACCTAGTATTTTCCCTGCTCCAAGCAACATATCCTCCGTCTCAAGTCCCAACTACAACTCAGCCTGAGTGCATTCAAACGTGTTTACCCTGCCAAAGTGACCTGTATCGATCACAATTCCCCGTCGAACTCATCGCCAGCCTTACGACAAGATGGTCTTGTAGCCGTCGATCGTCCTTATTCTAGCATTTCATGTTTGTGGCTGGATCGAAGATGATGTACTATTTTCAAGCAGTTCTGCCGGTGTGCCAGGTGGCAGAATGAATGAAAAATTTTGACGGCATTTCAATCGATGCGAGGCAACGATCCTCCTGGGCATCGTGAAAATGCTGTGGTGCTCCCAGACGGTGAGTGCGTGCGCATCGACTAAACTTACTGCCAGTCACTGAAACCTCCCAATCCTTGTCCTCCAAACGAGCCATGGAGTCGAGCGTGCGCAGCCGTTATGGCTACATGGAGATACTGACGAGATGAGTAGATTAGTATGATACTCACATGCGTTCATAAAATATTTCAGGGCTACCCTTTTCCATCCCTCAATGGCATGCACACACGCAACGTATTCCAGACGCTGTCGAACTCTCGCAGGTGGATGGCGTTAGGCGCGCCGGTCGAGGTGGACTTTGGAGGGATTGTGGGTATCTTGCTCTAAGCTACAGAGGTGCGTGTTTTGTACGTTTTATGCTGCTTCACTGCGTCAACCTGTTTGTTTCCATAGATGTCCAGGCACGAACCCTCCAGCCATACCCGCCGTCCTAGATACCGTAGGCCCCCAGAGCCTCTGCAGTGCATACATGCGGCCGAATCTTGTCTTCAAAGCCTCCAGAATGTATCCCATCCCATCAAGCGAGCAGTTGGTGCTTCCCAGCGCCTGAATCTATTCTACACGACACCATATTCGAGCGCTCTGCTCATGATTCAGCTCTAATTTGAACGTCGCGCACTCCCGGTCAAACTGGTTTTAGCTCATTTGCCAATACCCTCCCAAGTCCATCATCCTTCAAACCTCTGGCAAGCTCTCATTGCAGATGCCACGAGCCACGCGTTCAAAGGTGAAGTTCTCGAGCCATTCAGTTCCTCAATAGACACCTTTCTAAATCATTATCTAGGTTACTAGCGATACATGGAACAGATTCGTCTGCGAAGGACGGCTTTATTAGATTCCCGTACAGTCCGAATTTTCTACAATGTTCAATCCGAGTCACTGTCCACCATGTTTTCGGGTCGCTGTCCATGTTTCGAGCTCTTTTTGTACCCTTTCTGTACCCTCCGTTACCCGCAATATTATTTAAGCATATCTGCGCATCAGTTTCACCGGGCAGCGCTGAACGTTTGAATTCTAGTATCAATGTTTGTACTTTGAAAAATTTATGGTTTGGTTCGCGTTCGGACCAGAAAAAACCCGAACCGGACCACGGCAGCACTACTTGAAGTTTGAACAATAGGAAGGTGATACATACAGGACAGAGAGTTGATGTATTACGGTCTATGTGATACGTAGGAGATACATCATAGTCTATGGACCACAGGCTCTGATATAACATCAGCCTTCTACAATGTTAGATATTGATATATTATACCTACAGGGTATTTTGGTAGTTGACTGGCACACATGAATATCACTCGTCTGATATTGCGAGGCCCAAAGGGTGAGTCATCATCAAGTGAAAGCAAAATACTCCTACTTACCAGGGTAACGCAGAACGGCACTTCTTGGCAGCAGTCACTGGCCTTGGTGCAAAGCTGGCCATCATGCGTGCACGCACTGACAGACATCATAGTTGTTGTCAGCGCAACAATAACGGTGAGGAACTTGCCGGAGAAAAGCATTGTTTATGCGAGGGATGAACTGTTGAGGTGCTCTACAAACGGGACTGAGGAAAGTGACTTGCTCTTATAATACTCGGGAAAAATAACTTAGCCTAGATCCTGTTTGGCATAGTGATTTAGGTAGAACCAGTGTTGTAGGGAGAACTGCTGTGAAGCAGTTCTCCCGGCAGAACTTGGTGGAACCATGTTCTACCAGCGTGGCAGGCAGATGACCCCGACGAGGATGGTGTTCGGGGTCGCTTGTCATTTTGATCATTTGTCTGCTCATCCCGAACGCCAGGCTCGTCTCACTTTTCACTACCCCTCAAGAATCGATAGCTGGCTCATTAGCGTGCGGTGTCTCGCCTTTGGTTCAAACTTTGGGTCTCTATGGCAATAGATCTGCGTTGCTAGAGGCTTTGTGCCCTTTACAGTTTTGTGAGTTCGTCGTCCCTTTCTCGACCGTCCTATGTAAAAAACTCGATGAACCATACAGACCCATCGCTTGAAACCGCCCATTCGTGCTACGATTAGTTCATCGACTATTCGTTCTTCACGCTTCAATCAATAGAAAATACTATGTTGGGACTTACAGCAGCCAGTCAAAGCGGGAATGGTGAAATCAGAGGAGTCCCCGAAGTTCTTGTCATTAAGGCCCAAGCTCTAGTGCGCTATGTTTTGTTCTCTGAACCTTTCTTGATCTCTTCCACTAATGAAAATTCGAAATTTACATGCGTCAATTGTTGTAACATGATAGGAAATACAATGAGATTTCAAGATACTACACGTGCATTAGGCTCAAACCTGCACCCTGCTAAATGTCATTTCTCTAGCTCACATCCTGTGGCCGAGGTTGACGTGGACAGCCTTCACTGATGTGTAACTGAGAGCATATGAGTATGTGCTGATATACCATGGACGCAACACTCACTTAGTTAGGGCATAGTCGCCACACTCACGACCGATACCGCTCTGCTTGAAACCGCCGAATGGTACATTGGAGTTGAATGAGTTAAAGCAGTTAATCCATGCAGTTCCAGCCCTGAGTCTGTGCGCGGTGTTGATAGCGCGGTTCAGGTTCTGGGTGAAAACAGCCGCAGCAAGACCGTAGGACGTGTCATTTGCCTGCTTGATCACATCTTCCTCATCCTTGAACTTGATGAGAACACAAACAGGACCGAAAATCTCCTCTTGGACGATCTTCATCGATGGGTCAACATTGGTGAAGATGGTGGGCTTGATGAAATAACCCTCGCTTCCATGACGCTCACCACCAATCTCAACCTTGGCACCAGCTGCCTTTCCGGACTCAATGTAAGACATGATACGCTGGAACGTGCATTAGACAGAGAGACTGTTACGGAAGTGTTTCACGACGTACGTTGAATTGAATCTCTGAGACCTGAGGACCCTGGAAAGTGTCAGGGGCAAATGGGTCGCCGACCTTGAGCGACCGAGTTTTCTCCATGAAGCGCTTGAAGAATTCGTCATAGATGCCTTCTTGCACGTAGATACGCGAACCTGCGGTACATATCTGACCGTGGTTCCAGCTGGTGGGTGAAATATAAGTGTAGTTCGCATGACAGCACCTTATACTCACAAGATACCAAATGCAGCCCAGTTGACAGCTTGTTCGATGTCTGCATCATCAAAGATTATGTTTGGACTTTTTCCGCCAAGCTCGAGGGTGACGTTCTTGAGATTGCTCTTCGCAGCAGCCTCCATGATCTTGCGACCAACAAGAGTTGAGCCAGTGAAGGCGACTTTCTCTATCTTCATATGCGAAGAGATGGCATTACCGACAGTGTTTCCATAACCAGTGACGACGTTGACTACTCCAGGCGGGAAGCCAGCCTCATTGATAAGGTGGCACATTCGGATGGCAGTCAAGGGTGTGAATTCTGAAGGTTTGAGAACGACAGTGTTGCCGCATGCAAGAGCAGGACCAATTTTCCAGGTCATCATGAGCACTGCGAAGCGAAGAGTGAGTGCATGACACCTCAAGCGACTAATATGTACGCACATGGGAAATTCCATGGGATGATTTGACCCTATTAGACGGATATAAGAGGAAGATTTGGGAGCTGAGATAGGTGCGCTTACAACGACACCAATGGGCTCGTGGCGACTGTAGGTGAGCTTGTCCTCGGTGGTCTGCGTAATTGTCAGCAAATGAGCGAAGTTGATTGTTGGAAAGCTTCAGACCTCTTGTACTTGACCAGTAATTTTATCAGCCCAACCAGCATAGTAGCGAATACAATCGATGGAACCAGCAACATCGACATTTCTTGCCCAATTGAAAGTCTTGCCTGGCGATTATTGGTTAACGATTCAGATGCCTGCTAATTGGTCCGGATGCTAACCATTGTCCAATGCCTCCAGAGCAGCCAGCTCGTCGGCATTTTTCTCCATGAGTGCAACAAGCTTTGACATCAAAATGCTACGCTGAGCACCGGGCGCATGAAGACCCCAGGTGGTGTCGAAGGCTGTCTGCGCAACGTCGACGGCAAGGTCGACATCCTTGGGCGTACCCTCGGACACTGATGTTGTTACCTTTCCATTTGCTGTGCATCGAGTTCATGTAAGATGATGAATATCAACGTCAACAGAACGTACTTGGGTTGATGACACTAAATTTATTGAGATAAGTAAGAAGTGATCGATTAGCGACAAGTGTAGATCATACTCAATGGTGGTATTGTCTGATCCATCCAGGAACTGGCCGTTAATGAAGAGACCGGTGTTAAAGGACACCTTTCCCTTGAAAGCAGGCGCGTTGAATTCGTGAGTGAATGTAGATGGCATAGCGACAATGGATTGATATCTCGCAAGTTGTGTATATATAGGAGCGGAGTGTCATCACAAACACTGCCATGGGCTATCATTGGTTGGTATCTGCCAATGGCTCGGTATTTGCAAATTCGTTGCAGCATCTCCGTGCCTTAGGGAAGCTCATGTGCGCTAGAACGGAGAGACTAACTCAGCGGGAGTATGAATCAACGCTATGACATTAAGTAGTACCCAAAAGTTAACGGAGAGACTAGCTAGGGTGTAATGTCAGCGTCTGTAACTATACCAGATGCAATGTCAAACATACCTCAGCAGCGCTCAGCTGCGGGAGTACTGTGATTCAAACGTTAATCAAGGTTGCGAACAAACTGGCCATATTGAGGTTGGGCGGGGATGCTAATTTTAGATTAATGGAGGACCCTGCTTCCACTTCTATCCACCCATCAAGAAGCGCCAAGCGCGTCCATGTGAGCACAATCTAGAGGCGCACGCAGTGAGATTGTCACAGCAAGTAAGGCTAATGCTGTTTAAAAATATTTGCGCCCTTGAATGGCAGATGAACGGCCATCACAAAGAACTAGCTCAAGCGCTCGCATCTGAGACACGGTACCCAGTCACCACTTCCTGATTCCTCTATCGCTCGCCTCCGCGACGTTTGGGACTTTACCTGCCATCTTTGCACCCCCATTCCTCGCCATCCCAATCTGACTACCAATGTGAATGAAACCAGCCTCCAGATGCATCAAGCACATGCGCTCTATCATTTTTGACGCCAATTTGTCGCGTTCTCACTTCTTAATCTCGTGTGCCAACAAAAGGTGTGGTTTCGGATCGTGTATGTCGCACTCTCTTCTCATTTTTTTTTGTAATTCAACTGATTTATTCTCTCTTAGGCGTGCAAAGGACAAGGCTCTTCGTAAAAGAGTTCAGGACTCGACTCAGCAGGATTCTCCTTCTGCTCACTCTCCTCTAAGGTCTCAGTCTTCCAGGGACACCTCCTCCAATGACTTCCAATTCTTCCACCCCCACGGGAAAACTCACGGACCCTGCAGAGGCCGATCAACCGCCTTCATCAGAGCCACACCCGGTGGAGCGGTAGTTTATAGCTGAAAGTCCTCACGAAGTTTTCCTTCTCTCTTCCTGTGCCCCGTAACCTGGGCCACCCCTGCCGAAATTCACCCTTATGTTGGTCCTTTACAAGCAGACTCGACTTGGCGGGACAATAACGACCTTCTGAACGCACGCAGAGGGTCGCTGCTAATCACCATGTTCATGCCAAGTGCAGATGCCAACCAGCCGTCTACCCACTTCCCAAATAGACGCAGATCTTGACGTCAATCTTCTTAGGTTCATACATCATTTGTTCGCATGCGTTGCAGAGCAGAAGAATGATGCAATCTTTTTCAGGCCGCCCATATCTCCTGCAGGATCAGGTCAGTCCATGGCCCGTCCACCGTCCGACCTCAGTGGGCCAAGCATACATGCGACAAGTTACGGCTCTTCTGCTTCCTACAGCCCTTACCCCCGCCGTTCTTTGGCTCAGAGCGCCATGTCTTTACGCATTCTCGCTCCTCCCTTGTACCGGAGATTCGTCCATCGTTTCCGTCCTCACATGTGCCACGCCGGCTCTTGGTCAACCGCTTTACAATGAGCTCCAGAGCGCTTCCGTTTCCTGTTCCTGGACCCCTACCAAATCCTGATTTCCAGTTTGGCGCTTCGACATCTGCGTCGCCTCCACATGTCTCACCGGATGCAGAATCCCCTGGGAATGTGCACACATGGGCGTTTCCTCGTAATGAGGCAGATCAGGACACGGAGGACTCATACAGTTCAACTTGGCACGCTGCGCTTTTATGATCAATATGTTCGTTCCTTGATTTTTTTTTACATTACAGTACATCCAACTTCGAGATACGCATGTCCGGTCTGAACATACAGTCTAGCCAGAGATCGCCCGTCTTCGTTTGCTTACCAACACAGGGAACACAGGAACCAGGTGCTCTTCCCCTGCTTACACTGTTTCACCCGTGGAAGTACGCACCCTGGATACGGCAAAGAACCCTGGCTCTTCGGGTCTACGAACGAGCGAGGCTTCGTTTCGGTACAATCCTGTAATTAGACGTTTTACCTCGAATGTTTCTGACGAGATACTGACGTAGTTCCCGCCTGAAACTAGGGCCAACACCTATCTGGGTCCCACGGAGCCTGCCATAGCAACCCGCAAGCCCAGTATACCTACCATCCAAGGAGTGCCGCACAGTCATATCCAGAACAATATCGATATAGCTCCTCATACCAACGTCCGTAGAAACGACGTCCTCGTTCAACGCATACCATTTCGCCCAGAATCCAACCAATACTCCTACACATGATACTATCCGTCATTCCCGCAGGACAGCACGTTTCCCTACACAGATGTCTCATACGGCCAACTCGGGTTGCAGTATCCAACAGAGAGCACGTTTTCGTGTAGCTCTGCTCCGTCTGCTAATATTGGAATCGTCGGGGGTATGAACTCGTATGTGTTGCCTCCGGCTTTGCTGTGCCTCCTGCAAATAGGGTGGGGCATGGTGAGGAACAGTTCAGTACATATAGCTGAGGCAGCCGTCGAGTTTCCTAGACCGTCGTCCGTCTCATACCATTCTCATCGTCCGTCCGTCTGGAATTCGCATGTACCCATATTTTACTATTGTCTTCGCTCGCTGCTGTCATTCAGTGGTTGCTGCAAACTAATTTGGTTGTGGTCTTATGGGCTTTTTTTCGAACCTGTCGTTTCGTCTTGCTTGAGGATGACGAGTTGATGGCACTGATTTTTGCACATGCCCTCGAGCTTTTGGCCCAGGACCGTGTTTCTTGAGGTGCTTCGCAATGACCTATCAGGTCTGATACATAGATCCATCTTTATGGCGCGAACATTGAGCACAATAACAGTGCAACACATTGTTCGTCTGGTATCATGCTCCGTATCCAACGTTGTCAGTTGTATGAAGGGTCTGGGACAGTAGTATGGCGGTGGATATACGTGAAGCAATTTTCAGACGCGTCAGACACTGGCACGTTCGAATGTCAATCCTCACGTGAATCAAAGTCAAGATCACAGAAAATATAAAGGTTGAGCAAAAGCGGCCCAAGTTGGGAACAATAATTTATAAAAGTTCGACCAGCTTCACAAAGCCCCTAAACGATTAGAAGCTCCTGTGCGACGATGGTAAAAGAGCCTTACATACAAGGAGGTCGCCTCCAACTGCAGATATCTCTATTCAACGACGAGAAATCCTCGTTCATATGCACTGCTCTCATCCGCAAGGCATTTACCCCTTTCACAAAATGCCAGGTCTTACTCGTCGAAATCGAGGATGTCCCTGTCAGAGCTGGCTTCCCCAATCCACTAATAGCGAAAATATTCGACCCTCGTTTCAACTACGAGCGCACAAACCCACTCCCAAGACAATGTCCCATCCCTTGGTCTGCTGCGAATGAAAAGGCCGCAGCTGACCGTCGTGCACTCGCACCGGGCGACAACTATAGCAGAGTCCCTCAGTGGGAGAGAGAGTTTTTGGACGGTTCATTGTGGGAAGAAACCTATTACTGCGAGTATGAGGATTTGTTTGCACGTGAAGTCGAATCCTACAGACGCCTTGGACACCTTCAAGACTCTACCATCCCCCGGCTCTATGGTTCTGGTCGAGTCGTTTCAGGCCACGGTGAAGGTCGCGCCATATCTCCACGGGTGCTTTTCATGGAATACATCCCAGGCGAGAACCTCGCAAACACCCAAGACCCCCATTCAGTCCCTAGTTCAGCATACCAGGAACTCGTGAAGGCCGTGAGCACCCTCGCGTCTTTCGGTATCATCCATACGAATATGCGTCCAAGCAACATTGTCGTATCCAACAATCACCCTAGACGAGTGGTGCTCATCGACTTTGGGTTGTGTGTATTTCGTTCTGACGAACCTGATAACAACTGGAAAGAGGCTGTCATGTGCGAAGGGGGATGAGAGGCAACTCCAGCGCTATATGGAAATGTTAGGCATTTGGCGCAAGGAATGGTACGCATAATGTTCGGGAGAACGTAGGTTGGCTTAATATTCCAGATTTTAAGACATGGTCTAACTGTCCACGAACTTTTCATAGGCGTAGCGTGGTCATAAACCGACTCGGGGAAACCAGTCACGGTCAATGCCTTCATGACAAGCTGATTCGCCAAATTATGATCATATGGTAGAAAGGAGCTCTGAACCGTTGAACGAGACCCACACGATGTGGCAGGATTAGCGCTGGAAGTCAGAGAGGCAAATATTTATTTAGTCCGATGGGGTTTTCTTGGAACGTACTTAAACTAGGCAAAGCCGAGCATCGCCGGCAGCAACCTTGCTACACAAACATTGTATGCTTCAAGTTATCGATGCATTTCGGGAACTCATCTGCATTTCCTAAGTCTCACATCCTCCAGACTCTAGATGAGTCGGGGGTACGTGCGTAACTCGCTGGATCTATAGTCAATCTAGAGCAGTGGTCCCACCAAGCTAGGCAGTTGTCCATAGTTTGCGCGGCTTCAGACGGGCCAAATGAAGAGTAAGTTGTGGGTGAGACACGAGAAAGTAGTGAACCGGTCTTGGTGCCCTGTAGGATATGATGGGTTTGGTTAGCGGGGATGTTAGTATGCATTGTGTATGCGTTGAAAAGGGGCGGTTGTACTAAAGGAAGAAACGGGGGAGGAGAACGAGACAAGAGAGGGATAAGAAATGCAAGACCACGATCCGCAAGAAAGATATCAAAAGCGAATTCCAAAAACTTAGAACGAAGACGCACGGTATGTAAACGAAAGCAAAAGTCCCCGCATCCTCCAATCGTCTCTGCCTCTTAGTGGAGGTCGATGTGGTGCACCACTCGACGAAAACGAACGCAAGTAGAAACGACCGAAACTCCTGCCCCAAAGTTCAAACCAAAAATCACCGAAGGCAAAAACCCACTCCGAAAATAAAATAAAATAAAAACCCACCTAAAAACAGCATTCTTGAATCTAACAGGCTCGATCTCCACGGCCTTTTCACCACTCGCTTTGCATATATCAAGGGTTGCGAGCAAGCTGGCTATGAGAAACCAGATTGAGGCGGGTTCCTGGGCCGCGGCTGTTGGGTGGGGATGTTGATTTTGGAATGAAGGATGAAAGGGTGGTAGTAGTAATGATTCAAGACCCGTTAGCTAGGACAACATGGTTAACTTGAAACGTACTGAATTTTCTACAATACAAGACCAGTGTGAGTGTTTAGGCCATCTGTGTGTGTGTGTGTGTGTGTGTGTGTGTGTGTGTGTGTGTGTGTGTGTGTGTTTTCGTATGTAGTATGTGTGTGAGAGAGTTTTGTGTGTGTGATTTTTGAACTGATCTAGCGCCATCATGATAGGCCCTGGAGTGCGGCTGCATTCACCTCTCACTAATGTTACAGTGCCCTCCGCGTTCGTACTACTTTGGAATGTTGTGTGCATCTTGTCACGGTGCTGTATTGCATTGCCTCTGATCATCGATCTAATGTTGGTTTTCAGCTGGCAGTGTGAAGTATTGTCTCACTGTGGCAAGCCTCGACCCCACCTTGTCAAGTCTGATGCGGCCTCTGTTACCTTTACCCATCAGCTGCTGTGCTGAATCTTGCGAGTTCTCATGCACATGATCAAGAAGAACTTTAGAGGATCGTTTCTTTAGGTCCGGACTCCATATGTAGAATTGGGCAGGTATTGATAACTCTCTTCGTCAACTTTCGCTCGAATCCACGGACTCTCATCCTGATCTCTGACTCATCGCGAACCTGCAGTTCGCCTTGGTGACCCTGCGCATCGACGAGGTTGAGAAGTTGATGCTCATTCTCGTCATTATGGCGGACGATAGGTTGTGGTTCGAATTTGTTGCGACGTGCCGTTCGGACTGCCGGCTCCGCCATGCAGGTCAAAACTCCATTCTAAGACGCGCAGGTGAGTCGTGTGGTTGAATCCTGGTTGTACAGCGACCTGCTCATACTCACTTCAATTCCACAAACATAGCTTTTGCAGCAATCTTTCTGTGTTTTGCAAGCTGTTGGGCCACATACCGCGCTGACATACATAGATGCTGTCAAATCAACAACAATGGCGAGGAAGGAGAAACGCATTTTATGTGCGAGGTGATATAGAATCTTCTGAGGGGAATTTCGAATGATTTCTCTGAGGACGGGGGAACACTATAGGACGACGGCCAGCTTTTATATCCTGCGTATACTAATGGGTATAATTCTGATGAATTTGGCAGAATCGTTATTGCTGTCAGATGGCAGAAATTTAGGCAGAACCTGCAAGAGCTTATTCGATTGATTACGACCATTTTATCATAACCTGTCACCGGGCATCGACAATTCTCTTCTTTGTCACCACAGGACGCTCGCTCGAATCCTCGGTCTTTCATTCCAATCTCTCAGTCATCGCTTCATCATTTCAACCTGCAGTGACCTTGCGCAATGGCGAAGTTGAGAAGTTGGTATTCACATTCAGAATCCCACACGGCTATCCCTCCTTCGTCAACACCACAACCTCCAACTTCAATGCTCGCCCGACATTCCTAGTTTCTCATTCCTATTCCTCTCCATCATTTGAATCTGTGGTTCGCCATGACCCTGAAACTGGTGCGTAGAGACAATGATGAGATATCAGTCGGAAATTGATACTCATTCTTGTCTCGGTGCACTTGGTCAAAATTCCTAGTGCTTGTCGTTCCGATCTCTATCCATTATTTGAACCTGCAGTACGTGACGCAACCTCGATGAGCTTGGTCAAATTTCCTGGTGTTTGTCGTGGCTGGCTGCCACCACAGCTCCCTTTAAGGTTTTAGTCTCCATCTGACAATCACGACGACATCAAGTCAATCCATGGCATACCAAGACGACTATATACTCCCTCGGAGACAAGGGACAGTGTTGACGAAACAACTATCAAGGTACTAACGTTCTTCCTCGTCAACCGTGTCCCTTGCACCTCATCCAACACTTGCTCAATGAATAAATCACTCTCGAGCTCCCCACGCTGCTCTTTGATGGAAAGTACTGCGCAGGCAGTGTCATGAAACCTCTTTATCATACTTTATCTTTGTTGCCACCTTTTTCACTTTCGTCATAACGCGCGCTCCTATGTGACCTTGGAGTTTAGCCACATACCAGAAAATGACACGTCTGTCACGGATCACGATCGGCAACGAAGTGGCGTCTCATTGGCTCCATCACATATATCGAGAAGGATCCATGAGCTAGCCTTCGAGGTCAATGTTAGATGAACAGATTCAAGCTGCGCAGTGCGTTCCATCTTCGTACGGCCTCCCAATATTAATCATTAACAGCAACGATCGCTCGTTTCGACAGCCTCTCAAACTCAAGCTTAGTGGACCACGAGCGAGACTAAGCATGATCAATTATTTTCAGACATCCATTGCTTGAGCAGCACAAAAATTTGTCCAAAAACAACTGTACTGATTGACTCCGAACTAGGTACAATTGCACCATCAACCATGATATCAAAGTGAAAGCAGAAACATGACTCACTGTTGCGACATGCCGTTTGGGCTGCCACACAAAGAACGATTCACTAAGTGGCCCCAATCTCCCCAATCCCGTTTCTCGTTGTGTCAGTGTGCATATGTTCATATTTGTCTTTGGTGGAGAATATGCCTTCTTCATATCCGAGTTCCCTTTGGAGCCGCCGTGGCTACACAGTCATACAGACGAAGTGAGTAGATTGGCATGGTGCTCACATGCGTTCATAAACTATTCCAGGAATGCTCTTTTCCATCCCTCGATGCGATGGCATGCACGCACGCAGCATATCCATATGCTGTTACAGCCGCATTTCGATCGAACTGTTCGCTATTCACTCATATCCATGTGACAGCCTCTCGATAGATCGAGCATTGTTCGTGTGGTTTGCAAGTGGAACAGCGGCCTGTTGATTATTAAGTTCGAACTTAACTGAGTCGTATTCGCACTTTCGATTTCAACAGCGATCGATGAAGACTCAGGCGAGTTACATACTCTGTTACAGCGATGTAATGAAACTACAAATTTGCATGTGGAAAGAAACTTGTCCAAGCTACCGCATCGTATGCGCCAGGAGGGTAGTGATCGTAAGCTCAGCATCATAAGTACAATTAGAGTAAGACGTGCAGAAATGTAATAGACCACTAAAGTGAAAACTCCATATCTCTGAGGCTTCGCAGAACTACGCCGCATAAAGCGTATCGACAGCCTCTCCTTAAAATAGGATGTCAAAATCACTCCAAATGAATATGCTATCGCAATGGAAGCCACACGCCACAATGTCTGCTCTGCGTGTCTCGGAAACAAGAAATTCCAGCCCAGGCAATGTATCCCTCCAAACAGCATGCCACTGATGCCTCCGATAATGGCGACTATGATCTGTCCCCGAGTCAGGCCACTAGACCATCGGACCCCGGGCCCACGGTCAAATAGTAGAGACCGAATGATTAACAATGCACTTTGTCTTTTGCTACATAGAATGCAGGCAAATCAGAACAAGTTCTGCCAGGAATATTGATGACAATGACGTACTCGTTGACTAAGCTGTCGCGTGGTGGAGGAGTAGTTGCCTTCGAGTTCCAATGAACAACATGAGGACGCCCTACGTCCTTCGGCTTCTTCCACCACAAGCCATAGGCAATGCAGGTCAGAGCAGCTATACCCAGGGTGTCAATTTCAGGCAGTGTCACTGGGAGGTTCTGGGCGTAGCGGGCGATGAGCTGGATGATGAACCACACCAGCTGAAGAATGGCGACCCATTTGGATAGCACATCACCCTTACTTCGATCTTCTATGTCTGCCTCCGTGATGACAGGCATCTCTACGGATCCGTCACGAACAAACTGCAGGAGTTCATCGGGTGTGAGAGTGGCCCGCGGCTTACCATCGACGTAGAGCATGAATCCACCCATCCAGGCGAAGAACCCATGTGTTAGTGTCCATCCTGCTATTCATCTTAGTTTCTATTTGATTGAATAGTCTGAGTATGTAACTGACTTGCGCTTGAACTTGCGCTTGAACTTTTGCTTGAATTTGAGATGTCGTCGAGTAACAAAATTTCCGGCTCGCCCTGCCATACGACTTGACAGTCTTCATGGGGCTGGGAGCGTTGCGCATCAAAGGCATCATTGAAGTCTTTTGCAACTTGACGAGCACACAAAAACTGCCATGCGGCCCAGGAGATCACGAATTCAGGGCCGAGCAACGCCATAACCATGAGGAGTAGACGACGAAAGGTAATAGCAACTTTCCCCTCGTCCATACGCGGAACGTCCGGATGGATGGCAGTCCATGTGCATGCAAACAAAGTTAACCAACAGCTCAAGAGAATGTCCCACAAGGTCCTGGTATTGCAGAATGAAGAGTCATTGACATCGAGTGTATGAATATGGGTATCGTTGAGACTTGGGAGTGAAGCGACAACAAATGGAATGCAGAAGAGGACAGCGTAGAGTAGGAGGGTCATGGTGAAGTTGAGGGCATATCGTAGGCCATCTGTTCATTCTACTCTCTTTTGATGGGTACCTGCAGCCGGCGCGTGTATCAATGCATGCATGATTGATTGATTGATTTCGCGTTACCATCGCGCCATTAAGGAGTTTGTAGCACCCTGTTATGTAACTTATGACCCTGCCAAAAAGACCGAACAGCCGGTCTCTTTAGCCCTGGTACCCTGGATTAGATATTCTTTCCCTGGTTGGCACCCTGGTTCTGCACTCTTCATCTCGTTCCCTTCACACTACCCATCCCTATATATCCTTTATCTATCATTACATATCATATGGTTAGACTTTTTTGAATATAATGTTAACTCGAGCATTGACTGGAATTGAGTGTTGAGTGCTTGCTCGGCTCGCAAGCACCACCCGAACGATACTCGCGCATTTTTGAATCTCCACCCAGGAATATGTTTAAATTTATAGTCAACCAGATACGTGTATAGCAATTTACACAAAATAATAGACCGACATGCATCAACAGACGACATGAATGGAAAAAAAATGGAACAGGGACGATGCACAGCGTGAGGAAATATTACGGGTGGCTTTGCACGCCGCAACTCACGTCCTCCAGACTCTAGATGAGTTGGGGTACGTGCGTAACTCGCTGGATCTATAGTCAATCTAAAGCAGTAGTCGACGGTACGCTCTGCCAAGTTGGAGAGTTGTCCATGGTTTGCGCGGCTTTAGACGGGCCAAGGAAAGAGTATGTCGTAAGTGAGACATGAGAAAGTAGTGAACCAGTCTTGGTGTGTAGGATACGATGGGTTGGGTTAGCGGGGGTGCTGGGATGGGTTGTGTGTGCGTTGAAAAGTGAAAGGGAGGAAAAGGCAAAGGGGAGGGGAACGAGACAAGACAGGGATATAATGCAAGGCCATGATCCGCAAGAAAGGCATCAAAAGCGAATTCTAAAAACTTATAACGAAGACGCACGGAATATAACGTTGAGTCATCCGTAATTATGTGAGTAAGCTGTTCAGTGAGAAGGTCTGCTCACATGTCCATCAGATCATGTAGGAAATGACCGTGATATTACATAGCGTTTACTTATGGACCTGGTATGTGTGCTCGCATTCTATATATGGAGTCCTTCGATGCTATCACAGTCAAACTGAGTTTCCGCTCTGTAGGTCCGCATCAATGGCATTCGTCCGGAAAGCGCTGAGAACTTAGAAGGACATGTTGGGAAGTGATGTTGTTTTGTGTACTGTGTGTGCTTGTTATTCTAGATATTTGGAGTCCCCCGGTACGGCTAGATAGCGGTAGGGTACTGCGGTCCTTAAGGTTGGCACTCACCCGTTTGATATGGATAGCGGGGTTTTCCCCATAGCCGATAGGGCTTCACAGCTTGAAGCTCTGAAATTATGATCTTACCCCTGTAGAGTCATAAGAAGTCAACGAACTTTCAACTTCCGACTATCAATCGTGTTCCTAATAAGTACCACATGTCAATGAACGTTACGGGACGTTACACTGCCCAGCTGCAGAAATTCGTGGTATCTGATCAGATGCATTGTAATTCAAACACCGCTGTCCTGTTTTATGTTTGACGATTGGCCTATTCTGCAAATGTCTGTGGCCGGCACTCGGGCTGCAATTATGAGACGTCAACCATCGGTTAGACTAACATCCGGAGGGACTTGTTTTATGTAGCCTAACTGTCCTGGGGAAACGCCGAGCAGCGTTGGGCGTCGTATAAAGAGCCTGCGACGTACACCGCTTTCTCCAGTTTACTTATCCTTGCAATCAGGTTAGCGAAAAGCCTAGCACGAATCTGCCAGTCAACGTTGTCTGATATTACCCTCATACAGAAATAATGCCTTACACTATCGCAGTCAGAACCATCGACACCACTGCCGGCGACCCTGGTTTCACGGTCGTCGAGAAAACTGTGTGGTATTACGCCAATGGCGGGACGTGGTCTAACACAGACTCTATAGAGACCCTCGTCATGGGCGGCAGCGGCACGTCTGGTGCGCTCCGCTTCAGAAATGGCGCCGGGGAGGACTTCCTAGTGACGCTGGGCGTCCATAACTATAATGTATGGTGCGACGCCGTCATTGACCTCGCGCCTGGAGACACGGGCTTGAAGATTCACCCCGAGTACTACACGGCTGGCCCTAGGAAGTCAAATTGGACTCAACTAGCTGAGGTCCGGAAGACGAGCGCAAAGGGAACTACAGTGGATGTCAAGTTCGTCACGCAGGAGGGACACGACTTGGTCGTCCACATTACTATTTCTTGAGTTGTCGTAGTACCAAAGGAGTTGTGGGACGGCGGCCCGGACGTACGATTGGAAATCGAATGTACTATTGCCAAGGCGAGCTCGATATAAGTGATTTGATAGCGAACATGCTTGAGAAGAACTTTCGGTATGAATTTTTTATGGTTAATAGAAAGATGGAAAGCGACCGCCGACATCGTTACACTTGAAGTGGACAGGCTCTGTCAAATTTGGAAGCCAGATCCGGTATTCAATCATGTTGGTACTTACTAGATGTCCACTAGAGTTCGCGCATTTTTTGGGCAACGTCTATTACTCCACAACACACAAACATTAAAATTTAATTCTTTGGCAGCTGTATGAGGGGCACCGCTGGACAAAATTAAACAAATAGTTGCGCGGTGAAATTCAAAATTTTCGACTGAAAACCAATCGTCAAATCAGAAAAAATAATTTTGTGTGATCATTATCAACGCATTCCAGATTTTAATTTCCTCAAGATTGCGTCCTCCTGCTGAAATCTTTGTAACCTGCACACCATCTGGACTCCAGCATACTGAGTCGACATCTTCACCGGGTTTCCCCCACCGTCCCATATGCAAGATAGTCCCTGGCAACAGCACTTGACAATACGTGTTCTAATCTTAGAATACCAGAGCTCTCAGCTTAATGGATTTCCGAAGCGGTGTTCCCTCTAGAGTGTTCGGGTCTTGGAAACCAGTATGAGGGGTCAACTTCACAACATTGCCATCCTGTATCGAATCAAAGCTGACACCCTTTTAGCTCGACGGAAAGCTCCCCCAGGCACAGTCAGCGTATATAAGAGCGACAGGCACCGAGTCTTTCTCGAAATCGACACTGCGGGAGTTGCATAGTGCAATCTGCCAATTTACAGCTGCATGTGATATAGGACGCCATATGTTTATGATTTGGAAGCGTATGCGAAGGAGGGAAGGAGCTTCTGTTGGCAGGAGGAGCCTATGAACACGAGCGATGAACGATGCAGTCGGAGGAGCTGGTACGAACGAGCCATTGGCATGTTTTATATTGCACGTTAGTTCTGAATTACAATTTGACGTTGTTTCATCTCCCGTTTGACCGTATAGCCGGTCGTATGACCGTACAGTGACCCGTACCGTACCGTTGAACATTTCGAATACATTGTACGACATACAGTATGGTATGGGTAGAGTCTAAAGGTCACTGGCAGCGCATCAGGTGCTGGACTAGAACTGACAGAGCGCTTGCTTGAACTCCCCTTTGACCTACGGGGCCAGCCAAAGAATGACCAAATGGTCCGGAAGTGACACTTCGTTGACCACGGTGCATGGCCGCATGAGATAAGCGACGATCATTGGTAGACTGCATGGAAGAGGCGTCTGAAGGTCCTTGCCACATTGTAGCAGGCGGCTGCGAGCAGTCCTGTGGTTCCTCATGACGAAGTAGTTGGGACTAGCCTCTGCTGATACGAGGAATGAGAGTATGCACTACTAGGGCATTATATACTTGATGGAGGCAAGCACATTCTCTGGAACAATAGAGATCACCATCCCCGGGTCACTCCGGGATCAAAATCAGAATCAAAAGTTCACACTCACCGCCTCCCAACGCTCTTGGATATCTTGGATCCCCTCACCACCTACTACCCCATCAACGATCGCTTCGCATCACCGCGCAATCACCTCCCAGGCTCAAGCCGCGAAGGAGTAGATGTGCTGGAGTAGATGGAAAGACGACTCCACCCACCCAACATAAAGAACTTGGGACTCACTAAGTAGCACAGGCACACCACAATTCCGTTTCTCTTCGTGTGCATATGTTCAAATTTCGCGTATTACAGTCGGATACGCGCCATGGCAGTCCCAAAATAAAATGAGCAAGATCCGGTTTCCTCAACGTTCAACTAATAGTGGTGCATCGATGCCCAAACGCTACACCCCGTGCATCGGATCTTCCTTGTTTGTCTCCATTTGGTCTGTTGATTATATAAACCGGCATCGCAAATTGACCGATCGACGGTAAATAGGCCTTAGGCCTTATTATCTCACTTTCATCATAACGCGTGCTCCTATGACCTTGGGCGTTAACTACATACCAGAAAATAACGCGCCTGTCGCGAATCATCATCGGCAACGAAGTGGTGTCTCGTTAGCTCCATCACGCACATCGAGAGAGACCCATGAGCTAGCCTTCGAGGCCAACATCAGACGAACAGATTCAAGCTGCGCAATGCGTTCCGTCTTCATACGGCGGCCCTACAGCCTCCCAACATTAATCATCAACAGCAATGATCGCTCGTTTCGACAGCTTCTCGAACTCAAGCTTAGTGGACCATAAGCAAGACTAGGCACGGTCATTCATTTTCAGACAAGTTCAAACATCAAACATCCATTGCTTAGGCAGCGCGAAAATTTGTCCCAGACCGACTGTACAAATTCACTCTGAACTAGGTATTGCACCATCAACCATGATACCAAAGTGAAAGCAGAAACATGACTGACTGTCGCGACGTGCCGCTCGGGCTGCCCGCTCAATTTTCAAACGCATCTGGAACCTCCAGGCTAGGGTGCGCAGGTGAGTCATGTGGTTGAATCCCGGTTGCACAGCGACCTGCTCATACTCACCTCAGGTGCACAAACCATGGTCTCGCAGCAATCTGCTTTTGTAACGCAAGCTCCCGTGCCACATGCACTGACAGACATAGATGCTGTCAGAGCAACAACAACGGCGAGGAAGGAGAAATGCATTTTCTGTGCGAGGTGATATGGAATCTTCTGAGGGGGGGTCTCGAATGATATCTCTGAGGATGGGGGAACACTATAGGGCAACGACCAGCTTTTATATCCTGCCTATACTTAGTATAGGCACGATTCTAATCGATTTGGCAGAATTGTTATGGCTGTCAGATGGCAGAAAAGACACTCCACCCACCCAACACCAAGAATGACTCACTAAGCGGAACAGGCACACCCCAATCTCCCAAATTCCGTTTCTCATTGTGCCAGTGTGCATATGTTCAAATCTCATGTATTACAGTCGGATACGCACCACGGAAAGCCCCAAATAGAACTGAGCAAGACCTGATTTCCTCAACGTTCGACTATGGTGCATCGATGCTCAAACGCGAGTCTACACCCCGTGCGTCGATATTAGTGCTCCCTGGGCCTGATCTTCCTCGTTTGTCTCCGTTTGTCTGTTGATCGACTATATAAACCCATCGACTGACGACATATATATGTAAGGCCTTATCTCTTCTCTTCTCTTTCCATTCAATCCGCCCCCTCATCCAGGTTATCTCATACTTATCCAATGTAGGCGTTCTCGTTGACAAACGACCCCGATCATTGTGGCACACTTGTACTGTTGTTCAAGCCTCGTCTGTAAGTCTGCATATGGTTTTATCGTTATTCCCACTAGTGACCTTCAAGCTTTAGGACCGCTCTCACAAGTCCCCTCCGCTGGATAGCACGGCGATTTGGAAATCATTGAGTTCGCCTTTCTTTTTCTGCCCCACCGAACTCAGTTTATAATGGCGTGCTCTCCAGTCTTGAGCTTGAGCGCCCTATTGCCCATCCAGAAAAAGAAACCTGTTCCTCATTCGACCTTGCTTGGGACCTCGTTGTCGTGCAGTGGTTATGTTTGCCAGTGTAGAGAATAAAGCGAACTACTGTGTGTCTCGTTCCTCCTTGGTTTTACCAGTGATCATTTTCTGTATTCAGCGTTCATTAGAGCAAGTACGCGTTTTTATCGTCCTGCAGCATCAGTATTACCCCACATGATGGTAACACCTAGTTCGTGGATGATGACGCCTCCTCATTTATCTGTCCATCCCGAACCCCAGACTCGCACTCGTCGCTATACCACTTCAAGGACCGATAGTTAGTTCATCTTTGGAGTGGGTTCTCGTTTGAATTGAGCTAGATTTATGTTCTTGATACGCGGTATTATTAGCGTGTGGTGTCTTGTATTCATGACGAGATTGCCTTTGGTTCTCTCAAAAACTTGGGTCCCCATGGCAAACAGTTTACGTGCTTGTTGAAATCATTGCTTGAGCCTTTGTGCCCTTGACTATTTCATGAGTTTGTCGTCCGTTTCTAGATCGTCTTGGAAAACTCAATGTACTATACAGACCTCTCGCTTGCGAATGCCCATCCATACACCGTTCTTCACTCGACCTCGCTTAGGACCTACACACGTTGTGCACGATTTGTCCATATTCATGCGGCCACCATTGGATGGAGAATAATAATTGTCGAAGGGAATCATCGTATGTCTCTTTTCGGTTTCGGCGTTCCATTGATAATTATTTGCGTTGTGTAGTTTCATTACTCGCTTGACTCTTCTGGATCCTATATGCAATCATGGCTAGATCGCACGGTGCATCCACTGCTGTGATGAGATACGGTGCTAGAGAGATATAGATGGAATATCCATCTCTCATCATATGCATTGTCCTGTGGCTGCAAGTCTAATGTCCCCCAAACTGAGTCGAGATATGCGCACAACTTGCCGGATCGATGGTTTGGTCTCACATCTACGTTCCTGGTGATTGGCACCAGGGCCGATGAATTACTTGGACAAGATGTCCCTTGACAGACGAATGCAAAGGCAGCTCTTCCCACAAGGCAAGATCGTTCTAGTGTGATGCGCCGAAGTTAATTGAAGCCCATTGAGAATCCTGAATCCTGAAAACAAAGATACCGATTGTCGCAACTACAGGCCCAAGTTAAACGCCCGAAACATTAAAGTACATCGATGTCATCATACAAAAACATATACAATCACCCCGGAAAGCAAGCGTGCAGAAGGTTGATTACTCAACCTTCATAACGCTTTCAATGCGTTTCTGTTGAACGCGTCTTTTGAGGTCTGTCCACATCGGGTATCCGAATATCATCGTACAGCCAACATAAGCAGCCTGAAGACAAAGTTAAGGTGTGAGGCTCAGAAAGTCGCGAGACAGGCGCACCGTCACTATAGTACCCTTAACATATTGCCTGCAAAGTGACCAGGTATAAAGCGTTTCAGCGCCATGAATGGTGCAGAGTATTGTGCAGGCGGTTCGGAAGGAAAGACCAAGACCAGTGGCGTTTCTAAACGCGTGCGCTGGAGAGAAGAATGCATCCATAGTGGCGACAGGTATGGAGAGGAATGTAGTGTCAGGCGGTGGCGACGAAAGGAAATAGAAGTATGCGAACAACGCGATTCCTGTGATGGCAGCAGTCGTGCGAGGAATCTGGAATGTGGTTATTTGTGGAGCTTTGAGCTATAGTACATGGATATATATAACTGTCAGAGACAAGACTGACTGAAAGAAAAGGTTATCAAGACGTACCATACCAAGACCCTCCTGAGCCTCTGCCTTCATACTCAGAAGCCGGGGTTTGACTTCCTCGTACCCTGAAAGCGGCGGTTCGAATGACACCCGGGTCGTATTCGATTGTCCGGACTTGAGCTTATACACAAGTGTCATACCCTGGTAGATTTGTCAACACAGGCAAGCATAGGACGTCCGTTTCCCTGGGCCTACCTTGGAGTCAATGCCAGACATCTCAGCAGTGAGCACGTTGCCCTCGACTTTCCCGAAATATTTGACATATGCAACCAATGTATCAGGATGGTTCTTCATGTACATGCATAGGAAGCCAGACTTGGAAGCGACCGGGTCCGACATGTTTGCCTTAGAAGACTGGGAACGATGAGTACTAGAGTTATAAAGCCAGTTTCACTCAGGGCGCCAAATCGCCGCTGTCCAGTTGGCAATGGCAATCGGCTGCAATCGGCTGCGATGTGGCCTGATCATGAGTTTATGTAATTTAGACCAGTATAGGCCTTCGTCCGGACTATCGTGACGCGCACTACGACCTCCCATGGGACCCATGTTTACATTGTACACAGCGCTCGTTGTCATACAGGATCTGTGCAAATTCCCGCGGCGTGGCACACCCGAATGTTTGGATAAATCAAAATAATAAATTTCAACGAAGCAAACCATATCTTCCTAATCCCTAAAGCTGACCAGGTCGGCGTAGTTCGAAATGGCATCGCGAGCTCTGTAAGGCGTAGAGGAATCTCCATGTAAGTGTTCTTTGTTCTGCCCCATATCCTGCTTGTCAACGTTGCTTACTACATGCTGGTCCATTTGAGGGCACAACGCTGGCAGTGTTGTGTAAGTATTAGGGTTACAGAGATGGTGATATCGAGATGGCGATGATATATGCAGTAAACTTGGGCATGTTCGTCTTCCAGCAGCCTTTGATATACGCTAGATTTGGCGGAATCGGCCCTCAGAAGTGCCTAGACTTGTTACTGGACGACTTGCACAGTTCCGACCATTGGCCGATCATCAGGTATCCATGTGGCGAGCTCAAGCCGGTATGCAGTGCATATATAACCCGTCGAACTAAGTTGGTATTTACGCCTTACTTTCTCCCGAATCTTCTCGTTGTGCTGTCTGGTGTTTAGATCCATGAATAACCGATGAATCACTCAAACCCTCGGGTCATTTCTCCATAAACGCCGGGGGCTTGTTGCGTTTTTCTAGCAGCCTTGTACCCAGTAGAATTGATGGAATCGACCTGAATCGCGCACCTCAGCTAAACATGTTACTGCACAACCTGCGGCGCGGTCAATCCCCACAGTTTCGATCACTTGAACAGTGCTCAAATATTCATGAATCAAGCTCGAGACAGCTGGTATCTTGGCGACCCAAACTGGTATTTACCCCTTTCCTCTCTCCTGAATTCTCCTTATACTGCCTGGTTTCTAGATCCAAGAACCACCACTACGAATCGTTCAAACCCTTGGGCCATTTTCTCATAAATACCCGGACTTGTTGCATTTTTCAACAAGCAACTTCGTTTGAAGGAATAGAGTCGCCCATGCTTGGTATGAATGATATTTCTAACCCATAACGCCATCATTGAGTCGGGCCCACAGCACCTGCAGCTCAAACAGTACATCTTCTACGCTATCATGATGCTCGACTTGGATGTCAGATGCTCGTCTTAGCTGTGAGCTGTCCAATGTTAGGCAACGTCAACACCTCTTTGATAACGAAATTGCCGGCACAGCGACTGTCACGATATTGACCCAGACTCTGTCTGGACGTTGAGCGATCGACCAGGATATGGCACGTTGATGGTTGGTGCTGATATGGTTTCATATCTTGAAAGGTCTATATCGACTGGAAGCCAGATAAATTGATGGTTTGGCAGGTTTCGACTGTCTTGTCGAGCCCCAACTAGATGGTTAAACGAGACTGACAGAAAACACTACATGCCTTGTCGAGTGAAGGTGTAAAAGACAGTGAAAATGTGGGCTTTTTATCTGATTGAACTACGCGTCTTTTAGCTAACATGCATTCGAGTTATGTCTGGCCTGTCTAACCCATGGTGCTCTGTTTACCCCAAGACCGAACGGTACGCAGATACTTCATACACCCGTATCATGTCCTCCTTCCACCCAACATCGCCTCTATTTATTTCTCAATAAGCAGCGTCCTACATATTGTTCAATCAACAATAGCACCAATATGAATGCGGAAACACTCACTAGTCAGGAGTGATGCATATACCACCACCGCAGACAGCTTGTTTATCGCAGCAGTCACTATTCTTTTCGCAATTCTCGTCACGTCCGCTACAGAGTGGTTCCCTTGCTGTGACAGACATTATAGATGCTGTCAATGCAACAATTTGTTGAGGTGGTATGATCTACTGAGGACTCGAACGATTTCTTTGAGATGGGTGGGCGCTGGCTCCGGTAGGAAGATGACTTGATTTTATATCAGCCCTACTCAATTACATTTTTTCCCATTTTTAGCGAACGAGTGTATATTGTGATGGGATGATGGGGAACTATGGGGAAAAAGCAAGCGAGAGAAAATAGAATCCATCATCCATGACTGTTGACATTGGACTTCGAACCTTTGAGCTGCGTCGTTCAATGTGCTAGCTTGACATCTTCTAATCTCAGTGCGCGCTGCTGTGTATCAGAACGACCTCAATTACAGTGTGTTGCATATCAAACTGCAGTATGAGCTTTTGAAAAACTCGGCCTCATTGCCTTTACCGCGACTTTTGCATCCAAATTAGGGAAAGTGATACTTCCGCTCGCTTGAACGCATTTGGATGCAAATTTTTAAGCGCGGTCAAGGCAAGCTGGGAGGCCGAGTTTTTCAAAAACTCGTACTGCAGTTTGATATGCAACACACTGTAGGACTCATTTTATTGCTTTCATTATCACGAGGTCTGTCACTTGTAAATTACTTATAAGACATAAAATGGAATTGAGTGGGACTCTGGGGCTATTATCATGAAAAGGTTTGGCGAAATGATTGTAGCCATTTTGACGTGCCTGCCTCAGTCGTGATGCACTCGTGACGTGGCTGTGACGAAGCAAAATGCCACGCCAGATATTGAAGTTGATGATTTGTATCACGATTCACAGGTCTTGACCGTCTTGTTGAGCTCCGGGTCCTAGTCAACTAGCTGTGTTGCTAGCAGAACTCGGAAGTTTTGCCAGCCGGTTTGGTACTAAAACTGGTTGTGCCTGGTGACTGGTCCACGGCAGAACTCATGCGAGAGGAGGGTGGCAGAACCTGGCAGAACTCGAGGGTATCCGAGACTGATGTTGAGTCCCACTAAGCCTCGCTGGCTGACTGCATGCTAGAACTTCTTCGCTGCGCCAAGAAAATGTCCCAGTCGACTTGCAAAGTTGTGAACGGGGACTACCATGTTAGCTTTCGGCTGCATGCGAGATTTAAAAACTCTTGCCAGTGGATGACCTGCAAGCTTATAATCAGCCACTAGCTCCATTCGCTAGTGGCCAAGCGAACGGCCTTTCTTTGTGGAAAAACCTCCCAATCAATCTCGAAATCCACCCATTCGAGGTCTTTGCTGTGGCAATCCTCTGAATTGTACGGCATGCAGGCGAAGTAGAGCGCACATTCTCTGATCTCGGCACGACATAATCCATGCGACGGTGTAATCTCTCAGTTGATACATTTGATACACTCAGCAAAATTCATGCAAACCTTTGACACCACAGCGCTGGCATAAAAGCTGTTGAGGCTGGGAAGACCACCCCCCCCGTCGACATGCTCACATACACACTTGTGAAGAGGTTGGCATTGCTGTCGAGACTACATAGGTTCTCGAAGCATCCTTCAGTCACATGGGCACCTCTGGTCCTCCACTCTTGACCGAGCCTCGCGATGCAGATGACCTGCTTGTTGGTGCAGGGACCATCTCGCTTGACGACATTACTGCTGAATTTGAAGCTCTTGAAGAGATGAAAAGGACTGAAGAAGTTGAAGTGCTTACGAGAAATGCTTTTGATTTTGACAAGTTGGATCGGGTCGAACAAGGAATAATACCACAGGCTATTCTAGATGAGGTTGGGCCTTTAAGTGAACGAATAAAAGACAGTAAAGAGTTGGTGAAAAGCAGACTTTCGATCTGATCAAACTGCGCGTCTTTTAGCTAACATGCATTTGATTTATGGCTGGCTGGTCTGACCCCATGGTGCTCTGTTTATGCTAGACCAAACAGTACGCAGGTATCTCATACACTCATATCAAGTCATCCTTCCACCCGATATCATCTCTATTCATTTCTGCATCGGCGTCGTTCTACATATTGCTCGATCAACAACAGCACCAATGCAAAAGCAGAAACACTCACTAGTGTGTCGCTACGTGCAAATCGGCTTGTTCTCAGGGTAGGATGTCCGTGCCAGCTTGCACGCACTGATTAGCACCGCAGGTATTAGACGGATTGCAGCAGTCGCTATCCTTCTCGCAAAACTCGTCTTGTTGGCTACAAGTTGGCCGCCTTGCTGTGACAGACATCATAGATGCTGTCAACGCAATAATAAAGGTGAGGAAGAAGCAACGCATTGTTTGTTTGAGGTGGTATGATCTGCTGAGGTGCTCTGATGATTTATTTGAGGTGGGGTGGACACTGGTGACGGTAGGAAGATGGCTTGCTTTTATATTGTCATGAAAAAAAATTGGCAAAATGGTTATGCCTGCCAGGCGAATGATATTGCCTTCCGATCATTTCGTGGGTGTAGTTATTTTGGCGTGGTCCTGCATCGGTCATGATGTACCTGTGACGCAGCTGTGACGAGGCAAAAATGCTACGTCGACGCTATTGGCAGCTTACCTAGCCGGCCTACATTAATTTTTGACTATACCCCCACCCACTCTTCCTGTCTCTGTGTCATTTTATGTTAAACCAACTCAACGTCAATGAATGAGGTTTGACGCAGCCTTGGCCCTTGACGTGGCATGGACAATGCTGACGCAGCACGGGCGAAGCTTGATGCAGTATTGATGAGGTATGGGTGGATATGACAAACACGATATAGGCGAGGCTTGACACGCAAATAATGGTGTACCGCGTCAAAGCATTTTGATAACCAACGTTCACTGGGCCACTGTCAGTGCTACTAGAGGCAAGCACAGACGGCGACGTACTGCAAGGTGATATCATATCCTGGCCGCACGAGTCCATCCATGATTAGTACTTCACCCAGAATGAAATTTAGAAGCAAAGGAGCCTCTGATACTAGGAGGTATGAGTAGGGGCTGTGCATGCAGAGACATCATGGAGGGACCACGATTCTGGAGACGACGTCAGAGCTCGCGGAAGGGTAGACTACAGACTGGCACTATATAGGAGGAGAGAGGGCACATTTCTTCGCGCTCGCAGGATCTGAGAGGCCAGTTATCATCTACAAGAAAACCGGGTCTGAAAGAAGGGCCCTGAGAATCCGTGGAAAATGGTGCCGAGGTCCATGATGGATGATGGATGATAATCGTCATCCAAATGTATGTCGCACGACAGTGCAACTACATAGATATAAATCTACTCTAAACATCAACGACTTCAAGCTCGTTATACTCTATCGCGTAATGTGCAGAACCTACCACTTCCTGATCCCACTTCCTGTTGAGCAAATAAATTCTATCCTTATCGACCCACACGTCTGCTAACTCCGATTCAGCAGAACCAAACTTTCTGTCCAATAAGACCTCGACGTAAGGCAGGGACGTTGTCAAGCTTTTCGCAGGCCTGCCAGTCCACTCGTCGAAGTCTAGTATTGTAGATGGCTCTTTCACCACTCGTCCTAGACCCCGTCTGTTCGTCACAGCTAGCGGGCTGAAGTCCATGATGTGTAATGTATGCTTCAAGGAACCCGAGGCTGACGTGCCCTCTAACAATGCTTGCAGAATTCGATTCCCGCTAACGTGAACTATGGATTCACCTGAGAGCTCGAAAATACGAGTATTTGAAGGACCCCAGCATTCCCACGGTACTGGTGTTGCTGCCACCATTCCGTCAAGATTGAAGAAAATCCTCGTTGAAATGACGTAGGCCCATCTCGCTTCCATGGTAATACATAACAGCCGGTCTTGAGGGTCTGAAGTGTACATCGCCTGTTGGATTTGTATCTGTGGGGAGCTATCGATATGATCCTTCGGAAGGAAGCGCCGGACGTTCGGAAATGAGACGGGCATCATGAAGCACGCCAGTAATTGTGGCGTCTGCGACATATCCTCGATCGAATAGAGCTTCAAATCAGCGGCGACAACGAGCAACCTATTGTTTTCGAGAAAACAAAAATCAATTGGGGTTGGTGAGAAACTCGTTCCACTGAGGACGCTCTAGATTGAGAATTAGCTGTCGAGTGTTTTAAATATTTGTGGCCGAGACTCACATTAGATGTCGTTGAGTGTTGCCAGTCCCAAATATGCAGCTGCCACATCCCCTCGAATGGATACACGAAGGAGCATCGCAAAGCGAGATGCCTCCCAAATCCCTTAAGTTTTGCACTTTCTGTAACAAGGCACTTATCCTTGGATGCGGGCGGCACCGACAGAAATAATGTCCGTCCAGCAGCGTGGGGGTGCACGCCATCACTATCAAGGACTCTAAGGTCGATGTAGAGTGTCTCCTCGTTCAACTGGAGTGTATCATCAGTGACGGCATACGCGGTGGCGATCAGGTTTTGTGCTGGGTCCATGAACACATCGAGGCCGTCTGAGTCGGGAACTGAAAACAATGTTCCTGGAGACCAGTCGCGCTTGACTGTTTTTTGTGAAGGCTTTGGTAGTATCGGAACGATTGTGGCCATGTCTTCGTCCTTATCCCACAAGTAGATATGCCCATCTACGACGAACTTCTCGTCAGAGTGCATGTTCTTCGGTAGAGAGACTGTTTCGAAAGAGTGGGCGTCCACTTTGAACCACGCGTGAGCTTTATCCCTCAAGAGTTGTAGGCGCTTAGAAACAGGAATGTTGACATTGTCCGTATTGGGGACACGGAGCAACCGTTGGCCACTGAGTTCAACGATGTACTGAAGCTCGGAGGAGGACATGTACGTCTGGCGAAGGGCCTTACATACCTACAAGACAATAATCATAAGTATGAAAGTCCATCTAGGACAACGATAGCATCAACACGATGATAAATTGGGCTCACGGATGTACAACGAAGAATATCTCGGCAAGACAGGAAGCTCAAAATATTGAATTGTAGTTCTTCAGCAAGAGACAAAAACCCTGCGTTGGGCTTCATTTCGTGGCCCACTCTCTAAACAAGGTAAGATGGCCAACTAGTTTCGACCAGACGCGATTGAAAGATTTGAGCTGCTTATACCAAGCATACAAGGGTGGAACTTTGTCTTTCGAGTCGGCGAAGCGTTTGAACTTTGGTTCGACTGAAGGATTACTAAGCTTGAAGCTGAGGTGAGCGCTTGAGCCTTATTTATTATTAACGTGAACGTCTCGTGAGTCGTGAAGCTCCCAACTTCATCTAAATCTGAACAGAACAATATTGATTCCTTTGTTCGCGATGATGGCGGAAGACGGTTTTGCACAAGGAAGTCGCTTCCAGCCACTCTTTTCAACTACTATTTTCAACAACCAGAAATCCTCGTCCAGTCTCATCAGCAAGGCATTTGCCTTCACGAAATGCTAAGCCTTACCAGTCAAATTGGCGCAGCATCGGAGACTTCAATAAAGCAAGAATAGATGCTGAAGAACCGACGGTAAGTAAGTGACAGTACTGTTCGAGGTCACTGGTTACGTGCTTACTAAGTACAAAAAGTCGTCGCTGTAGCCCGTGTACTCAATCGAGTCGCCCATGCTTGGTACGATTCAGAACGATGCTTGTAACTCGTAATGCTACCACTCAGTTGGGCCGGCGGCACCTGCAGTCCGAACAATACAACTCCTACGCTATGTTCAGCTTGCACGTAAGATGCTCCTTGAACCATCTTAGCTGTGAGCGAGCGCATATGGCCACATCAAGTACGCAAATACTTCAATTCACTTATATCATGTACTCCTTCAACTAAGTATCGCCTCTACTCATTTCTCAATCAGCAGCGTCCTACGTATTCAAGTTGTTCGATTAGCAACAGTACTAATACGAAAGCGGAAACACACATTAATGTGTACTTGCAAACCGGCTTGTTCTCATGGTGGGCCGCCCTGGTCGGGAGGCTGGCTAGTGCACATATTGCCCTGGGGCTGAGGCGCAAAGGGTGAGTCACATCAGGTGAAAACTGGATGCAAAGCAAAGACACTATATTGACCGCAACAGTCACTGTCCACGGTGCAATTCCCATCCGGTGGGCTACAATCTGGCCGCCTTGCTGTGACAGACATGATAGATGTTGTCAACGCAACAATAACGGTGAGGAAGGAGAAACGCATTGTTTGGTATGATCTGCTGAGGTGCTCGAAAAATCTCTGAGAGCTCTAGTGACGACAGGAAGATGACTTTTATACTATCGTGAAAGGGTTTCCCAGAATGGTTATGCCTGACGAATGATCCTGCACGACGAGAAACCAGGCGGAAGCTATCCCTTCTGGTCATCTCACGAGTGTGCGCCCGTGACGCAGCTATGACGAGGCAAAATGTCACGTCAAGGCTGTTAGCAGCTTACCCAGCCAGCCTACATTAATTCCTGACTCCTACTCTTTCAGTTTCCGGGTGGTTTAAAATTACGAGACGCTTCAGGCATGTTAAACCAATTCAACTTCAATGAATGAGGTGTGACGCGGCCTTGACGCGGCATGGGTGAGGCTGACGCGACGCGCCGGTCTCATCTGCAAGGTATTCAATATCCCTTTCACGGAATACTAGGTCTTACTCGTCGAAATCGAGGACCCCCCTTTCAGCCTTCCCAAATCTGTAATAACCAAAATACATGGTCCACGTTTCAACTACCAACCATGCGCACTCATTCCCAAGACGATGTCCCATCCCCTTATCCGCTACCAACAAAAAGCCACGGCTAGCTGCTGTGCACTTGCGCCGGGCGATGACTAGTGTCCCTCAATAGGAGAAGAGTTTTTCGATGGTTCATTGTGGAAAGAAAGCTAGTACTACCGCGAGTATGAGATCTAATTTGCATGCAAAGTCGAAGTCTGTCATAGACGCTTTGGGCACCTTTAGGGTTCTATCATCCTCCGGGCCAGCTCTATGGTTTGGGTCGATCATTTCACGCCACGATAAAGGTCGCGCCATATCTGTACATCCCAGGCGAGAACCTCACAACTGTCCAAGACCCCCATTCAGTACCCTAGTTCAGTGTACCAGGACCTTGTAAAGCCCGTGAGTACCCCCGCATCTTTCGGTATCATCCATGCTCATATGCGCCCAGACAACATCGTCATATCGAACACTCACCCAGTGGCTTGACTTTCTGGTGCATCAATTTCGCACTTATCAGTCTGACGACAACTGGGAAGAGAATGTCATATCCGAAGGGGATTAAGAGGCAACTCCGGCACTACAAAAAGTTAGGCCATTTGGGTGCAAGGATGACACAAACAATGGTATGCATGATGCTCAGAAGAAATTAGGTTTGCTTGATATTCCAAAAAATAAGACATGATCTAACCGTCCACGAAATTTCGCAAAAGGCATCTTAAATATTGCTCGGTATGGCGGTACCACGGGCCACGATACGCCAACTCGGCGAAGCCACGCCCAACAACAATAGAGATGTGCCCCGCGGAACTACCCGATATTCAAATACAAAACATATTGATGTGAAGAAAATTGATCACTTCTTTCCAGTATTTCAAATACGTATGACATTAATTAATTTGAAAATAGTTTGGCTGGTCACATGAGAGACGAGCATCACGATAAACAAATGACAGCTAGCTAGCAACCGTAAGCGTTGAGAAACCGAATGAGAATGCTAGGCCAAGAGGGAGAACATCGAGAACAGACGACATTGTATTTGGGCGACAAATCTGGTACCTGCGTGACAGCACTTTTTCCAGGGCTGAGGTCCATGTGAGGTCCTACTAGTACATCGCGAGTCAATACCTGGCCACGGCATGAATATCTTCATCTCTGTATTGTGTAATATGTATCGTGAGATGACAAATGGAAAATGACATACTCACTGATTGAAGTAGATCTACCCCCGAGGTACTACGTCTGGATAATCGATAAGTGTAAATCCTGTACTCGGACATGAAATGAGTAGGCGCAGTGCCACGATGAGGGCGAGAGTGAGGAATTGACTTCAGCTATAGGGCTTGAATTCAAGTTTCAATGGAGACGCATATCTGACCGGACTCATCTTCGTCCTTTCTCGCACTTCATGCACTCGATCCCAGCGTTCTCCCCGATGTGCAGCATGATGATACAGCTGATGATGAGACTTGACGTGCTAGAATTGATGTGCTAGATCTAGAATGGCTGCCAACATACGGACCGGGTTATTATATCTGTGCTCCTGGTGTTGTATCTCTCACTCCGGGAGAGATGAGAAATGGGGGATTGCTCGGTGTTCCGTCACGGCGGCTTGGGGTGGGATCTACATGACGGCTGTAAAACAATCCTAGAATCTGACTCGATTGAAGTAGTACCCGAGCAAGCGACGAAAATAGTCTTGCGGACGTCAAGTCAGCTTATTGACATGCAATGTTAACTACAAGTGAATATTTGATTCTTGGGGAACTTGAACGGACCATTGAATGATCCTTACATCATCACCTTCCATTTTCAACAACTCCAAACAAACTAAAGGAGACCTAAAGTTACGCCCCAACAATCAGGGCGTGGCAGGATCATTCAATGTTAAACGCTCAACATCATGTGCGGTGGCACGAGACATCGTTATAATTACGCCATATCACATCTTCGGCACACGAAAGCTGCGAAGTTGTATCATATGATGCATCTTGATCTTCTGTCCAAGTCCATGGTACCATGTTATCAGTCCCTTAATTAGTTCCTTCGAACATCTATGTTGTAAGCTCGTCCAACTTCGACGAAGGACCCCGAAACGGAAACACGTCGAAGTCATCATTGCCGTTCGTGAGTACGAGAAGCTTGTCCTGTAGTAGTTGCGAGGTGGATACTCATTTTTATACGGAAAGCGAGCTCATGGGTGTGGCAGTGGATGGTACCGGCGTAGGGTCGTATTTTGGGATACCCGGCGACGATGATGCTGATAAGATACGAGCAGTACAATCCACAATAGCTGCGGGCCTGGGAAAAACGGTTGAGGCCCGAAACATTGAATAACTCCGTGACGGCGTGACCGGCAGCATAATGTAGGATGAGTTGGGCGGCGGAGGACATCGATGGCCATACGAAGGCATAGGCGCTAAAGGCGCGCCTTCAATCACCGGAGAAGGACGAGGGCAGTGAAAGTGACGGACAAGTGGAGTTTGGTGGGGGGCAATGAAACTTGATTTGGGAGTTACTAAGATGAGGATGGGATATCTGGAGAAATCAAGGGTGGAAGTGATGGGTGATGAACAATCAACCCGAGTTGTAGGTTGAGGTTTAGGTGGCGCCTCGTGGTTGCTGTTCGCGTTCGCGCTCCAGAAAGTTGACCCGTTTGTGGTCAAGAGATTTTACCGCTACTAGGTTCCTATTACTCGGCCGTGGGTGAGTCAGCTGAGGAAAATGTTGACGATGTTTTCGAGGTCTTGTCATGATTCACGTTCTCACGTACCTTGCTTTGGGGAGCCGAAGTGTGATTTGAAGTTGTTCGACGGAACCGACTCCGAGTATAAAGTCCGTCTGATAACAGAAATCGCCTCTGTCACAATCGAGTAAGCATGCATATGGGCGCCTTTCAGCGAGTATTTCAATCATGCCCTCCTCACGCGCGCGTCTTTCTTCGCCAAGGACTTCTGTGAGGTTTTTAAACTTCCCTCCCACTGGCACTATCTCCTCACGCCTCATTCACCAATGTCCAAGACTGATGATATGACTACCTTTGGCTCATTCGAGCCCACACTGGCCGTTGACAAACCCCTCACATGGTGGAAAACACTTTCGATCTTCTGGGACACGCTTTCGAGTACCGCCCTAAGTAGATGTTGGCCTGCACTGATTGTCACTGGTATCTGGTCGTCCTCAATATGCGTGCTTAATTATTACACGCACGGAAAAGTGTCGATTCAGCCGACCCTTATCACCGTGTAGGGGGCCCTTAGTACTCAGTCCCACTGAAACCATCTTTGACTGATTTTCATCGCAGGTTCGGTACCGTCCTCGGTTTCATAATATCTTTTCGGACATCATCCAGTTTCGAGCATTACAATGAGGGTGCAAAACTCTGGTCTCATATCGTGTTAAACTGCCGCATCTTTGCTCGGACCGTGTGGTTTCATGTCCCAGGTACACAAGCTCTTTTCTTCTTCGCAGAGGTTGCTCAAACGTCACAGATAACACTTTTCCAGCTCCCCCAAAGGATTGTCATCGTCCAATTGCTGATGAAATAACCGACCAGGACCCAGCGAAGACCCACAAGGAATGCGCTATGACCCTAATTGAGAAGAAGACAGTAGTGAATTTACTCGAGGCGTATGCTGTCGCCGTCAAGCACTACCTGCGAGGGGAAGAAGGAATTCACTATGAAGATCTGTACCCGCTCGTTCCCTTCCTTCTCTTCACGCCATTACTCGTTTCCCGCCATTATCCCTTCTAAAAATGACCAAATTCGGATGTTACGCCGTAGGCATACACATGACCTGAATCACGACAAATCGGAATTCTCTGGGGGCGCAGTCGCTCAAACTCACGAGGTGGCAGTGCCTGGGTCTTTGTCAAGACCTGAAAATCGATCATTTTGGACGGACACCACCACCAAAACCATTGCACCGTCTTATTATGATGCAGAGTCTCTTCTACCCGCCGAATTACCTCCTAGGCACGGCTGGCGAGCAGCCTTTCCATTTCCGATCTTCTTTTGGGTATGGAGAATCATAAGGAACCATTTTTGTAAGCTTGGAGCAGATGACGCACGTCAGAATTTCCGCCCTAGCAAAAATAACGTTCCTTTGGAGATATCTTTGTACTTGGTACGTATATCTTACCATGCACGGAAATTAACAAGGCCTAATTTTTGAGCCCTGAAGACATCTTACATTTCCGCACTGCAAACCCGTGGAACTGTGGGTGACCCAACTTTAGGTATGCTGTGGTAGGCTCATTGTCCATGCCACTGATAATTCTTCTCGCAGGTGTGCTTTTCGCGACGCTTAATGATCTCGTGGAAACCCTGACTGGGTTAGAAAGGATCCTTGCCATTCCGATTCCGTTTTCGTGCGTGATCGCTAGACGCCCGTTGCCTCTGTGGTTCCTGACTCTTTATTCAGTTATTCCTCGCACCTATGGATGATCACAATACTTTACTGTGCAGCTTTGGTATGCAGGCGTCTTTCCTCGCATACAACTAGTTGACATCGTCGTTATATGTGACAGCCCTTCCAGCTATGGTCCACACTTGAATGGTTCACCATCCCAGCGACTGTGATTGCTGTAAGGCGTATTACACACTTCCCTGTGTCGTCTTGTCTCATTTAACTACCAAGAGTTTGGTTTTCTATGGCTTTCTTGTGGCTGGGGAGGAAATTGAAAGTAAGTTCTGAAGCTAAGATGTTGCGCTTATTCATTTAACGCGTCGTCTTAGATCCGTTTGGCAAGTTGTTCCATTCCGAATGACCGATGCGATCTTACTGCCATCTATCTGATAGGTTATGACAGGAATGACTTGGTGCATCTATCTTTTTTTTTACATTTGAGAATGTATTCGCTTACCCAAGAACTTAGAACATGGGATATTTGGTGGAGAAAATCATACGTAGGTCTTCTTTCTGTCCGAAGGCGTATTTTCTCACTTCGTCCATCCAGGGAAGGAACTTCATGCTATTACAGCGACGCCAGCCCCAAACCCAGCGGTATGGGTGTTCTCGAAAGAGAACAATTTTCTTCAAGTTGGACAATATTCGAAGGACAATTCGGACAAGATACCGGCGGCCTGGGTTGACAAGGGGAGAGAGGAGATTCTCAGTGCTTTACATGGGTAGGTCGTGCATAGTTACGTCAACGTCAGTGATAGATTCATGTCTCTGCACTAGCAGGTCTCAAACCATCTAATGGAGCCTGAGGATACCATAAAGTGAATTGACAGAGAAGCCACGTCTGGAGACCAGTAGTGTTTGTACTCTTGTATATTATATATCCGAAGTGAGATAACAATCAAAGAACGTTCGGCGCATACTGAGACCTGTGAAAAAGGCAGTTCCAGGTTCGCGCGGCACTGGTTGATGCGAACACGAGAGCGGGTCTGAAGACGAAGGTTGCAGAATCGACGCCTTTAAATGGCTGTGATACTGTTGGGTTGGCGGTATATCGAAACAGCAATACGAACGTTCGGACATTAATTGGTTGCATCCGTAACATTGGAAAAAGCTGCATTTTTGACGGCCGTTTTTGGGGTTCCGGACGAACAGACCTTATAGGGAGCTTCAGGGGGCCTCGCCGTGGCTAGTCTTCTTGGTATGGAAGTTACCTCGCGTTGTTTCGTTCAAGAGGTGACATGAAACCATCCAACCCCACAGTCAGTGATGCTACTAGGACTGAAGTCGCAGAACAGAATAATCCGTGAAGAAACGTACATGTTTCTTTGATTCAGCACTCGCCAGGATACTCCTGCTATCGATGACTAATGGCGACAATGGCACAAGGTTTAACATCCATGACGAGAGATTTCCTCCACGAACCACCTAGCAGAATACCGATGGTCAGTATCATCATGGCTATAGCGAGCATTGGTTCGATGGAACACTTACCAGACGAAGCTGAAAGGTAAGGCACGACTTGCAGTAGAGGGCCAGGTCCCCCATCTCTGGCGATTGATTGATCAATCTAACCCAGACAGCGCTCCTGCGCCGTATCATTTGTGCTGTGCTATATCCCCTGCCACCGATGCCAATTCCAGGAAAATTTCCCTGCGAATTTTCACAGCTGTATCCAATATCCGAGACATTGCCAACTTCCAAGCCAGTTGGACCGTGCATTTGAGATTACATGTCAATGAGACTCCCTGGACAGTGGACAAATTTAAAATGTACTCTGTTTGTGTTCAAAACCTGAATCTGTGGTGTGAAGGTTCGCACGAGCGAGTTGGATGTTTCTAGACAATTCATATTGACTATCGGAGCATATGTGTCGCTGGGTTCCACAAAGTTAATGTAAAGAGCGAGCTGGAGAGAGGTGAATATATCAGGATAGGTTACGGACGAAACCGTGGGACTACGTACATCACTGTCATTTAAAGTTGCTCGAAAGAAAGCTGTGTTAGATCTACCGTGACCGGCTGTGTTGGACCATATGCTAACACAAACTCAAAGTACTCATATAGTACTCGAAGCGATGATTGATTGATCTTCACAGCGTGCACATTGCACACTTCCGAGTCCTCCGGCCAGACCTGGATACTTTTAAGGTCGGACAACGGAGACTGAATCAGCTCGGTGCCGCCATGTCCGCTGCCGTTGACTTTATGGAACATTGGAACTCGAAGCGGCTGTTCAACTGCTTCAGGTCAACGACTTCGGCGATCACCGACATTTCGTTGACCACTATATCAGTGACACATCTACCTAGCATGCCAAGGAAGCAACTTGTGCGCATACATCCACTCTTTTAATAATTTTTCGTATAAATGACCTTCGCAGTCTGGGGATATATCTGAGACGGATCCGGCGGGTACGAGACTTTATCAAATCTATCCAGCTCAACCCGCAATGACTCAATCTAACAATTCAAGCCCTGATCGCCATGACGGCCATAATCCCTGTGCTCTAGCGAGGAACAGAACAATGCCAGCCTTGTAATGGCACAGCTCATGAATCACCCGCCCATGTGAGGCTAACCTGCCATAACACGTTGATCAGTGATGCCAACTCGGAACATCTATGTATAGGAACTATATTACGTCTAGAACTTTATTTTGGAGTTTGATTTGGATGATTGCAGACATAGCACTTGATTGCGGGAAGGACCGCTAAACGCGGCTGGTATATAATGGACCGCCCCACATTCTCGACGTCCTCCAGTTGATTATTGCCTTGTCATGATGTATAACACTGATCTGGAGGTGCAGCAAATGTGAGTGATAACGCATAGATTGACCATATATCCTGAATATTTATAGATTGTTCTGCATATACGCCGTTCTGGCGGGAAACAGTACTAGAGTTTAGCTCTATCCTTGGTCCCAGGACGATAACACATTATTCTGAATCTAGGTGTACTGATATACGACCATATGGTGACCTTACCAGAAGAAATCGCTTTTATTTGGCGTCGTCCGAAAGCACTCTTTACAATATTATTTCTGCTCAACCGCTATATCGCTCTCCTCAGCAATATCTGTGGCTTAGTTATGGATTTTGTGCCTGTTTCAGATGAGGTTTTACAATTTCGTTATGCATGTACTCAACGTTTGGCATGCTTACAATTTATTTCTCTAGAGGTTTGTTTCACTCTGATCCTTGAATATGTATGGATTGCTCACCAAAGACTTAGCTGTTCGAAATATGGGCTATATAGACAACTGGCCATTTTCCTCCAAACAGCGATTGTTTGCAGTAAGTAGAAGTTAACTTTATTGCGAGAAAATCACATGCTGAAAATTTCAGTCATAATGGCTATTCGCACTTATGCTCTCTACGGCCGTAGCAAGCGCCTGCTTACTTCGATGGCAATCGTCATGATTGCTCTTGCGGGACTAGCTTGTGTGCGTTTAAAAAAAAAAGTTTAGACCATGGAGTTTACTGATCGTTTCTAGGCGGGCACTTTTGGACACTTTTCAGGCGATGTGGAAATCGTGCCGGAAGTTGGCTGCAATGAAACATTTTCAAAAGCGGCGTACGTCGTGCTCATCCCCGTTCTATGCGCTTGCTCAAAGGTCGTTGCAGAGCTGCCCGTCAGTGAATTCTAAGCCACATTTGCATGCAACTTCATGTCGTGACCTTATCCAATTGCAGGCATCGGGCTGGCATATGTGGCGTTATTTGTCTTCGATTTATTCATCTTCGTCCTGACAGTGTACAGAATTTGCAAAACCGACAGTTTGCTGCGGTTATCTTTGGTCACTAGGAAAAATATCATTGATGTCATATTTTGCGATGGTAAATCTTTCGTTGCATCTGTGTTACGAACATTGAATCAACCGAACACAGGTGCAATGTTTTTTGGGTGAGGTTGCTAGCGATACCGTGATTCGAGTGATTCTGACCCACATGCCTCCAGGGTGATGACACTGTCCAATATACTGAACATCCTGACGTACTACGTGAGTCACCGCATGGATACTGATGCGTGTCACAAAATGCTCACAGCTTAAATCAGATCGGTTCGGTAAGCATACAGACTCCGCACCTTATATTTAGTTTGACGATCGACAAGGTTGGCCTCAGAGGCAGTCTTTCCACATTTACTTGTTGGTGAGTGGTTAATGCGATAAACACGGACAGATTTTAAAGACCTTCAGCTTATCCGTTACTCTCATCTCTCGGCTGATGCTTAACCTGCACCAGACTATCGACACTGGCATTTTCTCCACTCCCACCCAGGACGACAGCCCAAGCCTCCCTATCATCACCACTAGGGTCGACGTAGAGTCTACGATTTCCTCTCACCATTAATAGGCTAGTATTGGATTTTGTTTCTAGATGCAAAATCTTGTTGGGAGCGGCAAGCTGTTCCTTTAGCGCTTTCCTGCACCGCGCCGGCGGTCATGAGTACTTAGTAGAAATCTCAGTTATTGTAAATCTTTGGACGTGCCCAACGTAGATGTGCTCATTATCGCCTAATTATGCTGCATATGCTCGTCTATAATACGATATATCTCTGTATAACCAATGTATAATCCTTGGCCTCTCGTCTCGCAAGTACTGTTGATGGAAGGTCAACGATCTACTAGTAGCTGTATCATAAGGTGTTTGCTCTTAAAACTCGATGACTTCAAACCGATCCATTTTATCCTGGATAGACAATAAGTACGTCGCACTTCATTGGAAGATGAGATGATCCTACGATGTCAAAACGGTCCTTCAACAAATAAAGTTTGTCTCTATCGAGCCACATCTCGATGATATCGTCATTACTGAACGTTCTGTCAGACACGACCTCGACATAGGGCATGGATGTCGTGATACATTCCTTCTTCTCGATATGTTCTACCGTAGACTGGCTCATTCACCATTCTTCCTAGGCCTTGCTGGTGGTGGCGCTTAACAGCTAATGGACTAAAGTCCATGAGATGTAATCTGTACTCCGTCGAGTCATCTATTTGTACGCCGGCTGCAGCGAATGCATACAAAGCTCGACTCCCGCTAACGGCAAGTTTGCATGAAAATTGGTGCGGGAAAGCACGAGTATTTTCAGGACCCCAAGATTCCCATGGTATGGTTGCTGGTCCTTCCGAATCAACGAAGTCAGGCTCGAAGAAAATCCTAGTGGAAATGACGAAGTGGAGATCTGGATACCGCGTGACAAGGGAGAGTAGTCGATGTTCAGGATTAGAGATCCATGTTACTTGTGGGGCTTGTATCTGGGGGTGCGAGCTGCGTGCAATATCATCCGTCGGGGTAAAGCATCGTAGGTTCATAAATGGTACGGGCCACGAGAAGCAAGCCAGCAATCGCGGTGCCTGAGACATGTCCTCGATTGAATAGAGCTTCAAATGGTCGCTGACAATCAAAAATCTATCGTTTCCGAGGAAGCAAATGTCGATCTCGTCAAAATCTGGATCTATTATTGGGCCGCTGAGGATGCTCTAGATCGAGTATCAACTGTCAAGTATTTCAACTAATTCTGATCAAGGCTCACATTGGACGTTGTTGAGTGTTGCCAGTCCCAAATCTGCAACCACCATCTGGACGCAAATGTAGGAGTGCACGGCTGATCGTCAAACAATCGTAAAGCGATATGTCTCCCAAAACCCTCGATTTTCGTACTCTTTGTGATAAAGTCTTCGTGTGTTGGCAAGTCAGAGAGAAACAGAGTCCGTCCAGCAGCTTGAGGGTGGGCGCCATCTCCATCCAGGGCTACAAGGTCAATATAGTAATCCTCATCATACACCATGTTACCATTTCCAATGACTGTGACATAAACGATGGCGAGTAGGTTTTGCACCGGGTCGATGAAAACATTCAAAACATCGAAGTCGCTTTGTGTCTGTCCGGGAACTGAGCAAAGTGAATCTGGAGAAAAATCACGCTCGATACTTTGTTGTAAGGACTTGGGTAGTATTGGAAAGATCTTGCACGAGTGCATAGATGGCTTCCAGAAGCAGGCATGTCCACTGACGATGGTCACTTCTGTTCGTGTACAGAATTGTTCTGGTATAGAGATCGCTTCGAAAGAGTGGATGTCAAGCTTGGACCATGCGTGGAGTTTGTCCCTCAGGAGTTGTAGGTGCTTTGAAAAAGAAATGTGACCACCGAAGACAGGGAGCAGTTGTTGGCCGCCCAATTCAGTGATGTACTGCAACTCGGAAGATGACATGTATGCCTGGCGAAGGGCCTTGCATAGCTGCCAGACGATCATCAGTATCAGAGTCCATCTGGGGCAACCAACGCCAATCAGTGATTGGACAGTAGCTTACGGATGTGCAACGTAGAATGTCTTGCCAAGGAAGGAAGCTTAGAATATAAAGTAGAAGTTCTTCAGGAAGAGACAGTAACTCTACTTTGGACTTCTTCATTCCTTCTCAGCTTGGTTCACTGTCTAATACGCTGAAACCTGATGTCAGCATCATCAGCAAATATAAAACAAAGAACTAACCAGAGTTTGTGTCGTCAATAGCGAGTACGATCGCGAGTAGTAGCCTGAGAGTACTTGACCGAAGAACGTGTTCGTAGTGTAGTGTCGATACCACCGTTCTGCTTGTCGCTTAAATACTTTCAGATGCGACTAAGAAACGAACGGACAAAGACATCGTGGCGGAAAAGACTGTAGTGGTGCCATGAATCAGTCAAAGCAAGAACAAGGTAGCTCTGTCGAATTGAGGTTGCGAGGGTGTCTCGAACAATGAAGACTTAGTAGTGACTGACGAAAGCAAGTTCAAAGGTGTGGTCACTATTGCTGCCGCAAAAAGGAGGTTATAACTTAGACTCAATGGTAGTATGTCACGGATACCAATAACGTCTCCAAGTCGTGCTTCAAGCCTTCGCCATGAAGCACGACCTAGACATATATTCATCCTTTGCAGGTTGCTCCGGGGGCAACTCTCGCCCCAGAATCGAGCGAGGAGGTCGATGAGGACGATAGACCGTGTGCAATACACCCAGTAATCTAATAGCTTGCTGTTGGCGAAGCCGGCATCATTATGATTATACAGTCCAATACGTGTTGTCAGGATTTCCCTGAATGTATTCAACAGGATGAGATGTTAATCAACCTGCGCAATTGTGGCAAGAGGTAGGAAGGTCTTGACTCTTGCCAGTGGCAGCTGCCCTTGTTTGGACTCCTTTGAGTTTGTTGCAGGCTGTTGAAAATGGAAGACCTCCCGCGAGTCGACAGGTGGCACACACATTGATACATCAACCATCAGTCGCATTGCATCAAGCATTATGTACATCCGGTGCAGCTATACTAGTAATAATATGCATGTTATGTTAACCATGGCTACTCATGGATAAGACCCATTCCAGATGGGCACCTAAAGTACAAATAGACAAGATATGCACAAAGCAGAACGAAACGAACATGCAACAGAGAGTGACTTGATCCAAAGGAGAGTGAACATGAGCGAGAGTGAGTTAAAAAAGATCGTGTGCGTGGATAACCGAATCAATGATGTCGTGATGCGGCACGCAGTGCCACGAGGCATCAAGCCTTGTTATATGATAACCATGAGGGAGAGGGACGTCAAGCCCACCCTCGCCAGTTAATATTCGCGTTTAATGCGCACGGGTGAGTCTCCGCTTGTGTGTCCGCTTGTTCCTGCTGTCTCGCTTGACAACATCCTCACTGGTGGAACGGCTAAGCATGCACTGCCCTGTCGCCGTTGGACTCGGGGTGGATGACGCGATAATAGTGGAAGAAGGGCCATTGGCGAAGGTTGATGTAGCCCCCGCTGAGGAACCCGATGCAGAGCCGGTGGAAGAAGGCGCAGCAGAGCTTGAGCCGGCGTCCACGAAGCTTGCGACAGGAGGGCCGGGGAACGTGTACTCAATGGGCGGGTTGTAGATCTGTGCGATGATCAATGATATATTCAAACAAAAATCAAACAAGAAAACGGCTCACGTTTGGTGTTAAGATGCCAGCATCAGTATCAGAGTAACAACCGGGGAATAAGCACTCCTCGCTCGACGTCGGGCCCTGAGTCTGGGAACCACCAATTTGAAGTTGAATGCACGCAGGGTAAAACTCAGCGCCTCCTAGTGTCATCGCAAGTTGGAGGGAGATAATCTCCGAGCGAAGCAGGTAATTTCCGGGTGCGAGAGTGCTCGGGATCGTCACGTTCGCAGGAGCTCGAGAATCTGCAGAATACATGAGTGCAAGTAAAGCAAAGTACGAACATTACTAACTCAGGTTTGCCTGATACCAGGTACTACCGTCCGCCTCGAGACCGAGTTCAGAGATCTTGAACCACTCGGAGTTCGACGAGTTGTATGTTGAACAAGAACCGTCGCACTTGGTCATGTAGTGCATTAGTGGGCCTGTGTTATGCGGCCACTGCAGATTGATGGTCACTTGTGAATCTATGGCATTGTATGAAGTCACGTACGTTAGATGAGCCGTCTGTTCCGCCGACCCATAGAATCTCGAGCTGGGAGCCAGGGTTCGCATTTCCGACCAGAGAAGCGAACTGAGCGTCTTGCCCACAGTTAAGGAACGTGTTATTAGTACCCTTGACGGGACTGTTCGTGTCGACAAGACGGATAATAGAAGGGGCAGGAGTTGCCACATTCAAGTCATTGCCCATGTAGACGGTGCCGTCGATCGTCACCTGCTGTACATAACCATGAGCTGAGACGAGAGTGGGGATGACGAGGGCAGGGAGAAACTGGGCAAGTCTTCGAAGCATCATAGAAGAGCGAAGCGTAGAGGGAAGAGAATAGATGCGAGGAAGGGCGCGAAGAGAAGGGAAAGATAAACGTTTACGATAAACAAACTCGCCCGGCGAGAGTTCAAATAAGGAGTTAGGTGGATAGATCAAAGCAGACGATTGCCCTGATTGTTGTGCACAGACAATAGAGCTTTCAGTATCACAGACCACTGGTGAGGGACCATAATAAAACGCATTATAACAGTCTTTTTATAACCTTGTTGCATGGACTAAATCAGACAATGGACAATATGTAAGATGGCTTACCGTGACATTGTGTGTCCATTTCACTATATGAATTCCCAATCGATTGATGTTTGCCCCTTTTGCGTGTTCCTCGCTTCCGTCTCATCAATCAAAGCTGAAAAGTACATGCCACATGCTGCAGGCGGAGCATGAGCGTTACACAAGTTCCGTTTTTTTCAAGCCATCGGATCAAGTCGTGTTTCTCAGCGCTCCGCCGGCGTGGTTTAGTCGTGGCATTGGTTTCTTGAAAAGTTAAAACCCTCCTACCATGGGGTATCACCTGAGCAAGCTTTGATCAGAATAGGAAAACAACGAGCTGAAGCGAATCCACAAGGAGAAAGTTGTTTGTTCGAGTCCACGGATGTTCGACTTATCAATAAACCGCTAGTTGAAACTTTCGGTCGAGTGCGGTCAATCTTTTCATTGGAGAAGGCCCAGCAGCGGATACGAGTCAAGTATGTAGAAGATCAATCGAAGGAGTTGGGCATCATGGTGTGTGTGCCGTGCGACAATGCTACCGCATTTCTCACGCTCACTACATAATGGAAACAACTCCTGGCAGGCTCTCATCCAGCATTCGGTCCCCCAAACGTTCATCGCATGCTGATCCATTCAGAGGTACAGGAGTGTACAGGCAGGCACATGTTGCAGGTGCAAACGGGCTTACAGGGACGTTGCTATCGAGATGGCAATGATGCAACAGACGTGGGCAGGATTCATGCATTTCACAGTGCAAATAGTTTTTAGATCGAAGAATGACCGACGAATCATTCAAACCCACGGGCCATTTTCACCAATCATCATGCCATCCCCATAACATTCTCCAGCGAGCGGACTTCATTTGAAGAAATGCCCGCTAGGAATGCCCACTATTGAGGCGTCGATCTAATGTCCATGGTCTTGTAACCCAATGACACTATCATTTGGTTGGACCGGCAGCACCTACAGTTTCACCAGTATAGTTCCTATGCTATGTTTAGTTCGCAACGTTAGATGCTCCTTGAAACATCTTAGCTGCGAGCTGTGCAAGCGCATAGGCCAAAATCACGAACACTAATACGTGAGTCGAATTTGTTCGCCGCGACATCATGTACCGTGTGTGGCATGCTCCGCCTCGATTATTGGAATATCCGTCAGCGTGTCTTTCATGTCGAAACTACGAGCACGGAGACTTGTCGCTTTGAAGAGGGCCATCAAGAAGCAGAGAACACTTGATTCGATGACCCCGACGCTTTCGACCTATGGATGGTGAGTGATCGACCACGTTGATGTTTGATGCTGATATAATTTATGATTTTATATCTTGAAAGGTCTAAATCGAGCTGGAGAAGCTAATGGTTCGTGTCCCAGGTCTTGTCGAGCTCCAAGGTCCAACTCGACGGTTAAACGAGACTGACACGTAAAACGGTATGAACGACTGCGTGCCTTGTCAAGTGAGCGAGCTTATGACGGCGAAAAAGTGGACAGTTGATCATTAAATGCGCGTCTTTTAGCTGGCACGCATTTGATTTATGGTCGGCCCTGCAGGTTTGTTTGCACAAAGACCAAAAAGCACATAAACACGTTATTCACTTGAAACGTCATACGCTACTTCAGCCCCATATCGCCTCTGTCCATTTCTCAAACAGTAGCGTTTTATGTCTTGTTTTATTAACAACAGCACAAATGCAGAAGCGGGATCAGGACTCACCAACGTGTCGATATGTGCAAATTAGTCTGCTCTCTCACTGGGAAGATCATAGCAGGCTTTATTGCCGTTCTGATATTACGAGGCGCAAAAGGTGAGTCATCGGGTGAAAACTGAATGCAAAGCAAACTGTTCCTACTCACAAATCCAATGCAGACCACGGTTTCACCACAGCAGTCACTGCTCGTGGTGCAACTCTGGGTCGCTTGCCTGCATGCACTGACTGGCATAGATGCTGTCAACGCTATAATAACTGCGAGGAAGAAGAAACGCATTGCTTGTGCGAGGTGGTAATTTGAGATGGGGTGGACGGTAGGAAGATGGCTTGCTTTTATACTCTCGCGCTACCGTTGTTATGTGGATGTTTTGTTACACTTTGACTTCACGATACTATCCATTATGATCTATCCGTGACTGTCTACCATTTCGTGAATCACACAAATGATAGTCACGCTGGTAGTGTTGTTGGCAGAACTCGGGGAGTTTTGCCAACCAGTTGTGCCTAGTCTAGCCACCCGTAGTTCCCACGTACGTGTACCTGATCTAATTAGATATGATAGCGACGTGTACTGACTCCGCTGAGTCCCCAGACTTTGGCGTGGAGTCCGCGCAGACTTCATACAGTCTCAGATTGGCCATTTCCTGCGTGTCCTCGCGCTAGGGCGGCTAGCCACGAGTTAATGACGAGTTTTTAACTCACCCTCACCACCACAGCAGTCTCGCAACTCTGGAATGACTGCTTGCATGCACTGACGAAAACAGATGCTGTCAACGCTATAATAACGGCGAGGAAGAAGAAACGCATTGTGTGTGCGAGGTGGTATGATCTGTCAAGGTCCTCGATTTTGGGATGGGCTGGACGGTAGGAAGATGGCTCGCCTTTATACTATCGCGCTTACCTGGACCGTTGTAGACAGGAGTCGGTTTGGCAGAATGGTAATAACTCGAGGGTTTAGGCAGAACCTATCGCGCCTGGTCATTTCGTGATAAGTTGAATTTGTGACTCCTAGTCCGAAGCACTCACCTGCTTCACTCTTTTATTTTTTCTTCATTTACTTGTACAGCTGGAAAACAGAAGTGTGCACTTGGCACCTGCTGTCGATGCTTGTGTTGATACTGCCTCTCCCTTTGCTTTGTTGTTCAGCACGTTGAGCTTGTGCGCTTCCGTTGGCCAATGGGGCGGTTTTCGGGCATGTTGGTAATTTGAATCAGTTTTCAGGATGACGTTTAAGCAGAAACTATCCGCTGTTGAAAAATAAAAGTACGTCACGGTAATTTACCTGGGCTTGATTTTGCAAAACGGCAGCACCCACCTACTTTACTAATTTACTTGTGGGGCAAGTAAAACAGACGCGCACACCTGCTGTCGAGGTACTTTCTTTAGAATTACCATGGCTCCAACTTAAAGGACAAACAAAAGCGGTGAGTTGAATAAAATGTAACTTGGTCTTTATGGGGAATCTATTAAATGCTTGATGTTCACGGTACTTTCCCTACACTGAACCTTGTCGCGAAGGTACCTTCAATGCATATCCCATTGATTTTATCACACAGACTTTCCTTTTCTTTTTCTACTGCCAGCCAAAGGACAAGTCAAGGTAACGAAAGGCCACAGTGTCACTCCAACGACAACATGCAGTGACTTTTGGGGTGCTGGTGAACATGCCGAACTAACTCCTTTAGAGCAAGAGCTTCTTCGGTATGATACGAAAGTTGTCGTAAACGTGCCGTGGACTGCGGACCTCCAATGGCTACCGTTGTGATGTCATGGGACTATTTACACAATTAATTTTGGGTATTTGTGTTTGCATTTTAGCCGTGCGTGTACACCCAGTACCTAGTCTTCAGTAGTCATGCTGATAGGTTACTCGTTAGGGTTAGTTTAGTCTAGTTAGGGGTTAAATGGTATGCCTGGCATATGATACTGCACTACAATAGTTTAGGGAGGACCAATCACTTCCGATAAGCCTGAGTTAGTGACTCCTGGTACCCAGACCATAGCCTGGCCCCAGTGGGAAGCACCAATCCCAACTGCAAGAAATAATGATGGATTGGCAGCAAACAGTATATCGTTATAGTATATACATCGAAATCATTCACCCCTGCCAGTCCGTTATATTTTCGTTCTGGATGGGCTGAATCATTTGAACTTGTCAGAGTACGAGGCAATTTCTTGTGACAGACGTTCGACAATAAGCACACCATGAGTGAGAATCTGACAGATAAACATCACCGACAGCATGAAATAGGTATAGTGCACGTTGCAGAATATGATTCACGAATGCATTGCATGTTTTTCTACGAGAGCATGTTGTAGAATGCGCGATAGCGTGGCGTAAATCTGTCTGGACTCTGGACGTCGGTGCGGTTCAGCTTCTCTAAACGGCGAGCGCTCAACATCATCAACAGATGCCGAAATCTATGGTGAGAACATGGCTTTAGAGGCTCGCGTGCTGCTGAATCGATAACAAGAGATGCGTTGACGACAGGAGGAGTACGTACTAGAGCATTGGCTACCTCAGGGCCATACGAGTTCTAAAACTCAGTAGTAAGCAACGTGCCCCGTGTTCTTGTGCAAGTAGGTAGGACAGGTGCCGTCAAGAGAAATCGTCAACGGCACGACTCAAAGGAAGATTATCACGGTACACCGGTTCGGCATCCGCAAGGGACATGGCTCCAAACTTATCACCTACAAGTGTGTACTCGGTAGCTGGAACATGATAGTTATGGAAGCCCTTCACATTGAGGATGTTGATGAACCTGTCATGCAACGAACCAGCTTGTATCGACCATTCAGCAAGAGGTCTGTCTCGGAGCGTTAACCACCGGAAAAAGCCATCACCTATTTTATTCATAAATTCCATGCAGAGGGCTACATCCATGGGGATATTCGTGGTGTTGATTTTTCTGCGAAAAACAAGACGTGGCGAGTCGCGACTGCTGGCCCCACGCCGCCCGATTTTAGATTGGGCTGGTAGGACTGGTGATCTGTATGTCATTTTACAGAATTTCCCTTCGTCCTCATGATGCGCGTGGCGGGATTGAGGTTACGGTGGAACATGACTTTGAGATGCTGGGCTTGTGCTGGGCTACGTGTTCCGTGGGCCATACGGCGAACGCCTCAGGCTCAAGAAAATGATGGACGCCTATGCTTACATAAGTCACGAGGACTTGCCTATTAAGTACTATATCCCAGCACAGCCACGCAAGCTCCTGTTTTTGACGACTACGAACGTGTTTTCGCACTCCTGATATCGAGCGCTTTAGATCCAGTGATCCTTATCTTTGTTTCCTTATTCCCGATCATTTAGGGGTGATCGAGTGCATGCGGAGACAACGAGGCAGGAAATGCTGAGCATTCCTTCCTGTGCTCTTTCTCCTACCGTGACAGCTTTGTCGATCCTTTTCAGCTGCATATACGAAGGGGGGACATAATCTCCTCTGGCTACTAAACATCCTTTTGGAACTCAAATAATTTCCAGCACTTGAAATAAACATGCCACGACAGTCGATCAAGAAGGTCGATGCTGCCTCGAAGGAACCGTGAGTCTATGAGACGAGCGAGGATAGACTGTGTAACTGACAGGTGTCAGACCCATTTGTATCATATGCAGAGATCCTATAGATGGAGCTGCAATACCAGTTCCATGCGGGCACGTCTTCGACCTTGCTTGCATCACCCACCTCTTCCAGTCCTCAGTCCGTGACGACGCCTTGTATCCACCACGATGCTGTCACAGAAACATACCCTTCACAAAAGTACGACGCTACGTCAGTCAAGCTTTAATTGCAGACTTCCGGCTCAAAGGCCGAGAAAAGAAAACGATGCACCGGGTGTATTGCTCGTCGCCATCTTGCAATCGCTTTCTTGGTGCACTCCACCAAAAGTCGTCACGAAAAGTGTACGATTGCCTAGCCCCGAGTTGTTCCACCCGTACGTGTGGAAAATGCCGTACCAAGTATGAAGGGGTTGGGAATCACAACTGTGTTATTGACGCAGCGACGCAACAAGTCCTTGATATCGCTCAAGCATCAGGTTGGGCAAGATGCCCAGGGTGCTCCCATTTGATAGAGAAGATCGCTGGCTGTAATCATATGGTTTGTCGTTGTGGAACAACGTTCGATTATTCCTGCAAGTAATAGTACCAGTGACCGAATTCACTCTCTCACTTGGATTTACACATCTATGCGCTTCCCAACATCTTTCCGGGGCTCGAAGGATGAGGGACTTCCAATTATGTATTATGCAATAGAGTTGCCTGTATGTTAGAGCTTTGACTTGTTCTTAAGAAAACACATGCAATCCAGTATGCAATTTCTACGCTTATTACAATGGAGGATGTCATCAGGGACCCGCTTGGCACGATCTCTACAAGTATCGGTTAAAACCCCGATCCTTAGTACTTAGTGCCACAATGAGATCTCGGAATTATTTACTCTGTGGGAAGTAGAGGACAGTACTTGTAAAGTATGATGTAAAACATCAGGCCTTCTGATGCAACGAGGACGTCTACATAAAATGAGTGGCAATCGCTGTAATATGTGCAAAACACAGCATTCGAGATAGCAAGAAAAGAACCGTAAACGAAAGTTAAGTTACCAGCCATATCTTGAGCACGACTTCCCCGCCTACCGGTCTAAGTATCCCTCTCAGCAGTCAGACTTTGACTGCGCTTACGGCGGAGCACAGGTATGCTGAGCCTCCGGGGAAGTTTCGGTATACTTGGTTGACGTTTTGATTTTGGGCTTGTGGGATCCGCGGGTGTGCTGGGTGCACGTATCAAAGGAGGAGTATTTGACAAAATCGAACGACTTCGTTGACGCGAGGTCGTCGTGGACAGACTAGACCTACTCCCACTGAACATCGGGGAGCTCAGGAGACTGGACTTGCGAGGAGCGCTGGAGGACCCATCATCCCGTACAATTTTGGGAGAAGTAGGCAAGGGCGGAGGCTCTTCAGCGCGAGTTAATCGACCCTTCAAGTGAGGTGCGCTAGGATGATGTCTGATGCTGTGTTCGCGATCGCCATCGGGACGATGTTTCTGCATCATCGGTGAACTCGGTTGATGCCTCAACTTCTTCTCCTGGTCTGCGGACTGGACATATGCAGTATCGAACGTTGCTGACTGCGGGCTTGCGCTCGCGTCACTGCTTCTTTGTGCTGCACCATCTACTCTCCGCGCAAAAGGGGAGAAGTTGAGCTTGCGAGTGAGACTCGCCACACTCGGCCTCCGTGACCGCGGAGCACTTGAACTCCCATCGCTTTGGAAATTGGACTGCATACTCGGCGTCGTACGATGCGCCGGAAAATTATATTGTGTCGGAATGCGCGGGCTCGGCAACGGCAATGGTGGTGAAAGCTCTGGAGTTGTTATCGTACCCCTGCGAGGGCGAAGTGGGCTGCGAGATATCGATGCATCACCCGCTCGCTCTTCTGCTACAGGAGAAGCGGGTGGCGCCTTTTTCCACCAGACGCGCGAGTGCTGTGGAGATCCGTATTGAGCGCTTTGATCATCGTGTTCATCAGCTTTTCGAGCGCCTTCTTCGCGTCGCTTTTGCTTCTCGACCACGCTACGTACGCCAAGGCCTCTTGCCTTGAGCCATCGTCTACCAAGGCTGTAAGATTTAGACTTGCCAGACGGGATCTCGTCCGGACGGGGGAGGAACACACGAGATCCAAACGTTGGCGTTCCACAACGCGATGACGAGCGCTCAAGGATAGGAGAAGGCAAAAGTGGTAATATAGCTGTCGAGATAGGCCTCGGCCCGAGGGACGACGGCAACTTATTTGCATACATCTCCTGGGCGGTCCGCGGGCCCTCATGTTCGTTATCCTCCGAGGGCTCAGCACATTCAAATGACAAATCTATCGCAGGATCCGAGATTGGCCGCCCAGGGAGAATGTTGAATGCATCCTCTGGTATATCTACAGGCTCACAAACAAGATGCCCGAAATGGGAACCTTTTGAGTATGTCACGCGTGCAATGCGCCATCCGGACGACAGAGCTAGCGCACAAAGCTCCCGTAGCGTGCGCTCCTTGCCATTGAAAGTTATGTGCATCTACGCAGCTCAGTCAGTAAACCCTTGCACAGACAAATAATCTATCATCGCGCATACCACGATGTCCATGGAAAAGGGGGTTGCACTTGCTTCGCCCAAGTTCGGAAGTAGGGGCGCAGGCGCTAGAGTGCCATGTGCGCCCTCGAGGTGCGCTAGAACCGAGTCGAGCGTCCACTTTTCGCCTTCGGATTTCTGATGCTCGTGCTTTGCACTACGGACGCCCTCATCAACGCATGCTAATGGGAGGACATGATCTGCAATGATAAGCCTCGTCTCTGGGCTGCTTGCAAGCCGCAAGTTGAGTAGCACATGTCGTGCACGGGCATCAGGCCAGTCATGTAGGACAACGCGGAGTATGTAAACTGCGGGATGCCGATTGAGGTCTGATGGGGGAAGCGGAGGTTGTGGGAGGAAGAAATCGTGATCTGTCGAATGCATCGTGAAAAGGACACGTCCAGCATCTGGGTGGAATTCTTACCATAAAACGTCACTTGTCCACTCTCCAGCATCTCTGGGCACTGCGCACGCCATGCGTCAAGTCCGAGTCCGACGACAACCGGACGGTCCTGGACGATGAAGCGGAATTGCATGTCCTGATCCTCACAAGAAGGAACAGTTGACTGTCGCGCACTGAGCTCGCCTTGAGAAGACTGAAGCCTTAGATCGGCATGAGAACGTGCAGCTTTGAGATTAGTGGACTTGAGATCAGCGCGAGAAGTATGTGACTTGAGATCGGCTCGTGAGGCAAAGGACTTGAGGTCCCTCCGAGATTTACGCGGACTCAATTCGTTGCAAGACCGTTGAGGGATGGAGCTGTTATTTTCCACAGTGTCTTCAGCTTCGTCGCTGCTCACACTTCCCCGACGTCCAGAATTGCTTCCGAACGCCCGTGCAAGAATCATCGTCGTGCTTCCGATTCCTCCTCCAACATCTACTATCGTCGAACCTCGTGGGAGGGAAAGCCAGTCGAAACCTGGAGCCACAAGTGTCAGAATCATGCAGCAACACAGACATGCAGGCAAACGGAACAACAACGCACCAGTTAAAATAGCTCCAGGCGCCTCCCACCCATTCGTACCAATCATCGCCTGCGAGAACCGCTCAAGGCGGAAAGACTTGCCCGGTTCACGACCGCTCTGCGCGGACAGCGTGCTCAAATTCCTCACATGTCCAGTGTGAGTCTGTGCACCCTCATCTTCAGCTGATACGACATTCCCAACAGCGCCTGCTGGTAAACAACCTGCACCAGCGCCGTTCCCACTAAGTGCGTCCAATCCCCCGTTCTCTAACCACTCGAAAAATGGCACAGGCGTGTTGAACGCGAGATTGAATGCTGGAATGGGCTCAGGATCAAGTCCTGACCCAGCGCTCCTTCTATCTGATTCAGCACCCAAGCCTACGTTACCACTTGGTGGTCTCCCTTCGGATACAACAGCCGAATTCGTAGATGCAAGCGTAAGTGTCGACACTACAGACGCGCATTTAACAAGGAGCGCAGAAGGAGTGTTTGGAACGTCGCTTTTGCTGTAGATCATGTTGTGCAGCGGTGAAGGGTGCGGGGCTGGCGGGGGGAGTTTGAGAGCTGATTTTATAGATGAGGCTTCTGTGTGGGGCGTTGTGTCGCGTTTGGGAGAGAGAAGGCCGGAGCCGATGTTCAAAGGTGGTCCAGCGATGGGCGCAGGCATGGTTGCATCCCATAAACGAGGAGACGTGGTTGATTCTGCCACTGGATTGAGCGCATGTGTGGCTGTCGCAGCTTCTAGGAGATGGCGATGTGTCTGCGTAGACGATGTAGTAGTTGGATACTCTGAATGTACGCTAGTGAATGATTGGGCGCGTAAAGGCTGAGGTTGCGCTAGAGGGCTGCATATATGCGCCCTATTAGCCGGAAAGCCAGATATATGCGCATCGTCCACTGTATTTTGGGCACCGAGAGTGGATATATGCGCTTCATTTCCATCTGCAGGCCTCGTGGGAGCACTCCCTGGAGGAGCTAAAGGAAGTTGAACACCTGTAAACGCCTCCGTGAGGTACGCAGCTGACTTGAACAGCTCATCAGTGCTGGGGATCTTCAGTTTAGAAATCTATACGTCCAGGTGTAAAAAAAAACGCACCACAATCCGACGAAAGCAGCGATTCCAGAGGTGTCTTCATATTTTTTCTCGGGACTATCGATGGATGTAAATTTGTGGCATGGGTGAGCGAACAGAATAGAAGTCGACCACGTACTTTGCAAAGACATCTGCCACGCTCTTGCCGCTGTCGAGCAGGCTTGCGACACGCGTCAGTGCGAAGGTGTCTGGAGCTGTTTCACGTAGAATGTGATGCGTTGAAAGCAAGCGCAGGGGGTGGGCTAAGGCCGAGGAGTTGTTAGTCCATCCGCTTCACCGGCGAGGAAATGAAAGGACGGCGTTCATTTAAAGTAACAAAGAGTTCAGAAGCTCGGAATATCCGAATAGCCAGACGAAACTTAAAATCGAACGACTGAAGAACAGACCCACCTAAACGAACAGAATCCACACAACGGAGGCCGCCCGTGCGTTCCGCGATGATGAGCGAGATGTCTTTGACGTGTACGCCCTCTAGCTGGAGTGCCTTTTCCTCCGCCTTTGTTGGAGCGTCTGGACAATTTTATCACGTGATGGGCATGACAGGAGGGAGAAAGGAAGGGAAGGGGGATGTGAAATCACAGGGGCAGACGATACGAAGGCGCATGAAAAATTGAAATCGAATAAGACGGCGATCAGTACACCCCGGGACCAAGTGAGGAAAGTGAGGCACGTACCCCGAGTAAAGCTTGGGCGTGACGGAAGGCCCTTGACGGAGTTATGATTTGGGAAATTTGATCCGTTACCCAAGGCACTTTGGTCAGCCATAACGGGCTCGCTCTGGGACTGGAGCTCCGCGATAATACGGAGTTCGGAAAGAAGGCGCTGGCGTTCGTCCTCTGCATCACGCAGAATCTCAACGACATGTAAATGTTCGATGAGACGCAAGCATGCTGGAACGGTGTACTGAAGGTGGCAAGTATGAGAAATTACGTGGTAATATAACGACACAAGAAATGTCAGCCTAGTGGTCGAATTGAAAGGAGAACGAAAAAACTTACCACCATGCTCGCATCGGACATGAACAGAAATGGCTTCTGTACGATGCTCGTAATTTGACCAGCAGCAGCGATAATCCTTGTAGCTGCAGCGCTTGCCGCTGGGCAGGCAGCGAGTTTTTCCGCTGGTGATGACGATACATATGGAAGAGATGGAGAAGGATAGTCGTGCTGAAGGTTGGACAATGGTGAGAGTGGGGTCCCATAGGAAGAGGCCTGGGTGCTAAAGGTGGAAGACATGGGGGTAGCGGGCACCGACACCGGCTCTGGAGAATCTGGAAAGGCCGGCGATGAACATTGCGACGAATGGGGAGTAGAAGAATTTGAAAAAATGCGATGTATATCGTCGAGGGCATCGCCCATGAGCGCATGCAACGCCCGCAGCGTTGCAAAAGTCGGGTTTGGCGTCATCGGCGGATCAAATCAGGGCGAGCGGTTGTGCTAGCACAGACACAAGGAGAACTCTTGGTACTCGAGAGTGCAAAGTAGAGAACCTAAGGGAAAGAAAAATACATCCACGCGATACTTCGCCGCACGTCAAACAGGACCCGTCCCGTTCACGTTGTCTGAATAACTAAAAACGATATGACGAAATCATGCTACGAATTGAGGACATATTAACATTCAGGACAGACTAGAGGAAGATTGAACATCAGATGCGAACCCCACAGCTAGCATGCGTTCTATTCGACAATCATCAGACAGAAGCGAAGCCGTAGAGGATAAGCCAGCCAAATAGAAAACCTAACTGCAAATAGGGCAGACTCATCAACCGTATAAGGTGTTTCAAAGACGCGTCGATCCAGTGTGAACATGGGCCAAACCAGGTTAGAAGTCCTCGAGACCTCGAAAGTATGGTCTTTCGGGCGTTGCCGGTGGCGTGCCTTCTTTCTTGTTCATTCACCACGCGGAGAACGACAACACTAATAGATACGGTCTACTGAAAAGTAGGGACGCAACGAAGGTCGCCGTTAGAGGTCCGTACGACTACTTCCACATCAATAGAACAGGTCCCACTCACCTGGAGTCAAGGAATGCCAAAGACAAGCACGAACCGCCCGCAATGAAACGGCTCCAGAGGTCGGGTTCAACTAACAAAATTACTAACTCGCCTGAAAACCGCCACATGACCAAGATAAATGTTCAAACTCGAAGCGGCTGAATAGCAAAGCCTCAGCAGCATTAAACAACCAACCGTGGCAGCAGGTGCGTGCTTCTGTTTGTCCGGCTTCATGCTTCTGTTCTTCTACTTTAATGTCCGGTTCTTCCTAAACTTTCATCGTGCAGATTGACCGACTCACCAAATTACTAACATTCTTGAAAATCGCCTCCATGGCTGAGGGGAGCCTGACTCAAGCTCCAAGTGCTGAATAGCAAAGGAGAGGAAGCATAGCACAAGCACCTCGTCAACAGGACCCAGGTGCGCGCTTTTGTTTGAGCCTATAAGGAAATGAATGAAGGAAGTTCAGATCAGGAGTCACCAACTCAGCATGAAAAAGGGGATAAATTCTGCCTAAATACCTGCCCAGTATCACACGCAAGGCAAGCCCGTTCTGCCAAGTCTACCAAGCGTCAGTTGTCGCAACAGTATAAAAGCAAGTCATCTTCCTACCGTTCACCCCATCTCAAATTGACTATCCGAGCACCTCAACGATTCATATCACCTCACAAACAATGTGCTTTCTCCTTCTCGCCGTTATTTTGGCTTTGTCGACATCTATCATGTCTGCCTGTGCATGTCAAAAGAACTCTAGAGTTGCGAAACAACAAGTGACTGTTGTACAAGCAACAACTTGACCTGTGTAACACTTGTGAGTATGAGTAGTTTACTTTGCATCGAATTTTCACCTGATGACCCTTGTAATATTAGGAGAATGATGAGAATGTATGCGCATAGCGACATACTAGAGGCTTAAGTATCCACTTTTGCACTGGCAAGCCACGTGCCCGCACTGCGTTGTTGTTGATTGAACGACATCGGTGAGTTTATGAGTCTTTGACGTTGTAGCCGTCGGACACGTAGGATGCTGCTGAAGTGTTTGCGCACTAAGTACCAAGTTTTTGTTGTTGGTGTAATAAACAAGCCATGGGTCGGCCATAAATCAAATGTGTGTCACACGCATTTGAATCAGTTGGCACAACCATGTCCGCTTTTCACCATTTATTATTCGTGCACTTGACAAGCCATGCAACTGTCCAATCTATCGGTCTCGTTTAACGGTCAAGTTTGTCCTTCAAGTTGGAGCTCGACGAGACGGTCCAGTGGGTTCTCTTATACTTGATATAGAAGACATGAAAATATATCAGCACAAACTTGATGCCATGGAAAAGCGTGAACCGCCCATTGTCAAAGAAACTGCCAGAGGTCAGGTTCAACTAACAAAATTATCAACATACTTGAAAGCTGCCACATGTCCAAGTGGATACAGGGTAAACTTGCAAGCTCTAAGCGATTGAATAGACTGAATAGACTGAATAGACTGAATAGACTGAATAGACTGAATAGAGCTTCTGTTCTTCTACATTAATATTGACGGGATGGAGGTTCTGCCTGGACTCGCATCGTGGAGACTGATCAACTCACTAAGTTACCAACATTTTGTAAAACCGTCGCCATGGCTGAGCGCTGAGGGGAGCCCTCAAGCTCGAAGTACTGAATAGCAGAGGAGAGGAAGCATAACACAGGCACCCGACAACAGGACCCGGGTGCGCGCTTTTGTTTGAGTCTACAAGGCAATGTGAGAAGGATGTTCAGGTTAGGAGTTGCCAACTCAGCTACTACGTAATGAATGGAGGGGATAAGTTCTGCCTAAATCCCTGCTGGGGCCAGTATCACACGCAAGGTCAGTCCATTCTGCTGGCAAGTCTACAGCACTAAGCATCGACTATCGCAACGGTATAACGTCGCGACAGATAACGTCGCGACAGTATAATGTTGCGACAGATAAAAGCAAGCTATCTTCCTACCATTCACCCCATCTCAAACAGACCACTCAAGCACCTCAGCCTCAGCAGTTCATACCACCTCACACAAAAAATGCGTTTCTCCTTCTTCGCCATCATTGTTGCTTCGGCGACATCTATCATGTCTGTCAGTGCACAGTGTCAAACAGTGGGTGAAAGCTGTCAAACAACAGAAGACTGCTGTGCAGACCAATTCTTGGGATGCACAGCAATTGTGAGTAGGAGTAGTTTGTTTCGTCACCTGATGACTCACCTTTTGTGCTTTGTAATTTCAGTCGCAGACTAACAAAATCTGCAAGTACTACCCGCCGAGTGCTTGACTATGGGAGCCGCGGGAACTAAAGGAGGGCTTCTGCTAAATATCCATGGGCTATTAGTGGACTAGAGCAGGAGTGAACTCGGGGAATGGAACAAACACTGTGATACTGAGTAGTACCTAGAAAATGTCCCGGAAAAATAAGTACATCAGGAAAGTGTTGATCCACTTAGACCATGCTGCACGTACAAATTCGAGTTGTTTCACATCGAATCATCAATAGACTAAGTTCCACTTACCCGTTTCATTTGTCCTCGGAGGTGCGGTAAGGAATGCCAAAGCGAAGCGTGTCATTACAGCCATGCCCTGTCTGACGAAATCATGCTATGAATTGAGGACAGACAGGACAGACTAGATGGAGATTGAACTTCAGATGCGAAGCCCACAGCATGCATTCTAATCGACAATCATCAGACAATCGCATCAGAAACGAAGCCGCAGAGGATAAGCCAGGCAAATAGAAATCCTAACTGTAAATCGGGCAGACATCGATATCCAGGTGAACTGTATATATAAGGAGATTCAAAGACGCGTCGATCCAGTATGAACATGGGCCAAAGCAGGTTAGAAGTCAATCAAGGGGCGCCGAGACCTCGACAGTATGGAACTATTAGTATCAGGTTCTTTCGGGTGTTGCCGGTGGCGTACCTTCAATGTTAGGCATGCGGACAAGATTTCCTTGCTTGATCCTTCAGAGCGACAGTCGATGTATAATATTTGGTGTTCATGGGAAAGCAGTGACATCGCCGTGACGAAACTTCACCAGTGCACCGGTCACACGAGTACGGACTACTGGAGACCAAGGACGCACCACACCACTGACGGATAGTCCAATGATATCAAAACGCGAACAAGCAAGGTCGCCGTTGGAGGTCCGCACGACTACTTTCACATCAATAGACCAGATCCCACTCGCCTGTTTGGTTTCTCCATGGAGCTATGCTAAGGAATGCCAAAAACAAATGTGAACCGCCCGCAATGAAACTGCCCCAGAGGTCGGGTTCAACTAACAAAATTACTAACACACCTGAAAACCGCCACATAGCTAAGTGAATACAGGGCAAACGTTCAAGCTCGAATCGGCCGAATGGCAAATGCTCAGCAGCATCAAACAAGCGACCATGGCGGCAGGTGCGCGCTTCTGTTTTCCCTGCTTGAAAAGTAATTGAATGGAGCAAGTGCGTGCTTCGGATGGCATAGGTTTTTCCTAAACTCTCATCGTCGAGACCGATCGACTCACCAAATTACTAACATTCTTGAAAACCGCCATGATGGCTAAGGAGAGCCCTCAAGCTCGAAGTGTTGAATAGCAAAGAAGATGCAGCGTGACACAAACACCACGACAACAGGACCTGACAGGTGCGCACTTTTGTTTGTCCAGCTCTGCAAGTAGAGGTTCAGATCAGGTGTCACTAACAGTGCATTTTACGCAATGAATAGAGGGGATAGGTTCTGCCTAAACACGCTGCCAAGGATCACACGCAAGGAAACCCCGTTCACCAGCCAAGTCTACAACACTGAGCGTCAACTGTCACGACGATATAAAAGCAAGTCATCCTCCTACCGTCCATCCCATCTCAAAGAGACTATTCGAGCACCTCAGCAGTTCATACACCTCACACGAATAATGCGTTTCTCCTTCCTCGCCGTTATCGTTGCTTTGGCGGCGTCTATCATGTCTGTCAGGGCCCAACCTGCATGTCAAGGACTAATCCAGAGTTGCGTAACATCATTTGACTGCTGTTCAGGCATAGCTTGAAAATGACCTGCCGGACAACTGTGAGTAGGAGTAGTTTGCTTTGCATCGAATTTTCACCATGACTCACCTTTTACGCCTTGTAATATCAGAAACAGGGCAAAATCTGCTCCTAGTGACACACTAGAGTGTCAAGTAACTATTTTCGCTTGAGTGAGTCATTCGCCCGCTCCTGTACGGGCGCTGTCATTGATTGAAAGATACATAGGACGCTGCCGATTGAGAAATGGGTAGATGCAATAAGTATTTGCGTACTTTTTTGTTGTCCCGTGGGCCGGCCATAAATCAAATGTGTAAATGACACGCATTTGAATTAGACGGTCCAACTGTCCACTTTTCACCGTCTATCATTCGTGCACTTGACAAGCCACGCGGTCGTCCAAACCGTTTTGTGTATCAGTATCGTTTAACCATCCAGTTTGTCCTTCAAGTGGAGTTCGACAAGACCTGGGATATAAATCAAGGGTCTCCTGCTCGATATAGAAGATATGAAAACATATCAACATCAGCGTGCCAGATCTTGGTCGATCACTACTCACTATTCATAGGTCGAGAGAGTCGGGGTCATCGAATAAAAGGGTCTTGTCCTCCTTGACGAGTGACCCTCTTGAAAGCAGAGGCATTTTTGTGCTGACAATTTCGATATGAAAGATACACCGGCCGTCATCCCAGAGACCAACAATTGAGGGGTGTGCGTGGACTTGCATAATGGTTTTGACGTGCTTCTGATTTTGGCCGCTGCAACTTATTTCCCTGAGGTGAAAAGCGCTTCGGACAGTTGGCGAGACTCAGCTAATTTCGCAAATGCGTGTCATTTAGCTGACACGCATTTGATTTATAGCCGACCGAGGCTCTGTTTACACCAACAAGAACACTTCACTCACTCTATATATGTCCTTCAACTCGATACATATTGCCTCTACCCATGTCTCAATCTCCTACGTATCGTTCAATCAACAACAGCGCCCGTGCGGGAGCGGGCGCATGACTCACCGATGCGGAAGTGGGCACTTGACTCACTAGTGTGAGCAGATTCTGTTACCTGCCAACTGATATTGCAAGGCGCAAAAGGTGAGTCACCAGGTGAAAATTCGATGCAAAGCAGGCTACTCCTACTCACAAGGGTCACGCAGGTACCTGCGCCTGGACAGCAGTCACTGGTTTTTTTTGCAACTCTGGAATGTTGCTTGACATGATGCTGCGCTGACAGACATGATAGATGCCGCCAAGGCAACGATAACGGCGAGGAAGGAGAAACGCATTGTTTGTGTGAGCTAGTATGAACTGCTGAGGTACTCGAATAGTCTGACCGAGATGGGTGGACGGTAGGAAGATGACTTGCTTTTATACTGTCGTGACAGTTGACGCTCGGTGTTGTAGACTTGGCTGAATGGGTTTTCCTTGCGTGTGATCCTTGGCAGCAGGTCTTTAGGCAGAACCTATCCCCTCCCTTCATATGCTAAGTTGGTGACTCCTGATCTGAACCTCTACTTGTAGAGCTGGACAAACAAAAGTGCGCACCTCGGTCCTGCTGTCTGGGTGCTTGTATCACGCTGCCTCCCCTTTTCTATTTAACATTTCCAGCTCGAGGACTCTTCATGGGGACGGTTATTGAGAACATTTGCAATTTGGTGAATCGATCGGTCTGCACGATGAGAGTTTAGCCAAAACCTATGCCATCCGGTCATTAATGTAGAAGAACAGAAGCACGCATACGCTCCGTTCAATTACTTATGGAGAAGGATAAACAGAAGCGCGCTCCTGCTGCCAATGTTGCTTGTTCAATGCTGCTGAGCCTTTGTGATTCAGCCGCTTTGAGCTTGAACGTTTACCCTGTATTCACTTAGCCATGTGACGGTTTTGGGTGTGTTGGTAATTTTGTTAGGAGTCGGGGGCGATATAATCGAATCAAAGGGTCTTCTGGTCCCTGATAACCCTCTTCAAAGCGGAGGCATTCTCCGTGATGATTTTGATATGAAAGACACGCTGGCCGTCATCCCAGAAGCCAACAACTGAGGTGGAGTGCTTGGGAGACTCAATATGCTGAACCATATGTAGCGAACCGTTTAAGGGAGATGCATCAATCCAGCATGAACATGGGCGAAGTGTACTTACTTATGTCGAGAAATTTACGGTGGCGCTCAGCCAAAAGGCCACGCGAGGGCACGTGACTTCGATCGATTACCTTTTTTGGTCGGGATTCGGTAACCTCGCAGGCACATGACCAGGTTCCTGTGACGGCGTGAGTTCTGAGTGAAAAACAGAGCGCAGAAAGGAGCACAGCGCTCAATCAATTAACAACGGCGAGTGGTAAGGTAGTGGATGTGATTAACGACGGCGAGTGGTAAGTAATATGCGTTATTCTATTTGTTGCGAGATATACGATCCCCTCGTGCAGTGCGTGCCTTGTTCACGGCCTTCAGAAGCTGTGTGTGCCCGAACTCGGCCTCTGGATAGGCTGCGAGGAAGTGCGCCTCATTTGACTCATACCTGGAACCAAACCAGAAGGTGAGCAGGACTGGAATAGCGGATACCAGCAGGGACTTACTGATTAATAAATTCTAGCGCGATGGTTGCCCTTTGGTGGTACTTTGACGTGAACCATCTATTCGCGCCTTGGTACCACTCCCTTGGCCAATCCTTCAATGGCGTTGTGAGTCCTCGGTCCCGATCGCCAACGAGCCAGTGCTCGACGATCTCCTTCCAGGATTTGTTCTTCGGGCTGGAAGTGCCGTCAGAATGAGCGACTGGGACCCAAGGGATCACGAGGACAGGTTTAGGGAGTTTCTGCGAACTGGATGCCGTGGTGGGGACTCGGGGCTGCCGTGACGCGCTGGAGGTGGATAGGGCCGCAGTAGGCACTGGGCTGACAACAGGTCTGGGTGAGAGCGGCCGTTCAAAAGTGGTGAGTGCTCCTCCAAGAGGTGGAGTGGTATATGGTGGAGTTGTTGTGTGGGAGGCACACTCAGAGACATTGGTGAAGCGGTTGCCTGAATCAAGGTGTTGGAGAGCAATTGCTGTGCTGCAGGCGGCCTGCACTACAACACTTGTTAGGGAGCGCATGTCGTTGCGCAGGCCGTTGACATCTGCGGCAACAGATGCATGCACCATGCGAAGCTCTTCAGTGGATGCTGGTCTGGTAAGTGCATGTTCACCAGCAAGAGAGGCATCAGCGCCACGGGAGATGGGGGCAAGGGCATTGCTATAGTCAGTCTCGTATGCATGTAGTTCATCAAGCAAGTAGTGAACGAGCATATCACGCTGAAAATAGATACATTGAGTGAAAAAAAAAGCCGTGTCAGTCAAGCATCAGTTGTGAGCACAGGAAACATACATGCTCGCCATCAGCCCATCCACCCCACCAACGAACTTTAGCAAGTGTCCACCGTTGACCTACTGGAGCAAACATGAACCAATATTGTGCACCTCCCTGACGAAAGCAGTGAGTTGGGAAGTTACCATGGATGCCAGCGCCAGTGGTAGACTCATTGATCCATTTTTGTACAGTATCGTGAGAGATTGGCTGTCCAGGATGCATAACACCATTTGCACTCATGACAGGGAAGAGGAAGTCGTTTGGCTGGAGGGTGCGCCCATAATGAAACGATTCGAGCCACTTGATCCAAACCATCGTCCAAAAGAAACTGTCGCAGGCCGGTGCATCAGGGCGTGGATATATCTTGTAGTGATTTGCTGGTAGGGTCATTTAGTCATGCGCTATCAGCTCCAATTTGATGCAAGCAACTCACATCTCAAATCCGCCTCCCATTGGCCTTTGTCTACCTTCTTTTGCCATCCTTTCTGGTTCGCGAGAAAGATCTCAAAGTGTGACGTGCATTCACTCAGTGTTAGTGTCTCATTTGCAAGGTACATCTTGAGCACACCGTCCAAAACAGTAGTATCAAGTGAGACGTCCTTTCGTTGCAATTTGACGAGCTCAAAACACCTGCAGATATAGCAAGTCAGATTGCGCATGTACCACAAACTGAGCAGGACCGCACCTTGTCCATAATGTCCATCCGTTTGACGCGAATGTGATTTGCTCGAGATGGCAGGGTGAGTTTCATTCTCATTTCTAAGTCTAGACAAATATCTGAAGGTTGAGCGCCATTCATTACCTTTTGAATCATCTGCAGCGCAATATCCAATGGACATGCAGCCTGGTGCCATCAGAATGCCCGGTCCATGTAGTCCTTCATCATCGCCATCGAGTGAGTCCGATCTCCACCCTCCGCACTTGCCTTATGCTTGATGGACGACAGCACATCATAGATGTCTGCGGAATCAGGCGGGGTTTCCTTCCCAATGCTGTTTCGCCTCGTTGAAGTGCCATTTGCCGCGATAGGTGTCACCATCTCTATTGAACGTAGGTCAGTGCTTGTGTGCTCATGATCATGTATGACAATACTCACAATAACTCCCACATCTTCTTGAATGCCGAACGGATGCTCTTGACAGTAGTTTTGCTGAGATTCTCGTGGAATCCTTTCAGGGACATGTAGAGTGCCAGCGCTGTGTCGGAGCATCTGTTCGGTATGGTCTCAAATGCATCTTTGAATGCAGGGTCCTCATACACGTCATTGTCGGCATGTATTTCAGCAGTTGTGAGCAGCGGAACAAGTGAGCGTTCGAAGATGTCATCCCTCCAAGTCTCGCTGACAGTAGAACCTTCAAAGTGGCTTGCCAGCCATTCCCTGTCCACGACGAACATGCCCGGCATAGTTTGTCCTCAGTGTTGCTTGCCTGGAGGTGAGTTTTGATACCATGTTCCTTACACCTCTGTACATCCACCAAAGCCATCTTCTCAGCAGCTCTTTTCGCCATCTCGGAGATCATGTCAGGGGCCTCTAGCCTCTAATTTATTTAGAATGCCATTTCACATTTCACCCCATTCAGCCTGTGAGAGCGAGCACAAATGACATTAACATTGGTGATTATGCTATACAATTTATAGACTAATATACTGCTGGACCACTTCTGGCGCCATGTGCTGGAGTATCACCTTTGGAACATGCATATACATGGCAGACAACTGGCCAGGAGTAGCGTTTCCCAGAGTATTGCGCCCCAAGCGCCGACAGTTGACCTTAATACTGTAAACTTCAATGTTGTGCCTCAATGCCATAAGCATCAACTGAGAAATGACTTTGAACTTCGGTTGAAGGTTTGCCTGGTCTGCTGAGCGCTGCGACAACTAAAACACAAGTTAGCGGCTGCCTATGAACACAGTGCTGCTTACCTTGCATAAGGCACGCAGACAGGCGCCCTCCCATACACTGCCATACATCTTCTCAATAATTGCATCATCCTCCCAGCCCAAATGCTGACGGCAAAAGTCTGCGAGACTTGCGAGATCTGGTTGGTGGAATGAGACGTCCCAGGGCAGTGCCACTGTACCATTCCTAGTGGCCAAAAAAGACGTGAAAGCGTGGACATACTTGCTGACTACTGCATGCTGAGGGAAACCATGAGGAATGCAGTCTGCAACCGCCTTGTACCTGCGCTCAAGGAAATTGTAAGGATCAGTAGAAAGCAGGGTACGCAGATCCTCAACAAGCTCCTCAGCCCGCTCAGAAAATTCATCCGGCGTCATCGACAGGAATGCATCGAGCATCATCTGGCTGATTTTACTGTGCAGCGCCACCTTATGCGCGATTTCGATCCCACAGCCAGGAACACTGCGATCATAATCACCGCCTGCGAGCAGGGCAATTAGCAGCCGGTCTCCTCGCGTTAATGAGCAGCCGTGTTCAAGGCCATCTTCCGTGAACACCTGGACGTTGAGATAGTCCTTGTCATTTTTTGCACTACCGGGAATCAACGGCAGCACATCAACAGGAAAATGGCAGCATACCTTCTAATAATGCACGGAGCTCCTGAAGATCAAGATATCGCTGTCCTCGGTCATCACAGCATCAATGACACCGTGGACATTCATGGCAGCCAGCTCTGCTTCAGCTTCGCTTGGAGCCTGGTATAGCACTGGTGAGACGGCAATATCATAAGCAGAGAGAACATACTTGAGTCCAGTCAAAGCCAAACAACTCCAGCATGCGCTGGAAGTCACGAGTGAGCCAGTGGGGGCTGCTTCTAACCTTGCGACCTTTGTCTGGCAAGCGCTTGAGGCCATCAAAGACAAAGACTGCATGTAGCGGCAGCTTCAGCAGTGTCCGCAGTCGAAAGAACAATGTCCGCAGCTCTGGCGATTTTCCAGCTCCTGCATGGTTGACTCGAAAGACAGCGCAGACGCTGTGCATCCACAGGCTAACAGCATGAGTGAGTTCGACTAACATACAAAAGAAGAGAAGCATCATACCTAGCATCAATCCCAATTGTGAATAATCGGAGCTTGCGGTCGCCTTCAACACCTTCAGTCTTCAGCTCTGACACAGCGAGTTCCTTGAGAGTTCGGTTTTCAGCAGATAAAGTAACTCGCTGGATTGAACGTCAGGACCCCCAGCCAAAAGCAAGAAAATCGCAGCTCACCTCCCATAGGTCATGGATTCCCATGATGAGTCGTGATGGTAGTAGACAACGACAAAAGTCGGGCTTGAAAGGGGGTGAATAGAAAGGGGTAGGTTCTGATGTCACCTGACCACCAGCGGTCTAAAATCAGATATGAGAGTTAACAATATGAAGAATCCACTGACAAGAGCAGCATAGATGGTGTTTGCAAGCGAGAATTCGGCAAGGTCCTTTGTAACGTCGTTCTCCATTTCGTATGCCCGGAATCCAGCAGACTTCTTCAATGCATTCTTGCCCGCAATGACATTGCCAGTAGCATCAGCGAAGTTGGGGATGTCATGACCAATTTGGTTGAAGGACATGGCCAAGTTCCTGCCAAGTACACGCGACAGTTGCATTTTGGACTTGTCACAGATGGCCATGATGGGAGAGTCGGATTTGACTGGGCTTCTCAGTGTCAGCAATGGCACGACGGGTGGCCTTGGACACGGAAGAATGGATACCACTGCAGAAGTGGAGATACCTCTGAAAGGACACACAGAGGATGTACACTGCACGGTATGAAGCAATGATGTTGGTCCAGCACCTAAAGAACTGGTCAGTGACACGGTATGAAACCATGATGTTGGTCCCAGCACCTGGAGGACTGGTCAGCAACACTGGTATGAAGCAATGATGTCGGTTCAACACCTGGAGAACCGGTCAGCAACACTGATATGAAGCCATGATGTGGGTCCAACACCTGGAGAACTGGTTAGCAACATGATATGAAGCCATGATGTCGGTCCAGCGACACGGTATGAAGCCATGATGTCGGTCCAGCACCTGGAGGACTGGTCAGCAACACGGTATGAAGCAATGATGTCGGTCCAACACCTGGAGAACCGGTCAGCAACACGATATGAAGCCATGATGTCGGTCAAACACCTGGAGAACTGGTTAGCAACACGATATGAAGCCATGATGTCGGTCCAACACCTGGAGAACCGGTCAGCGACACAGTATGAAACCATGATGTTGGTTCAACACCTGGAGAAGTGGTCAGCAACACAGTCGATGGGTGGCCTTGGACATGGAAGAATGGATACCACTGCATGGTATGAAGCGATGATGTTGGTCCAGCACCTGAAGAACTGGCTGGCAACATGGGATGAAACCATGATGTTGGTCCAACACCTAAGGAACTGGTCAGCGACATGGTATGAAACCATGATGTCGGTCCAGCACCTGAAGGACTGGTTGGCAACACAGCAAGCTATGATGGTGGGTTCAGTACTCACCAATTAAACCCCAAACCGACCACCTAGGCTTACAATTTGAAAGCGCTGTGGTCATCAATCTGGAAGAGTAAGAATCAGCATAAATAAATAAAAAATAAAAAGTACCTTCTCCAGGAGAGGTGTTGATGTTGTTGGAGGTGTTCACCTGCGGTATTGTGCATGGCAGTGACTAAAGAGTTTGCACAGTGGAGGAAGGTAAAGTCACGTGATCAAACACACCTAAGCCGCCAATAATGGTAGCCTGTGTAGGATGAGGAGGATGGAGAGGAGGGTAAGGACATTACATGTAAAGTACTGTAAAGTGCGATTTTGAGTGGGTAAAGTGAGTAAAGCGCAGGAGAAGGAGAAATACACTGTAAATTTTGTAAATTTTGTAAATCTCGAACTTCTGGGCAGGCTCCCAGCTGTGTGCATATGCACCTGCCGACATTGTAATTTTTTTTGCTTCCGCGGCTAGGTGCCTGGCGGATGACTTAAATTAATGTTGTTACCTTTATCATACATTAATGGCACGATACCTGGGCAGTCTGCTTGGTCTGCCAGACTTGAATGGTGATTTGACTCTCAGTGATTTGCATTGATACAAGAGAAAAAACAATGTGATGCTTCCAATTTTCTGATTAATCAAACACTATGTACTTCGGTCCTGGCTCGTCATTGGTGGAAACACACGTTGGCGCGAGCAACTCACGTTCCGAACCCTAAGTTAGGTGCATGCGGCAGAAACAATGCGGAAGTTCCCAACCTTGTGTCAGCACAATGGGCGAACTCCAACCGCCGTATGTCATGTGACATCAGATTCCCTTTTTGTTTTTCAGAGCGAATCTCAGACGAACCCCCTTTACAGAATTTACATTAGCTAATCGTAAATTTCTCCAGATATCCCGACATAAGTAGTACTACTAGTACTGCCAAGGGGCTTACAAGAAAATTGCTGACTAAGATGCGACTGCCAGTCACGGTGGACCAACCGGCAGTGTGTTAGCCGTTTTTTTTCTTCTGCCACACAGTGAATCCTCCATCTCGCTCGGCCAGCTTCTCAGTCATGGGCCAGCTTGTATTTCCGTGAAACACATTCTTGGCGGTTCGATAGGCACAGGGCGCATCTGACTTGGACAATAAGCACTTTAAAGCTATGGCTTCTGCGCCTCAGCTCAAACTTCTTATACCAGGATGCATGCCAGTGCACTCAGGCTGCAAGCACTGTAGCCCCAGTGCATGCTGCAGACCAGTAGTGGTGGCTCTCTACTTCTGTGCCTGAAAAGTCTCTCGATCAAGACTTCAAAGTTTCAACTCATGTACATTCCCGGCGGCCCAGCCTGAACCTGGCTCTCGTGTTCTTTAAGTGGCGCCAGCGTCTTCTCTTATCCTTTGAATGACAACACCTCGTTTCCACCCTCCATGTTCACCATACACTAATGTTTCAAAGCTACTAGTATTTCCCCTAGACTATTTGTATGGGTCAAACATGTATGCTCGTCTGATTTCTTTCTGGTCACGAAGATTGACAGAAACGCATAGATGCACAGAAAATGATGGTACTATCCAAGCAGTGCATGTCTCACGTCTCAGACTTACGGCATTGAACGTGTACCCTCATAATGACACTACATATTGATAGCTAGATTAATACCTCGGCTGTCGGTGATTGTGGTAGCCTCGAGGCATGTATGAGTGTCAGCGCTTGAATGTGACTTATTGATACCCAAGGATACACCTTCAAAAGAGATCTGAATAGACAGACACTTTGCCCTCAACTTTACCATGATCATCTCACTGTGCGCTATCCTCTTCTGCGTTCCATTTGTCTGTGCTTCACTTCAGAGTCTCAATGACACTTGTATCTATACACTTGATGACAGCGACCCTGCATCCAGCAACAACACCAGAACCTTATGGAGCATTATCTTGAGCTGTGGCTGGACTTTGTTTGTGTGCACATGGACTGCCGTCCATCCGAACATTCTGGGTATGAACGAGGGCAAGTGGCCGTTATCTCTCGTCGTCTGTTCATTATGGTCATGGCGTTGATTGCCCCAGAACTCATGATCACTTGGGCCACGCGACAGTTCTTTAGCGCCCATGAAGCTGCAAAGGACTTCAATGATAGGTTGAGTGTACAACCTACCAAAGCCTACAGCGACCGTCGAGATATATCAGGGATGACAGCTACACCACATCGTGACATTCCAGAAGGAAGTGGAAGTCCAAGTACTCCCAAACCTGCAATGTTCAGAAGTCTGTTAATACCCGGATTCTTCTGTCAGGCAGGAACTGATATGCAACCATTGCCTTCATAGGATTGACAATGGCCCACGAGTCCTTCGCGTGGAAGCATGAATCTGGACCTGTGACAGAGTTTGAAGGTTAGTCACATGCTCGGACTCTTCGGTCAGGCAGGACTAACATGTAACTGATGCCTTCATAGGATGGACAGTGACACATGGTTACTTCGCGTGGATGGGTGGATTCATGCTCTACGTCAATGATGAGCCACGAGGCACTCTTACACCCAATAACCTTCTGCAGTGTGTTGATGAGGGATCCGTGGACATGCCTGTCATCTCGGAGGCAGAGGTGGAAGATCAAAGTAAGGGCGATGGACTATTGAAAGGCTTTGCCATTCTTCAGCTGGTATGGTTCGTCGTCCAACTTTTCGCCCGTTATGTTCAGAACCTTCCGATAACCCTGCTTGAAATCGACACCCTGGCTGTAACTGCTCTGACCTGCATTTCGTATGGCTTGTGGTGGAAGAAGCCCAAGGATGTGAGATGTCCTTACATTGTTCATTGGAAGGGAACAGCAAATCAGCTAAGCCAATTGACATACGAGTACGTTGTCTATATTTTTGCCTAAAACTGCTCTGATTTGCTTGCATTCTAGCCAGGCAGATCTTGATCGTCTTCGGGGAGGCCGTCTTCGCGGTCTCACCTATCCTTTTATCAGTCTTATGGGCATTCAGCCCTTGATTTCCCCCCGTGCTGCCAGTTCTCGCCGTGTTCCATCTCTGGGTGGCTATGGTAAGTACTATGCTGGGGTCGTAATTCTCATTGGATGTTCCAGTGGGATTGTGTTTGGAGGGATACATTGTCTAGGCTGGAATTACTTGTTTCAGACATACACACAACACATGTTATGGCGTGCGGCTTCTCTGGGGATAGCTGGTGCGCCAATACTTCTTTTTCTTGATCTCGAGTATGGTATATGGCTGGGCCGTAATGTGAGGGAATACAGATATTTCATTATCACATTTGCTACAATCAGCTCTTTGATATATATCACTGCACACGTTACGCTAATTTTACTTATGATCTTGAGCTTCCGATTACTGCCTCTTGGTGTATACTATACAGTAGTTTGGACCCAGTTTATTCCACATTTCTAATTTAAACACATCGAATACGCACATAGAAACGACGACTTACTTGGCAGAAAAACACATCCCACTGTCGAGCAGGCTCGCGACACGAAGTAATGCGAACATTGTGAAGGTGTTCCCACAGACTCGGAATGCAATGCGTTTACAAAAGGTAGGGCTAAGGGTCCCGATAATATGGAACCTGGACCAGGAGAATTAATTGAAATAATATCGGGGGTTGCCGGTACCTTAAGTACTTTGATGTTCAACCAACTTGAAAATGCTTGGTCTTTTCATGCCCGTACTCCTTGTCTCTACCCGCACACAAACAATGATGATCATTTGTGGTGGTCTGGTAGACACAGCGATCTCATCACTTTGATCAAAAGGTATGGCTTCCGAGTCTGCTACTCAGCGAAAATGCTCATTCCTCCTCCCCCGGATGGCCTCTAATTAGCTTCAGAGCACTAGGAATGTACATCCTCTTTGCTCATCTGTTTATATATATGTTATGCCAAATGGAGGTTGCGAGCATGTGTGTATTATCTGTTCGAATTATGTGGAAATGGATATATGTGCATACTCGCTGAATCTCTACTCGCCTCAGTCGCCTCTCACAAATTCCATCTCGTAACCTCCCTCGGCAGCACTATCAGTCTATTTCTTCGATGTGACCTTTCTAGCTTCCCACAGCAATTGTATGGACCAGGCCGCACATGACCAGTTGACCACCTCATGTATAGGCTGCCTTATCTTTGACTTTGATTGGTGGGCGTCGTGTATACTGGATTCGCGCGAAATGTTGTGGCACCAGGCCCCATTCCAGGAAATGATGCGGCTAGTAACTCACCCTTCCTTTGCAAGCACGCTTGCCTGAATCAACGAACATGAGGCTTGCAAATCCTTGGATTACGGCAGTGAGTGGATGTTCTGACTGATCATCTTGAATATCTTTGAACACGTTTACGCTAGATTCGACCGCCTTTGAAATTATCCTCGCACAAGAGTAGTTTCTGCGCTTGTATAAATCATGACAAGGGTCTCGGGATGGCGGGGAATTTCCGAGTCCATATCATCCAGAGTATCATCTCGATTGTTGCCTTCTTCGTATGCCACGTCCTCTCCATGTCTGGCTCATGCTGATCACCGCATGCGAGCAGATAGACGACACTCTTTCGCATTCAGACACTTGACTCCGGGCACGAGTCGCGATTTTTCATCTAGGAGTTTAACAAGCGCATTAGGTGATTCCAGTACATTCCACGAGTGCTGAGAGCACAAATTTCCTCCCAGTTCGAGCCATATTCATTAATGGCTTCAGACCACGTGCATAACACGGAGCGCCGGAAAATTCTGTCCTGTCTGCAACGTCAACCACGATGAGGGTACGATTTACTGCCAGTCCAAACCAATTGCATGTCTCTGACATGTCTCATCGTCATACTCCCCCATTGTACATAGTCCTTCGTCTCACTCAGCCAGTTTGGATTTCCATTAACACATTCTTGGTGGTTCAGTAGGCACTGGGCGCTTCCGACTTGGATAATAAGCGCTTTCAAGCTATGGCTTCCACGACTCAGCTCAAACTTCTCATACCAGACTGCATGCTAGTGTGCTCAGGCTGCTCTTTTCTGTACATGAAGCGTCTCTCGATCAAGACCTCAAAGTTTATATGCATGTGCGCTCCAGCCTGAGTGCGGCCCTCGTGTTCTTTAAGTGGCGCTAGCGTCTTCTCTTATCTTTTGAACGACCACACCTCGTTTCCACCCTCCATGTTCACCATACACTAGTGTTTCAAAGCTACTAGTATTCCCTCTCGACTATCTATATGGGTCAAATACGTAGGCTATGTCTGATTTTTTTTTGGTCACGAAGATTGACAGAAATGCATAGATGCACCGACAATGATGATACTATTCAAGCAGTGTAAATGAACGTATGTCTCATGTCTCATTGCCAGACTTACGACATTGATCGTGTGCCATCATGATGATACTATATATCTATATTACCTCTGCCCTTCGGTGATTGTGGTGGCCTCGAGGCCTATATAAGCGTCAGCGCTTGAATCTGGCTTATCTATCATGCATGAATGGATACACACACCTGTGGTTCCCACGTAACCAAGCTAATTAGACGTGACAGCTGGGCCTGATGGCGGGTCTAATTTGAGTGATATTTAGCTGTACGCACCCAAATGAATAATTGTTCAATAAATCCGGGTCTTTAGGGCTGCAGAACGTGCTGGATGGTGTAGGTACCTTCTGGGGTACTCGGCTATATCCGTCCCCAAGTATTGCCGCCGTCGGCTGTCCTAATCGGGCCACGTCATCACCAAACCTTCATGCTCGCTGTGCACAACAGCGAGCTCGAGTATCTCAGCAACACATGTACATATTTCAGCCGGACCTTTTTGCATAGGTAGTATTACATGTATATAATGATGTGCTACGTTGTTCTAAACATCTAAGGTCACCTGTAGGATACTCTCGAGAACGCGAGCATGCTCCTCACCATCCGTGTCAGCATTCTCATCATCCTCAAGCTCCTCCAGAGCATCATCCTCGCCTCCATGCACCATGCTAAGCGCATCAGGAACCAGCTGTGCAGGAATACAGACCATGGGAGAGCTTGCGCTGGCTCCTGGTCCTCGTTCAACACTCTCACCCGGCGTGATGGATCCTGTAAAGCCCTCCAGCATACTGATATCCTGCAGACGCTGATAGTGGTGTCCAGCAAACCGCGCGCGAATCTTGCGGTGCAAGGAAACTTGACGAGCAAGCCCGGGGTGCGAAGTTTGCAGCTGTTTCTCGCACTCTGTCAGGTACTGACTCTTGTCGTGTAGGTAAGTGGCTAGACGTCGGATTTCGATGTCAAGATGCTGTATTTCCTCATGGGCACGGCGCATCTTGAAAAATGTATCCATGGTCAGGCGTCCAGTGGGTGTTGCCCAAGGGTGTTGTGATATGTCTTGACGTGCGTCGTGGAGGAGATCGAAGTCAGAAAGAAAGGCGTATTCAACGACTTCCTCCCATGAAAGGGAGGGATGCGGGGGGCATAGTGCTCGAGCGGCAGTGTTGTACCTGTCTAGAGCCGTCCGAATAGCCGCTGACCATACTTGCAACGCCTTGCCAATATGTTTGCGAAGTTTGTAGCCTGACAATGCCATCAATAGTGAGTAAGACACAAGCAGCTATCAACACTCACCCGTCCCCGCTTGATTCATCTTCGAAAGTTCAAAGATTCGAGCAACAACCAGACCCTCCAGATGGTCCAGCGCACGCTGAAACTTTCGGTTTGCCACTAAACGACCCACATCTTTCCACTCCTGGTCTTCCTGTACCCATCTACGAGTGACGCCGAGCTTCGTTTCAAGTTCCTGGACAGCGTTGAGGTCCTTCTCGTAGTTTTCTATGGCATGCCTACGTGTCGTCTCGATCCTGTTCATTGACGCGATATCACGGGGTCTGAACTCTACAGTGCTTGGTGTAGTGACGGACCAAGCTGCTGTAGCAGCATCGAGGTCCTTCCTAAAAAATTCGTTAGTAGTCAGCGAGCAGACAAAAGACCTTTACTCACTTGCTACCTGATAGATTCACGAGCTTTTGCCAGTACTCCATCTGGATGGTCTCATGGTTCGGTTCATGACTCAACCGATGTGAGATAGGCCCGTTCCTCGGCCAACCAGGTGTCAAAGACACTCTCGTCCTCGACGCCAAGCTCGCGCATGAGCTTTGGCAGAGAATTGGTGCCGTCAGAGATGATGTGGAGCGCCTGCTTGTAGTTGTTATATAAAAATGTACCTGGATACAAAAAATCACATGCTATTCTGAGCACGCTGGTGATCAATTAAATGACTTACTAAGATTTGCATAGACCTCGTAATCATCGTTATGTTCAAAGTAATGTGCGATAGCTTGATGCCGGTGAAACACGCTCGCATATCGCACGGAGGAGGCGAGTGCATTCGACTTCGAAAAGGTCCGTTCACAGCCCTCGAGGTCTTCTAGCCCAAGGCCATCCACATATGTGGCGAGATGGTCGAGCTGACAGAGACGTTGATGGGCGTGTCCATGGAATGCACCGACAAGTGAGGTGTGATTAAGTTCCCGAGCGCGCTGCCCCAGCACACTGCGGCTGAGGGTGGTTTTGAATCTGCATCCTATATCATACCCACCTCCCAAGTCAGTGCCGAATGCATCGAGAAGCTTTGAAACGACCGCTAGAGGATACTTTGCCCTGAAACACAAGTCAGTAGCATTACACGTAGCATAGTATTACTTACTGTTCTCCACTTTGCACCATGTCTGCGATGACGAGAGAGAATCCATGGCGACAGACGGCCATGAATATCCCAGACTCGTCAAATACACCCCACATTTTCCTAGTTTTCTCGTCCTTCATGTTCTTCCACCAGCCAGCACACTGGATTGTCCTGAGTTTGAGTGAATTGCAAAGATTGAATTAAGATAACAAAATACTTACCTCCTCGTCATCTGCCAGCAGGTCAACAGGCGCCTCACCAGCAAAACTGTCCACGAAATCCCTTGATAAGTACCGGTCACCTCCCACAAGTTGCATCGTTGGAAGCTCGCAGGAGCGCTGAGTGTCGTCTGAATCTATGTCGATGTCTTCGATGCGCTGCTTCAACACGCGCTTGAGTGAGTCGTTGCCGTCTTTAGTGTAGAGCATTCTAAATTTCAAAGGAAGTTCATTAGCCAATTTGTATGTGCATGCTGGACACGCATGCTTGAGCCTCCAGTCTGGATCATGACGTCCAATAGCTGCGTGAACAAGCGTGTTGACGTTGGCGAGAATTTGCAGGTATACATCGTAAGCTATTGAGAATTGACGTGACAAATACGTGCGGAATTGAACCTAAGTCAAACGTGTCAATGGCATTATCGCACAGCAGCTGAGGCACTTTAGAATATTAATCACTCACCCCTTGTAGGTCACAGATTGTCTTGACGTATGCCTGAATAGAATAATGAGGATTTCATTGCCGCGCTATGCGGTAGAATTCCACAGCTTGCATTGTGAGTCCGGTCGTCGGAGAGATGGGAGAGCACAGGATGATGCCTTGATGAACGAGAGCGGAGGCGACAAAGGTGTCTGTTGGCAGTATGACCAAGGGAAGTTTCTCAGCACCTAAAATGTGTGTCAACAAGGTGGGCGCAGATCATTCATAGAACCATTGGACTTACGAAACATGTCCACGATATTGATTGTAATTGACCCCAGCTGCTTCTTCGTGAGGAGACATGCGTTTGTAGCATGCAAAGAAGCCCCGACTATCATCACCATTTGCGAGGTGCCAAGCCATGTAGGCCTCTCTTAAAGCTGACATCTGTTTGTCAAAAGCGTCAGTGCGACGCCTCGTTCTGTCCCGTCTTGTCCTAAAATCATGCCGATGAGAGCGCGAACTTGTATTTCTGGTTTAGTAAGTCTTTCTACATGTAACAGTGCTAATTAACTTACAGATTCCAGAAGTCGCCCAAAACTTCACGAGTGAGTTCATGAAACTCTCCACCTGCATGGCTAATGTCAACCATCTCTGACCCATCTAGGAGACCAAACCCGAAATCATGGTCGTCGGCTCCCTCGAAATCGTTGTCATCTGGACGACGCTCCCGAAGCGCTTCAAGCGCGCGTTTTTCTTCAGAGGTCAACACTATGTAAGTCCTCATCAGCATCCAAGACTATGTATTCAAAAATGACATCTTACCCGCCAGACAAGCCTTTTTGCGAGCAGCCGCGCTCACAGCATGTCGGGCGATTTTTTGCGGTCCAAGGATTTCACTCGTTGGTGGAACACCACGAACGGCACGATGAGAAACCACATGGCGTATCTTCGAGGAGGTAAGTCCCGTACGGTTTCGAGGGCGTCGTCCTACAGCCATTAATATAATATTTATTTTATATAAAAACAGATCCTTACCTGTCAATGCCTACACGTGACTGCACCAGCATTGAACACGAGGAAGAGAGTCCTGCTTGGAGATGCGCGAACATGAACTACAACTCTCGTCAATCGGAAGGTACGCACCAACATTTCATTTCTCGTTTCAAATAACTGAGCATCCTTAGGTTCAAGAGATCGGGTCACACGCACTTGGACGAACAAGACAACGCAGATCGTTTCTCGGCGCATAACAACTCGAACGAAGACTACAGGGGAGTCTACTGAGACTGAGACTGAGACTGAGAGAATGCGCACCACGGATACTGAGGTGAAACAGGTGATCACAGGCCCAGTAAGTTCATTATCTGGTTGTTGCACACTGTAATCTAACCCTTGAAAAAGTCGAACCTCCCGATTTTAAATGCACATGTTGAGGTGCAGGCGCAAGGTGGCTCAGAACCGCCCCCTTCCCCAGTATCAGAGTCTGGTTCTGTCTCCTCCGAAACGGCCATATTTGTTGTAGACAGCGCAGCAGTACCTCCTTTGACACCTACTTCCTCCCATTCAAGTGATGACTTATGGGCTCAGGTTGAGGACCTGTCGGCCCTCGTAGACAGATAGTGATAGAAGGATAGTTGGATGGCACTCGAGAGTGAATTTATTTGCATACTATGACTACATACTTGTTTGATCTATCTGAACATTGCGAATTTGATTGCTCACACTTGTTATCAATTGTCGCGACAGAGAGTGAATGAATTGTAAGAAACAGTAGTATATATGCATATGATAATTTCATGGGTGCGCGGCAATGAATACATAAGTGTATCTTTGATGGATCTCGGCAGTTTGGAGAAAGAGGCAGCACATGTGCAATTGAGCAACATTCGAGTACCAGCGGTGTGCCTATTGTGTTGGAATGGTCGAGCATCATTTGTGCAATCCTTAACTCAAGTTCAACTGAATTCTCAAGTCCTGGCACTACAACACAATTTTATGTTCTCGGTTGCACCACATATGATTGATACAATACATTTAGTTTCACTACCAGACGTACAACCCAAACAATGTAGACGTGATGAAACCCGAGCAGAAAGTGTGTATCATAGCGAACGCGTTCGCTATGACGTTCGCTATACATCTCTTGTTTGATATCAATACATTCAAGCATTTTCATTCAACAAATGAGCTATAAATATAAAATTTCGTATTGTAGGTATGGCTAGATCCTACTGTAACACCGTACTTCAGAAACCTTGGTAAATGGGACTGCAGGCGCGTACTTGTCAAGCTTGAGCTCAAAAAAGTCACCTCAATAAGTACCACTGATAACAGGTCATATACCTGGATGTACAAATCCTTCACCTGCTTTGGTCCCTTATTCGGCGGATGGTGTGCAAGAAACCGAAGGTTATGTAGTATTGTGCGCCCCTCTCCGACGTGGTCCTCGCACCGAGAGAAGAACTCATCAACAGCCCTCCGCCCTTTCTCCTGCGTGCGTGTAAGCGATTGATGAAAATTTTTCGCCCATGTAGTTGCAGGGCCCCATTCAGTTTGCCATCCAGCGATAGACGCGCGTAGTTCGGAAAGAGACGAGGGCGCTTTGGCTGAGATGTCATCACAACTGACGTCGTCCCCATCTGGAGATGATGCCCGTCCCTCGCTGGCATCTGAGAGTGGCGCCTGGAGTTCCTTTTGCTGGCGTTGCCTGTGGTACGGCAGATTGTGGTTAGCGGCCAGGATGCGATGTGAGAAGGCGAGGACGCACCTTGCACGGTTCCTGCACAATGTGTAAGTCACAAGAGGCAACTGAGCAAGATTTAAAAAAACTTACCTCTGCGAACTGTACTCGTGCCTTTTCACGTTGGATTTCACGGACTCTGGAAATACAATGAGTTATACAGGATATGGGAATACAATGAAGCATTGAAGAGGATCGTGTGGGAGGACTCTATGAGTCTAAGCTGCGCATAGTGCCTTGAGCGAGCTCGATTGAGACTTACTCAGGTTTAGAAAGCCAGCGGCATGTTGCCTCACACTGGCTTTGCTTCGGCATGTGTGCTGGAATGACGAGAAAGAAACAAAGTCAGTAGTCAGTGTATATGAGCGCACAATGTAACAATATCACTCACCTTTTTGTGCGACCAATGAACAGACGTTTCAAGCGCTGACACGCCAAAGCAGTGAGTTCAGCGAGCGAGTTGGAGGCATGCAATGAAGAAGGGTGAGTCAATGAAACAAGGATGATTTCGGACAAGTAGAAGTGCCGCCGGCAATGGCTCAAAGCGGAAGTACCGCCGGCACCACAGAAGCACAGTACTGAGTCCGCTGAACCCAACACACCCACTCACCTTAACTCGTTGCAATAACCATGGGTGGTGAGGTTGTCGAACGTCTTGGGCTGCAGTGTGGTATGTACTGCTGACCAGGTCTTTGTTTGATGTTGTTGAAACACTAACACGCCCTATCTTCAAGTTTCTAGCCTGTACTGATGGATCTGGGCCTGTTGACGGTATTGTTACAGTTGGTGGTTGCCTGCATATTCACAGGTACATTATTATATTTTGTTTCTGAATTTCCTTACTCACAACTGTCCTACATAGTACTAGCTATCAATTTGGCTTAATCATTTCGTCCCTCCAGGACCTCCACTCCACACCTATGTGAGTTGCATCACCCAATGTTGCTGTTCTAATGCTTACTCATTGACGCCTGCTGCAACCACAAAGTACCTTGCTTTACAGTCCCCCTGTAGTATGCGGCAGACATGCCTTGACGGTTTGCACGCACGTGATTTCCTTGGCCTCGCTGATGTGATCTAGGTAAGTAAATAAATTGTGATAAATTTATTGTCATTTTTCTTGATGTTATGACCGCGTCTCCGTGACTTAACTGACGTGCCGTGACAGGTTCTAGAAAATTTTGCATCTTGCCTTCGGACTATGTACGGCGAGAATTTTGTCTTCCCAAGTGACGACTCAAACTCCAATTGCAATGGCTTATCAGGCAAGTTCTTCTTCTGGTGTAGCCTTACAATTTTCTAATGAAGACCAAAGAAAACAACGAGACCCGGCCAGAATATGACCTGTACCTTCCCTCGCAGACCCAGCCGGAATATGACCTGTACCTTCCCTCGCATGCACCACATTTCCCATACTCATCCACGCTGACCCCGCAGCCTTTCAACACTCATTTCCCATACTCGTATGCACCGACCCCACAGCCTTCCAACAATGGAACCCTCTTCAATGGCACCATCGATTGGAACGACCCCGCCTTATACGCGTCACTCCCGTCTCTGTCTACCATTTTAGCAGGCCACTCTGACACTTCCGACAGTCATAATGCCATCCTACCTCCTACCCCTCAGAACGTCGTGTCAAACGGTGCTATTTCTCAGAATGACGTGTCAAACGCGTCACCCGCTATACCTCAGAACGGCGCATCAAACACATCACCCGCTATACCTCAGAATGGCGCGGACACCAGTATCCCAAGCCGTGACATCCTGGATACGACATCGAGCCAAACCACAACAGCAGAGGTCCCTGCTGACACCAACAACTTGTCCTGGGCTGCAAGAAATGCGAACCGTCCTGCGCTGACCCCCCCGGGGTCCACTCAGTGCGGCACAGAAAGCCCAAGCGAACGCGAGAAAAGCCTCCCGCAAGCTGTCTGCGGAACAACGCAAGGAGGCTGAAGATGGACTCTCCAGCGCAATTCAACGTCTACTGGTGGACGAAACTGAGAAGATCAATGCCATCGCTCTCGAACACGGCATCACTCAAGAGAAGGTAAAAAAACTTATGGGAGGTGAAAAGCATTATAAAGGGAATCACAACGTGCAACTTGCCAATGCGCTTATCCACGCGAAAGCGCAAGAAGTCAATGCCGGTCAGTCGTTTTCGTGATTGATCACATCATTTGACTGATAAAAATGACAGATCTACCTCGCGGTGCAAAACTTTCACTTGGAGAGATTCGAAACCTGGTGAAGGCAGATGACAGTATGCGCAATCTGACCGCCGAGGAAGAGCAGGAGTATATCAATCAACTTAACGAGCATCGCGCTCTTCAAAACATGAGTGTTCGCGCTACAAATACTGCAGCGGCACGTGATGTCCAGTCAACTTTGGGACAGTGTCTTCAAGATAGTAGGTTCACCTACAATCCCGCGTCTCCACCTTGCTAATGAATGTTCAGTTGGATAGTCTTGCAGTTCGAACCGGAATATATGCATGTCTCTTCGCCTCGCATGGACATGTATATGACACTACTCAGGCAACGTGGTTTGGGACTGACAATATCATGGATTTTTGGGAAGATGTTCTTCAGATGGAGGCCGACGAAATCACACGGAAACTGGAGCAATGGGCGTGCATGGCGGTGTAGAGACTCGCGTTTCTGTGGGCTCATATGGGCTCATTTTACGAATTCTGGCAACTGGCCTTTACTGCACGACTCGCACCATCATCCGTATGCGACTTCTATCTTGTTTCTGGTCATTCCACACACGGCGCGCGGCTTTCCCGCGAAACGCGCCATAGGCGCGCTACTTTCCCACACAACGCGCAGCATTCCCGCGCGCACTTAGCACATTTCTCTCGCACTTGTCGCCCTACTCCATACGCAACTTCTGCTATGTCTCCAGTCATTTTGCGCATACAATGCACAGCTCTCCTGCAAAGCACACCATAGGCGCAACACTTTCTCACGCTTTCGCGTTTCGCATTCCCGCGCGCGCGCTTTAAGCGCACTCCATCGCGCATCATCCAGGAGCATCCATCCATCATCCAACCAGTTCCTAGGTGTGTCCCTTTTCGTTATCAGACCATATTTAGCCTATTACACTTTGTATTTCGTTATGCACCCTTACTTTACATCACTTTACCTCACTTACATACTTAGAGCGCTCCCTATTCGGCTCCGAGCCCTGGGAGAGCGCTTAGGTAGAACTTACATACTTTCATGTTCGTTTTACGCCACCACTAGCTACCGACCACATCTTTCTACCACCATGTACTTGGCAGTTAGTTCCATGCAATGCATGCGTCCGTCGTCGTCTTAAGGCCCTAGCATCAGTCTAAAGCTAGTGGCAGTATCAGTATCCATCTATATCCGCGCTTTTCACCATATTATCGTCTCTCTACACTTGTGCGCTGCTCGCACTACCATCCCTGTTCTCCGCGCATTTTCGCCCCTTTCGCACTTTCGCCTTCCCGCACTTCGCGCATTTTTCGCGTTTCACTTTCCCGCGCGCGCCTTGAGCGCGTTTCTCGCGCTTACATCGCCCTTTTGTCGCCTTTGATCAGGGTTGATCAGCATCATTTCGTGGATCCTTGCTTTCTTTGCTTCCCTTAAGGGTCGAACATATCGCACGGCATATCAAGACCCAACATAGAGAGTGTTTGCTTGTCATCTGACTTGTGTTCACCTTTGTTGTGTTACCCACAGCGGGTCGAAGTATTTTTTTTCGCATCCTCATCTGCGCATGTACTGAGTCTTGCGCACTAGGCATCGACGAACGCGAGACGGTGCAGATTATGCAATGTGTCTGCACTCGCCTGCTTAATTCAGGCCTAAGTAAGTTTCTTTTCAATTTCTCGCTTGACGCAGTACTAACTGGCATTTCTATAGGGACTACAGTTAAGAGACGCGACATACGAATCAACTACGCAAACTTCAGTACCGCAATCAAGGAAAAACTCGGGATTGATCTGAGGGGTTGGCCTGATGGTATTCCCTTCCAATCCCCCACCAGTATCAACAACCACACCGCCCTCCTGAAGCTCCGTAATGCATTGAAGGATGGCTCCTGCCATTGGTTCCGCATGTCCCCTCAGCAACGAGAGGAACATAGCACTCTACTCGCTGCATGCCGCAAGAGAGGAGAGACTGTCAGGAAGCCTCGGAAGAAGCGTGCTGATGCCGGAGTACCCCGTAAGCGCAAGGGAAAGGAGAACGGGCGCCAGACTAAGCATGTACAAGGGTCTGGGTCATCTGCTCAGGCCCCGAAGAGCGCAGAGTTGGTGTACTCTTCTGATGAGGACACCAGCGAGGACGAAGCTTAGTTATCTCTTTTGTATGGCTTTGTCCCTTAGTATACATTACATCAATCACAAATTGCATTGGATACCTATGTACGAAAATCCGGCCCAAATCCATTGACACAATAGGGAGATACTCGAGCTCGCTGTTGTGCACAGCGAGCACGAAGGTTTGGTGATGACGTGGCCCGATTAGGACAGCCGATGGCGGCAATACTCGGGGACAGATATAGCCGAGTACCCCAGAAGGTACCTACACTATCTAGCATGTTCTGCAGCCCTAAAGACCCGGATTTATTGAAACAATTATTCATTTGGGTGCGTACAGCTAAATATCACTCAAATTAGACCCGCCATCAGGCCCAGTGAAAACTGGACATGGCCAGAAACCGTTTGAGATAGCGTAGAATATTGTTTAGACATATTATTTATCCTTGTAATATGGTATAATCTTCAATGACGTCATCGTCTGTGCGTCACATCAACATTGCATTGTAAAAGCATTGTGTCCACATCGTAAAAGCATTGCATTGCATCACAAAAACATTACATTGCTTACTTGTAGCGCATTGCTTTCACTCGACAACTCGATCGCACGCACACCATTTACATTCACGCGCACACATTACCTCGTCACCCAAAGTACATCCCATTGTAATATCGCCCGGTTCTACCCATCTTGCTTCGTAACTCTATTTGGTGTAACCGGGGGGGCAAAAGGCATAAATAGGAGGAACTGGCAGAGCGAAGGGGTGAGTGAAAATTGGTATGTTTGATTCAGGATCTTATCTGAGTCGAGGTTCTCATCATTTGGTGCAGCACAGCGTATCCTCAGCTACCCGAGGCTCCCTCTCTACTATCTACCAAACTGATCACTTGCCGATAAAATTGTAAGTTTCATTCTCATAGTATCTTCTAGCTTATAATATAGTGTATCAGCCTACCTATGCCAGTGGACTACACTTGTGTCTGCAAGAGACACAACGGTAGTCGTCCCCATTCTGTCTCTCGTGCTGCGTGGTACAAAACACTTGCAAGCAGCTGAAACCAAGGAAGACAGGGCCGCCATTCGTGCTGGGAATCTCTCCCTCGACTACATGCACAGATTCAGGCTCACGCTCATGACCTCGGCAAATCTTCTTCAAGCTCTGGCCCTTCTCGAAATGCCGGAATCAACACATCAAGTGGCCAGTCAAAAAGACCCAGCGACTCTGAGGTAGCCCAAGGGAGTTGGAAGCGCATACGAGAAGGCCACCAGGATGTCCTATCATCTCCAGGTGAAGGGCATTGCAGCCAAGTTGACGAAGAAGACCTCACCATCAGAGACGACAACTTTGAAGAGCAAGGGGAGGGATATGATAATTCTGATGGACAGGGTGATGGGCAAGATCGCGACTTTGATAGGCAGGGCGATGGGCAAGATCACGACTTCGATGGGCAGGGCGATGGAAGATTTCATGTTCAGGGACTTAGAAACAAAGATTTTGGTGCACAAGGATGAGAACAACCTACCGGACCCGCCTGACTGCCAACCTAACATTCAGAGAGAACGACCAGTCATAGATATCGAGGAACTTGCACAACGAGCGGTTCTTGAAAAGATCAAAACAACTATGGAGTTCATTCTAGCACTGCGGTCTGCATCATTAGATGACCCTGTTGCGAAACTTGATGAAGAGGCCAGAAGTAATTTGCGGAACCCCCCTCGCGAACCTCCAGACATCATCAATCCCATCATTCACCATTCAATTTCAACTTATTATGCTCTCGAACACTCGGCACAGACTGCTTATGAACGGATTCGTGCTTCGACAGCGCGCACATACCCTGATGTTGATGAGATGCCCAGTTTTCTATCGGATTGAACGCATGATCGCCGAGTACACTGGCGTTGAATCTATAACTCATGACATGTGCCCAGACACATGTATCGCTTTCACTAGTCCATTTGCCGACCTTGACCACTGCCCTATCTGCAACAAACACCGATATGATCAGATCAAACTGCAGGCCAGTAGGGGTCATAACAAAGTTGCTCGGAAATTCCACACTATTCCCCTCGGACCGCAACTTCAGGCCCTTTACCGTGATCGCGAGGGTGCAAAATGTATGCGATATCGCGCTGAACGTACCAAGGAACTGTTTGATGAACTTCGCACATCAGGGGGGTCCATTGAGACATATGATGACTTCGTCATGGGAAGTGATTATCTCAATGATGTTCTTGAAGGCAAGATCGGCGAGAATGACATTGTCTTGATGATTTCGATGGATGGTGCCCAACTCTACCAGAGCAAGGTATCGGATTGCTGGCTGTATGTCTGGGTTATTATGGATCACGCTCCCGATGTTCGATACAAAAAAACACATGTCCTTCCTGGTGGATTTATCCCTGGCCCCAACAAGCCGAAAAATATTGATTCGTTCCTCTTTCCTGGTCTCCATCACCTTGCCGCACTTCAGAACGAAGGCCTCTCCGTTTACGATGCCTGGCGTGACATCATATTCTTATCACACCCTTACCTGTTTCTCGCCACCGCTGATGGTCCCGGTCTTGTATACTTTGATGGCATGGTTGGTCACTGTGGCAAGAACGGGTGCCGTCTGTATTGCGGTGTGATCGGGCGTCGAAGCAGCGAGGGACTCATTATTACCCTGTCCTTCTTTGTCCGAACAACTTTCATGTTGCAGGATGTGATCATCCTGATGTTGATGTGTTCAACCTCCCTCTCGCTGCATCACACAACTATGCTGCAAACCTCCTCCATCTCGTATCGTCGCCTAACCAACGTCAGTACGACAAGCGAAAGACAGAGACTGGCATCACAAAACCCAGCATTTCTCCTTGGTCTTAATCCGTCCTCATATGCTACAGGTACCAGTTTGCTTCTCGACCGATATCATGCATCTCGCTGGGCGTGTTAAGTGACTTACTACTTTCACTCTGGCGCGGAACGAATAATTGTTAGCATATAATCAAGTGTAACTAGATTTTCAGTTTACTCACGACGGGTCCTGGATTTTGAGGCGTGAAATTTATTTCATAGGTCGGCCACCCAGCAAGGAGGTTCTCGACATCCATGACGACAATGTTGTCCTGGAAAAGTACATTGTCTGTGCAGCTGATAATGTTGGATGAAGCCATTGAAGATGTAGATGTACCGGAGGACTGAAGAAAAAAGACTTGGAAGAATTTCGATGGCCTTGTTGTTGACTAAGCTCAAAGTCATTATATGCGCTTTGATTCTGACGTCAAATATCCTCAACCCTATGTGTCTCTTTCATTATAACCATTATGACATTCTATACCCCCCATGTTCCTCAATATCGCTTTTCTGCTGATGCCAGTTCCAACATTGCACACACCACCTCCATTGCATTTGGGTCACACTCGGCTTGCATCAATTGCATGGCCTTGAATATTCTCCTGGATTATTGGATCCAAATGACAGCTTAGAGCATCAGGACGACTCTTCCTCTTTTTCAGGTGCGTCACTTTGAATATACAGGGCAAATGTTCAAACTTGGCTGCACTGATTCACAATATTAGGGGTGGATATATGCAACGCGGGAACACTCGCATTGTCGCATTACAGAATCGTGGTCAATTCAACTTCAACTTGAGCTCGTTCAAGCCAAAACTGCATTTTCAAAATCGATTATCCTAGAGTGGGTTATTTTTCTGGATTCATGCTGCTTAATTAACTTTCTGCTTTGACAGGGCAGCCTTTCAGGAACTCGCTCGTAATGTCCAGCTCGTAAATGCTGATCCTATGAATTTCATTCACCAGCACTAGCATATCTCCGACGGCACCTCCCAAAAAACAGCTCCCCCCGATCGATAAGAAACGACTATCCCGATGTGCTATTCTGGACACGTGCGGACTGGGATAAATGGCAGACGACATCACAAGGGCTCAAAACAGAAGGGAAAGCGCGGACCTGCAGCTTCCTAGAAGACGAGAATGGTGAGCCAATTACAGAAGAATCACTTGACACCATCCGCAAAACTATTCGTGGCCTCTGGTTTGAGTTCGCCGTCAAAGGACTTCTTGCAAACCTCATGGAGCAAAACGATTACACTCGACTAGAACGCTGTTCCACAGCATCATGGAAGAGAAGCACCCTCTTTTTAGATTCGCAATGGACGGCTGGAAGTTGGACTTATTTGTGCAGCACAGCCTATCCTTCGTGGCGCAAGAACCATCTTGACGCCGATTGGTAATCTCTTGAAGCAGTCAAAGAAAGTCAAAGAAGAAGACAACGACATCAACTACCGTCGCGGTACAAAGCGAACTTGCAGCCCTGATTTTGAGGGCGGCAGTGCTTTGAAGCGCGTGAAAGGTATTTTTATCATTTTATCTTTGGCGCATATACTCATGTTTACTAAGTAGCTGAGTCTGTGAACCTTTTGACCACAGTCAAAGGCACATCCGCTCTCATTGTCAAAGGTATTGTATTCTTTTATCTGCAAGCATATACTCATGTGTATTTTCAGGCAATCTGTTAGCCCTCTCACTGTTGAATCCGAAGGTATGGTCATATGTTTTTCGCAAGCGCATACTCATGTGTATTTTTTAGGCGAATCTGTTTGCCCACTTGTTCTTGAGTCCCACTCAGACAGCACTGTCGAACCCAAGCCAACACTCGAAGACACACCACCAGCGCTGCTAGTAGCGTTGCGAGTCTGGCACCTGTAGTGTCTCCAATACCACCCCCCGATGCGAGTCTGGCACCTGTAGTGTCTCGATACCACACCCCGATGCGAGTCTGCCATCTGTAGTGACTCCAATACCACCCCCGTCACCCACAGCCGAGAAAGAAAACCAACCACCGACTCATGGCTGCATTGTTTTGACGAATCCCCTGTAAGTACTATCTACTCCATTTACACGGTATTACTAAACCACAACCCATCTGTAGTATGGGTTTGACCCGTCGGGCCATTGGTGAAATCAGCTGTACCGACAAGCGCGACTGTACCGACAAGCGCGACTGTACCGACAAGTGCCACTGTGCTGGATACCGCCAAGACCATTTTAAGTTTGAAGCTGGACTTGCCGTCCACTTCAAAGACCCACGGTCCCCACAAACATTCCTCTCGCGCCTGGTAACCCTGCTGCACTCCCTCAGGTGAACGATGCTCCTGCCACTGGGACTACTTCATCTTCGAAGAAGCCTGCAAAAATGCGGCCAGGTCCAACGAAGAAAGGGCGTAAGCATGTGCTTTCTCATTGAACGGATTGGTGCTTATCTAAATTGCATAGGAACCTTTGTGCCTTGCGCTGGCTTAAACAGGTTACACCTGGTTCCACCAACGAATTCAATGCCTATTATTCTACATTGAATGAGGCGCAGATCCAGGTATTATGACACTGATTCACTACTATATCCTTTCATGGATTCTACTAACACTTTTGTCCGCAGTCTTATGATAGGGAGGCTGGAGAACTGGTAAGTACAACTTTGCCACTCCCATTATCGTGTTGCTGAGACTTGGTAGGAAAAGGCAGGGCGCTGGACGAAGAACAGTGATGTCGTCGACGGTCTCATGTATTAGCTTGCCTGGTATCGCCTGCTGGTTGCCTCCCGATTGCTTGTGTTTGCTTGTCTCCCTCGCCTGTCCACATCATTCCTGTTCTTTCGCTGTCGCCTGCTGGTTGCCTCCCGATTGCTTGTGCTTGCTCATCTCCCTCGCCTGCCCACATCATTCCTGTTCTTTCGCTGTCGCCTGCTGGTTGCCTCCCAATTGCTTGTGCTTGCTCCGGTTCCGCATTATCATTATTGTCCTATATGGCCCTATCGTGTGTTTTATGATCGTGGACTGAAGCATTTGTACTAGTAGATTATAGCACAATTGACTCGAATACAATCGATTTTGTCGTACCACGCGAACTGAACCAAAATGTGGTGAAATATGCTATGGATATTCTTAACATACCCTACAACATTCGAGAAGATATCAACAGACGCGAAATATTCTATTAGTCTCCACAGCGAGTCTCCTGTGGTGAAATATTGTGCTTCTAAATTCGTCATATTCCACTCGATCTCAATGGTTTTGGCCATGTCCAGTTTTCACTGGGCATCAGGCCCAGCTGTCACGTCTAATTAGCTTGGTTACGTGGGAACCACAGGTGGATACACATGTCCACACCTTCAAAAGAGAGCCCAATACGGCCATGTCCCGCTCTCAGGGGGTGCATAATCTCGTGTTTCGAGGTTCTTAGGCGACGCTGACGGTGCCACGGCCATGTCCTGCTCTCAGCGGGTGCGTGATCTCGTGCTTCGAGGTTCTTAGATGACGCTGACGGTGCTACGGACATGACCTGCTCTCAGTTTGAAGTACGTCACTCGTCTGCTTGACTTGTTGCCGCTTGTTGATCCCAACACGATCAGGAAGTGTTTTTACGCCGTGTTCGTGAGACCTCGGCTACGTACCCCCAACTAGGTCATGTCCCGCCCTCACATGGTATGTGATCTTATCTTTTTGGATGAATAGTGAACACTAACTCTTTGATTCTACTAAAAGACAGTGTGTTCCTGCACATTAAGCAATTTCAGAGCATGTCTTTGTACTGATTGTATGTAGCATACAGCAACATCAAGGATATCGAGTAAGACAGTGATCAAGATGAAGAGGGAGATGGACTGGAAAAAGACCCAGATGACGTGCTTTGGTAGCAGCAGGACGTGGACAGACATGGTTTCCAAAATTGATCTTGTCCATGGCATATCAAGAAAGCCATCTTCTATGTACGGCCTTCTAAACCTGATTGCTCATATCTATTTAGCCCCTTGTAACATCAACTAAATGCCACGACGAAAATCCTAATGACATTCTCGTTTTGCCTGCAGAGCACGTGTGCTCCTGATCACTTGATTAACGTAAGATGATTAGTTGACCAGTTGACCACCTCATGTATAGGCTGCCTTATCTTTAACTTTGCTTTGTAGGCGTCATGTGCACTGGATTCACGTGAAATGCTGAATCACCAGGCACTACTCCTGGCAATGAAATGGCTGGCAATTCACCCTTCCTTTGCGAGCACGCTTGCCTGAATCAACGAACATGAGGCTTCCAAATCCTTGGATTACTGGAGTGAGTGCATGTTGTAACTGATCACCCTGAATATCTCTTAACATGTGTACATGAGATTCGACCGCTTCTGAAATCATCCTCGCACACAAATATTTTCTGCGCTTGTGTCAATCATGGCAAACAGGTCTCAGGATAATTGAGAATTTCCGAGCACTCTGTCATCCAGAGTATCATCTCGATTGTAGCCGCTTTCTCGTATCTATGTCTGGTTCGCGCTGATCATTGCATGCGAGCAGGTGGAAGATACTCTTTCGCATTCACAGACACTTTTGACTCCGGGTGCGAGTCACGATTTTTCATCAAGGAGTTTGAAAAGCGCATTAAGTGGTTCCAGGGCATTCCGCTTTCACCAGCAGTGCCAGCGCAATTTATCATCCTCCCGGCCTGAGCCGTATTCATTCATGGCTTCAGACCGCGTGCATAACAGGAAATGTTGTCCTGTCTGCAACGCCAATCACGAGGAGTGTACAATCCACTGCCAGTCCAAAGCAATTGTATGTCTCTGATACATCTCGCCGTCACTTCATGCATGTACAATAGCATGGCAAACCCAGACACTTTGTGTCATTGATGACTATGGTAGCATTCAGTCTGAAAGCATCTAGCCGATCTCTTTCTACGGGATCTGGAGCAGCGAGGGAGATTCAAAAACAAATGGGAGCTTGAGAGGACAACTTCATCGACGAAGAGTGCATTCTAGCCGATGATGTATGTGTCATTCATAGTGAATCTTCGTAGCATTTCCCTGCATTCAACATGATAGTGAGAAAATGAGTAAGATTGTGTCAATCCCTTGAAGAACCGTCATGATTCTGAACATGGGGCACAATTTTCAACTTCTTTTACCCTGCCATTACGATCACTATGCGCTCGGGCTTTGAGACGCTGTATTGCTTTGATTAGTCTCTTCCGAACCAGTTTCAAGCATCCGAGTGGATTATGCAGGCGGACTCACCTCTCCTCAAGATGTCGCAGGCCCTACTAGGAGCATCCTCGCCTGTGCTTTCCTCATTCCCACCACCTAACCCTTATTTCCCTGATGTCATCACCTCGCCATTTGTTAGAGGCTCCCTTCAGGATACAGCCGAAACCCTTGAAGCTTGAAGAATCATAAAGAGAGGGACTGCGGGGAGGTGTAAAAAGATGACAGAAACTTGCTATATGATATAGTGCAGTGCATCATCGTCATGAGGTAGTGGATATGTCTGCCGCTATCTCGTTGTCGGTCGCTGGTTGTACAACCACTGGAGATACTGAGTTGGCCAAGATCGTGTCAAGTCTGTATCAAATGCTACGTGTTCTTGTTTGGGCAAGAATCATGGCGATGGTGAGGAAGGTGAACATGATGTGAAGTAGAGATTGAGAGTCGAACGAGCGGAGGGTGACTTGGAGATCTTCCATGCGGTGGAATTGCGGAGAGCCTATCAGTGAGTCACGGCTGAACGCTGTCAAAAATGCACTGTTATCGCAACCTCAGAGGTGAACAAGAGCGAACCGAGAAAAATTGCGACATTGCACAACTATAGCGAGTAAAGGATGGTGGGGTACTCGTGTCATCCGGGGAAAAAATCGTCGAAGGCGAGTCCGACAATTTACCGAGTTGATGAGCCAAATTTGGTTCATGAACTTTATATAGGAATTGACTGTTTTCCTAATTTCCTTCGTCTATTATTAGTCTACGACCTCTCCGAGTCTGGACTCCTTGATCATCCCAACTACGGTCTTGGTGCGGCCTTCGTCACTTCATGAATATTCGCCCGTGTCGGGGCGCGCCTGGCACTCGGCAGTGCAATCCTGTCTGCAATTTCACTGCCATCGGTGAATATAGTACAGCATCAGCGCTTGAACCCAGTGGCCTGCCCTTAAAGCCTGAGAGAGCAGGATGAACAGACGCCATGTCCTCAACTTCACCATCATGATGACCCTCCTGCCCTGCGCTGTCCTCTTATGCATTCCGTTTGTTTGCGCCAGTCTTAACGATACCAGTACCCATACACTCGATGCTAGCAACTGTCCATCCTGCAACACCAGAACCTTGTGGGATATTCTCTTGAGCTGTGGCTTAACTTTGTTTGCGTGCACATGGACTGCCGTCCATCCGAATATCCCGGGCATGGACGAGGGCAAAGTGGCCATTACCTCCCGTCGTCTATTCATCATGGTTATAGCATTGATCGCCCCAGAACTCATGATCACATGGGCCACACGGCAGTTTTTCAGCGCTCGTGATGCTGCAAAGGATTTTAATGCCAGTGCGTTTAGTATACAATTTACCACAACCCACAGCGATGGTCCAGTTACATTAGAGAGCACATCTCCGGTGGTTAGTAATGGTCATCTAGTGTTGATTGCCCCAGAACTCACGAGCACACGGGCCACACGGCAGTTTGACATCCATCTTGAGGCTGCAGAGGACTTCAATGACTCGGATGCGTTTAGTGCACAAAGTACCACGACCCACGGCGGTGATCGAGATATATCAGGGAGCTCAGCTGTGTTAGTCAGTGACGTTTCAGAAGCAAATAGAAGTTCAGGCGCTCCTAAATATGCAGAGTTTAAACGTCAGTTTATGCTTGGACTCCTCTTCGGTCAGGCAGGACTAACATGCAACCGATGCCTTCACAGGACAGAGAATAAACAATGAGTCCTCTGGGGATGATCCATACATGTCAGAGAGCATATCGACATCGCTTGGTGACATTTCGGAAGCAAATGTAAGATCAAGCGCTCCTAGACTTGCAGAGATTCAAGGTCGGTTACATCATCCTTAGAATTTTCAGTCAGGCAAGACTAACGTGTCACCGATACCTTCATAGAATGGAGAATGACTCGTCGGTTCTCCGGCGCTGATCAACATATGTCAGAGAGCATAGCGCCATCACTTAGTGATATTTCAGAAGCAAGTGGAACTTCTGGAAGTTCAACTGTTCCCAGGCCTGTACTAGTAGAGCCCGGGCCTGTACTAGTGGAGTTTAAAGGTCAGTTACATGCTCGGACTCTTCAGTCAGGCAGCACTAACACGTAACCAATTTCATAGGATGGACAATAACCCATGGGTTCTTCGCATGGATGGGTGGATTTATGCTCCACGTCAATGGCAAGCCGCGAGCTACTCTTACTCCCATTGAACTCCTGGAGTTTGTTAATAAGGGATCCGTGGACTTACCTGTCATCACAGAGGCAGAGATAGAAGATCGAAGTAAGGGTGATGGACTATCCAAAGGCATCGCCGTTCTTCAGTTGGTGTGGTTCGTCGCCCAGCTTGTTGCCCGTTACATCCAGAACCTTCCGATAACCCTACTTGAAATTGACACTTTGGCCGTAACTGCCCTGACCTGCATTTCCTATGCTTTGTGGTGGAAGAAGCCTAAGGATGTAGGATGTCCTTGTATTGTTCATCTGAAAGCAACTGCAACTCTGCCAGGCCGGTTAGCCTATGAGTACGTTGTCAATATCGTTGCCTGAAATTGTTCTGATTCGTCTGTATTCTAGCAATAGAGATTTTCTTGATGATGATTCCTCAAGCTTCAACAGAAGCCGTCCCTCTGAGTCCTACTTGCGGATGAAGAGACATATTCTCTATCCCTTTGTCTGTCTCATGGGCATTAGTGCAACACCTTCCCCCCGTGCTGCCCGTTCTCGTCGTGCTCCATCTCTAGGTGGCTACAAAGACGGCCTGAGTGGGGTACTGACTGGGTATCGTGTTGGTAAGATCATACTTCTCATTGGATGTTTCAGTGGGATGGCGTTTGGAGGGATACATTGTCTCGGTTGGAATTACTTTTTTCACAGTCACACAGAATACATATTATGGTGCACAACTTCCCTTGTGGTAATATGTGCACCGGTAGTTATTTTGTTTGATGCCCTGGCAATCATGTATGGCTGGGGGTTTTGGATGATATTTGGATTTATTCCTGGACAAATAGCCTCTTTCATATACATCGCTGCACGCGTTACGCTAATTATACTTATAATTCTGAGCTTACAATCGCTACCTACTGGTGCATACGATACAGTAGCTTGGACCAGGTTCATTCCACATTTGTAGTTTTATTACATTGATGTAACAGGGCATGATAACTTACCTGATGGAACGTTATTGAAATCGGAAGTGCGAGGATGATTTGGGCAAGTTCGAGCTACCATTTGACTTAAATAACACACGAGCATCACGATATCTTCTCTAGTGATAGGTTTAATGCGAAATGAACATCAATGAACACGAATGTTTCCATCGAAGTGTGACAGCGACAAAATCTAGTTATGTACTCGCGTGTAATCGAGGAGTGATATGTACATGCAAAAAGAACAGTCCTGAAGAGTTTACGAACACATGTGAACATCACACCAATCTACTTTGGCAAAGTCTATCAGTATGACCCTGCAGACATGGTGGGTCGAAAGGAAACTCAGAGGCTCACGGGTAGGGAAGATGTGCGAAGAAGGCATATCTTCCACCAAAGACGGATGCGCTTAGGAAGTCGTCACCGACGATATCAACATGGTGATGCTTCACATAAAATAGTCATGCTCATTTGACGACGCGTTGGTCCAGTGTGGACATACGTGAAAGCGGCCGTGGTCAGAACCTGGCTAAGTCGTCCCCGCGTATATTTAGAGACTGGAATGTCGAGGGGTATGCCCGCGCTCGGGCCAGTGCTTCAAAAAACGCCAAATGTCAAAACTGATGAGTTTGCTTCTTTTCCGTTATTCCAACTGCACAAGCAAATGAGTGGAGCGGGTACGTGCTTCTGTTTTACCAGCTCTACAAGTGAAATCTGTTCATTGACATGAGAGTAACTGTGGGGCTAAATTAATGTGGGCCCTCCTCACAAATAAAGTTGTGACATGCGACGCGTAAAAGTTCTGCTGGCAGTGAGCAGGAGTCACTGGCTCAATTTCTCACGAAATAACCAAGAGATAGGCTCCGCATAAACCATTCCGCCAAATAGAATCCTGGCCAAAATACTAAGCGTTGCTTTGCGACAGTATAAAAGAAAGTCATCTCCTACCGTCCATTCCACCCCAGAGCACCTCAGCAGTTCACACCACCTCGCACGAACAATGCGTTTCTCCTTCCCCACCGTTATTGTTGCGCTGGCAGCATCTATAATGTCTGTCAGTGCGTGTCAGCCAGACGGCGAGAGTTGCACCAAGACCCGTGACTGCTGCAATGAAGAGAGTACCTGCGTTCTCATTGTAAGTAGTAGTAGTTTTCGTTGCATCAGATTTTCACCTGACGACTCACCTTTTGCGCCCTGTAATATCAGCCGACTGGTGCTCAAATCTGCTATAATCCTGGCGATGAACCTTCGAGAGGAGGCCGGTAAATTTTCACGTAGCAACATAGTGGTGGGTTGTATTTCCGCTTCCCCATTGATGCTGTTATTGATCGAATAATATACAGTTCGCTGTTAATTGAGAAATAAATAAAGGCAATGCCGCAACGAGAATGAAGTGTTTGCGCACTCGTTGGTTTTGGTGTAAACAGAACCCGGCTTGTCATCCGAAATGGTTTGATACGCCATCTTCGATCCAGCCACATACATGAAAGGTTGGATTAGGGACGATCAATGTTACAAGACCATCTTTTGTAAGGCTGGCAATGAGTTCAACAGGGAATGATGATCAATACAAGTAGGCAGAGTAAGCACGTTTGAATGCACTGAGTTGTAGTTGGGACGTGAGACGGAGACTTTCTGAGGATATCAGACATGCTTGGAGCGGGGAGAATACAGGGTGTGAATGGCCAAACTATATACATTTGCGCGTGGCTCAATGATTGGATGTTGTGATTGGATGTTGATACAAACCTTTACTTAGTCATCCATCCAGTCTCGATGTGCTCCGATTACAGATGATTCCCAGTCCGTGCGGCATTCAGAATGGCTTATGTCGGAATGCTGGCCACCATTCTATGGTAAGCTAGTAACTGGTGGGCATTAGCCTTGGACGGCGCGGCCATGTACAGTGATCTCGCTGTAGAAATGGAAGAACCGAGTCAATGTAGGTTCGTACCATCCACTTTAAAATATGGCAATGAAACATGCATATTATTGATGGCGCCTCCATCACCACAGCACACGCTAACATACCCATGCGGTTCTGTGCAGTACGCAGCAGATAACTGTCTGATACATTGGGAGCCTGGCCAACCCTCGCAAGTGCGCGTGTCCATCGGACGTGTTCTTCCTTGGGCCCGAGGCTCCTGAACATGGTTTGTTCTGTCCTTTGACTGAGTAGATACGTCAGCCGTCGGAGCTTCGATGGGATATGTATGGGTTTGTGTTGTCAATTTAGCGGCTGGATGCTCCGAGTGAAAACGAGCGGGATATTGTGCGCACATACGCCGAGGGTGCATTAGAGGGTTATATATATGCGTCGTATCATAGGAAGCAGGATGTATGCATGTTGTCTTTTATATTTTGGACATTCAGAAAGGATATATGCGCCTCATTACTCGCTAGAGGCACTCCGGCAGTACTCCCGGGAGATGACTGAACACCTATGCACGCCTGCGTGAGGTTTGCAGCGGATTTGAACAGCTTTTCGGTGCTGGGTATCTCTACTTTAGATGTATACGTCCCGAAATACAACAGAAAACGCACCATACAATCCAACGAAAGCGGCTATGCCACAGGCGTCTTCATATTTTGTTCTCGGGGCCATCAACGGTTGTAATCTGGATGACATAGGTGAACGATGAGAACACTACTAGATAGAAGGCGACAATGTACTTTGCAAAGATATTCGCCACACTCTTTCTGCTGTCGAGCACGCTCGGGATTCGGAAGCGCGTTGACGCGAAGGTGCATTGAGCCGTTTCTCGCAGAACGCAATGCGTCGAAAGCAAGTGTAGGGGTGAGCTAATTGGCGGGGGGGTTGTGAGTTTATTACAAGCAAAATACAGTGACAGCGTTGTTAGATCCAGATCATCCACCCGATTCCACGGGCAGCAGCGAGCGTGGCAGATTGTTGAATAATAAGGCGTACTATGTAATCAGCCGACAATCGCGTCGGAAGCGAAGCCGCAGAATACTGCATGGAAATCTTGCAAATGAAGGAGTCAATAATCCGAGGATGATATCGGTGTGCATACGTATAATTAAGGAAAGCCAAAGGACGTGAAGACGAAAGCAGGTTCCAATGCTGTGTAAGGTCTTCGGGTGTTACCGGTTTACGGTCGCTCGTCGCTCACAACGTTAACAACGCCAGTTGTGTTTCCACACGACTCAATGATAGCTTTATCGTGGTGTGGGAAATACAAGAAGCTCCTCTCTTGTGACTTGGATGACAAGGTCTCGGCTTCTGCTACTCAGTGCAAACGCTCTTATTCGGGCTTTTCCCTTGAATCTGATGCTCTCAGTTTCAGAGCGCCAGGCTTTTTTCTCTTTATCTTTTCTCCATGTACTATCCCTGTAGTACCTAATCGAAGCAGCGTTTATGTATGTGGGATTCTGTTCTGAAATGTGGAACATGAGATACACATGCATAGTCGCTGCATTTCTGACTCCTCTTTTACGACATGGTAACAGATCTTGGGCGCGTCTCTTCTAGGCAACAGTCCTAGTTCCCGCAGCAATTGAATGGATCCGGACGCACCTGATTGCCTCGTGTCTTATCTTTAAGTCATCAAACTTCGATTTGTAGGCCTCGTATGCACCGGATTCGCGTAAAATGCTGTACGATTATTCTATCGGGCTCGAACTTCATCAATGGCATGGTCTAAAGTCGCCTTTCCTTCCCAACGCTTCTCTTAATCGATGAACACGAGGCTTCCAAATCCTAGTATCACGGGAGTTACTCAGTTAGTACGTGTTCTAGCGGATCGTCCCTGGATATCTTCCAACGAATCACACTGTGTAGCTGTTTGGTTCCTCGAGCGCCAGAGTTGCACATAAAATGGCCGCGTCGTGGCCGCGAACTCCGACCAATTTTGAAACTACCCTCACTCACAACCAACCATCGATATATCTACACTCATCAACAATGGCACATACGGGCTCTCACAATGGTGTCTCTCCAGTACACCACCATCCCGACTTTTATCTGAAAGATGGTAATATCACATTCATCGTACGCCACACCTATTTTATGTCTCGCTGTCACTGATCGTCACATGGGAACAGGTCCAAGACACTCTCTTTCGTGTCCACAAGCACTTTTCGAGTGCGAGTCACAATTTTTCGTGAAGGAGTTTGCAAAAGCTCCCAGGGAGGGAACTTCCGATTCTACCGCATTTCGACTTGATCAAGTAACCATCGCTGACTTTGCGAATTTTTTATGGGTCTGGTATAGTCAGTAAGCATCAACTTAAATTATTATATCCCGCAAGCATCGTAATTGATCACTGCACACAGGTCGTACAGGCGCGAAAGAAAGCCAAAAGAGTATTGGCTCACCATACTGGAGCTCTCGACCGTCTGGCAATTCCCAGAAATGAAGAAGCTAGCCATCGATGAGCTCCAGAGCTTCGACATCGAACCCGTCGAAAAAATTACCACGTACGACAGATACCAGATCGATAGATCGCTGCTATTGCCTGCATACAAGCTCCTATGCAAGCGGGCGGGCCGAATGTCCATCGAGGAGGGTGAACAACTAAAATTGCACACTGTCCTCGGCATACAAGAGGCCCGTGAGCGTGCCATAAGGAGCGCAGCGGAGAGCGGGTGCCGTAGCCCGACCTCCGCTGATGTTGGCGACGAGGAGTTGGACAAGATCTTGATTGATGTATTCAGTCTCAAAGGTCACAACGCTAACAGACAGGGCGCGCAGCCGCAGGCAAAACCAGACCCAGTGCCAACCATCAAGACTCCGACTCCGACTCCGAATGTGAATGGAACCAATAAGTCGTCCGCATCGGGTTCGGTAAGTGAAATTCTTCGGCTTGATCGATCGAGTGTGTGGCTGATTGAAGATAGTCTTCTCAGAATCCGAAAGATAACAATAAAACTACAGGATCGGTATGTAACCCGATTGACTAAACGTAATCCACTGACGCCGGAGAAATATAGGTGAAAAAATGAGAGACCAATTGACGGATGGCGAAGGTTGCTCGGCTGTCCGCTCCACAAAATTCACGACAGAGCAGAGAGTGGAGCGTGCTCTGGTTTATTTGTCCATTCCAACATTCGTCAAGTCTGTTATCGCAGCAGTATTCATGTACGTTATCCAATTTGTATGATACCTTAGTCTCTGGATTCTTGTTCAATAATGTACTCTAAAATACACTGTCGAAGTGCCGGTACCCAGACTGTGAAGAATAGTGTTGCTGTCGTGGTGAGTTGAATAATTACAGCTAAAGTGGAGCCGCAGAGGACGTGGGGGTTCACAATGCAATCAAATAGAAATCCCCAGGTGCGGATTGGGGAGATGTTCTGAGGTCGTCCGTATCGCGAACCGTGTGCAATGATCAGTACAAGTTAAATCAAGACGCGTCGATCCAGCACGAACATTCAAAAAAGAGCGAAAGCAGGTTAGAAGGCAGTCAATGATTCAAGCACGTCCAGACTCCATAGTCCCAAGAAAGGTGCTGTGTAAACAAATCTTTCGGGCGTTGCCGGTGGTACTGTATCGTTTTCAATTTTCTTGTGTTCCGTCTCACCACCACACTCAACGACTCAACAACGACTTTAGTCATGTTTTCGCGCCCGAGCTCCTTGAGTTTACCAAAGGCAATAGTATTATAATGCCGTTTGGTAGACACAAGGAGCTCCTCACTTGGATGATAAGTTATGCCTTCGACAACAGCTTAAACCTCATACAACGCCCTTGATGGTTCCAGCTTTAGAGTGCCAGGGATGAAGATCCTCTTGGCTGGTCTGTTTCTCCATGTTATGCCTGTACTGCCTGCCAGGGGCATCGAGTATGCATATGGTGCTGTTCGCAGAAGATTGAACAGGACACATGCGTACTCACTGCATTTCTGACTCGCATCTTACGACATTCATATCATAAGTTTGTCATGGAAAAACAATCAGCTTCTCTCTTCGGAGCGATAGTTCTAGCTCTCCGCAGCGGCGCAGCAATTGGATTCAGAGCGCATATGACCGCCTCGTGTTCGGCTTGTCTTATCTTTGATGCATCAGCGATTGTGGGCGTCATGTGCACTGGATCCATTTGAAATGCTGTGCTATTGTCTTCATCGAGCTCCAATGATTGTCCTGGCCGCGGAATCGGTCATGATTCGCCTTTCCTTCTCAAGTACGCTTGCCCGAATCAATGAACACGAGGCTTCTAAATCCTAGGATTACGTGAGTCTCAGTCAGTGCATGGTCGTCCCGGATACCTTCACGAATCACAGTGCTATTTTGACCTTCAAGCGCTCGAGTTACGCATAAAATGGCTGCGCCGTTCCCGCGAACTACGGTCAGCTTTGAAACCATCCTCACACACAACCCTCATCAACCATGGCACACGGCTCTCAGAATGGCATATCCCCAATGCACCACCACCCTGAGTACTATCTTAAAGACGGTGATATCACCTTCCACGTACGCCACAACTTTGACATGTCTCACTCGTGCTGAACGCCTCATGCGAGCAGGTCCAAGGCACTCTATTCTGCGTGCATAGACACTTCTTTGAGCGCGAGTCGCAATTTTTCGCCCAGGAATTTGCAAAGACTCCCAAGGAGGGAACTTCTGATTCCACTGCATTTCGACTTGATCAAGTAAGCGCCGCCGACTTTGCGAAGTTCTTATGGGTCTGGTATAGTCGGTAAGAAATAATTCAAATAACTATATCTCGCAGGCATCGTAATTGATCACTGGACGCAGCTCGTACAGGCTCAAAAGCAAACCAAAGGACCACTGGCTCACCATCCTCGACCTCTCCACAACATGGCAATTTCCTGAAATGAAGCAACTTGCTATCGACGAGCTCCAGAAACTCGAAATCGAGCCTATTGAGAAAATTACCATATACGACAGATACAACATCGATAGATCCCTTCTCTTGTCTTCATATAAGCTCCTGTGCAAGCGGGCGAGCCGGATGTCCGCCGAGGAAGGTGAGCGGCTAAAGATGCCCACTATCCTCGGGATACACGAGGCTCGCGAGCATGCGATCAGGAGCGCAGCGGAGAGCGGGTGCCGTAGCCCGACCTCCGCTGATGCAGGCGACGAGGAGTTGGACAAGATTTTGATTGATATATTCAATCTCAAGAGTCATGCCACTAACCGACAGGGCGCGCAGTCGCAGGTGACACCAGACCCAGCGCGGACTCCGAGACCGGATGTGAATGGAACCACCAATGGCACTAGGTCGTCTTCATCAGGTTCCGTAAGTAAAAGTCTTCCGCTTGAGACTGTTGTGGGGCTAATCGAAAATAGTCTACACAGAATGATAATAAGCAGAAAGACGCGGACAAAAATAAAGGCACAGTATGTTATGCGAGTTACTGAACGTAATTCACTGACGCTCAAGGCATACAGGGAAAGCAAAGTTGATTGAGGAACCGACGGAAGACGGAGGTTCCTCCACTGGGCTTTCGATTGCAAGCGTGAGTGAGGAACCGACGGAAGGTTCCTCTACTGCGCTCTCAATTGCAAACGTGAGTGAGGAACGGATAGAAGACAGAGGTTCCTCCTCTGGGCTCTCGATTTATGCGGTAGAGAAGAGCATGGAGCATCTGCTTAGTTTGTGTTTTCCAACATTCATCCAGTCTTTCATAACAGCAATATTCGCATAAGTTGTTCTCGTTGTATGATATCAAGTCTCTCAATTCTGCATAACCCATGTACTTTGCAATTCTACACCGTCGAACTTGAAGCGCTAGCAGCCAGAGAGAATTTGAAGTCCAGTTGACGCTCCGCTTCACATGGATGTGAATCAATCTAGTCCGTCTCACTGCCAGCACCAGTACTTGTGCACATTTAATCAACATCTCGGAGATCACCCTGCAAATTGCAAAGCAGCAACGTACAGTTATCTTCTCCTGGATATGACGAGTCTCTCGATACAGATCAAGTCTGAATTCAGTGAGGCGTCCGTGCTCTCATTTTGCAAGAGCCGGCCTGGAGTCGGGGTATCCTTCGGTCGCTTGAACGGCACTGCACCTTGCTTCAGCGCTCTAGAAGTTTCTGCCATGCAGCGTCGCACAGATATCCACTGTCGTTTGCGAACGTGACCGAGTCGCTAGCTTTGTAGGTCTGCGGGGCCTAGTCCCCCTCATACGCCAGATAGCACGCATGTGTGTGTTAGTGTGCAATGGGCTGCTCTCTTTTTCTGAGCCAAAAGGATCTCTTGATCCAGATTGACTGTCCAATGGTGCGCATTGAGAAACGTTTCCTGCCAGGCCATTATATCTTCTAACCCTCGGCAGCAACACCTCGTTTTCGTGCTCTATCGAAGTGCTTCGAAACTATGGCATCGTTCGCTGATATCCGCATGAGGTGGTAGTTTTGTAGTTCGCACCTCCGAGACATCATGAGCACATGGACACTAGCGAGAAGTATGCCTCATGCTGGAATCACCAATCAAAGATGCGAGCAGCGGTTCATGTTAGTTTCAAGGTAAAGCCGACTGTGCTGCATGAAGAAACAACGGACATGGTCCCAATATCTGAACGCGACCACAACGCTGTCTAGACAAAATGCAGCGCATGGAATCGAGGAGATGCGAGCGTCTTATGTACATTCCGCAAAGTTTATCAGCGCGCCGCAGCTACAGTGCACTGGCGTGAAAGGGAAGTAAGCCTCACTGGCAGGGAAGATATCTCAGAGGAAACTGTGTTTGGAAAGTGAGTCTTCCAAGACCAAATGATGGCACCTCGCATAAAATGAAGCCCACTGGCCATGGAGCATAATCGATGCGTCGCCGAATGAACCATGAGCATTCGGAGACGCACTGATGTAACGTGAACATACATTGCAACCACGACCAGTCTGACGTTGTGATCCATGAAAAAACTGTAGGGGCCGAGAACAAGCCAGGTAGACCCTCGTGCTGGATAGGGGTAGGCCTCTAGGCAACGGTGACCCTGAATCACGATATGTTAATGGGTATGCTTGGCCTCGTACCAGTGCTTCACAGTTCAGCGAGATCCGGAGCAGAGAAAGATGTATATGAAAACCAAAACCAAAAATGAATGAGGTTTCGGAAGACCGTTATGGTAAATCAAAGAGTGCATACCAATATTGTGTCACATACGGACATGCTACGATAGAGTTCCGCCATGCATCACACAAAGGAATTCAACAGTATCATGATTGTATCAGCACTGTCGGATCCAGACCGTGTCAACAGCGAGCTGGTGTGTTTCTACTATCCTGGTTCCATCTCTCTCATCAAAATGATCACGTACATCAGGTGAAAATTCGTGCTTATCTTTAGAAGACGGGGTTATGAGGCAGTACTTATCTGTCTCAATCCGATTTCTATGCATAGATTCCCGGGACTGTGGTGCCCACGATCAGAGGGATAGTCCAAATCTAAGTTTTCACCAATCTGCAGGTAAGTTCAGAGGTCTCGAACTATTCGATCAGCAGTAACTAAGATTAATATGTACCTTCACAGGCCGTTACATGAAACCTACATCACCAAAATTGGTAGTCCTCGTCCGTGTCATCGTCGACGTCATCCTGATGACGGTATACTTCCTCGGGCAGAGGCAGAGGAATACTTTGATCAGAGGACGTTGATGAACCTAGGATAGTATCAGTAATGACGGAGAAAACATGATCGATTTGTACCCACTGTTGTCAGAAAAGTTGAATTCATGGGTATTTTCAATCGCAAGCGTATACAGTTCTATCTCGGCCTCCGCTCGGTGCATCTTTGCTTGCAAGGTGAACAAATCGCGCTCAAGAGGGCGCATATAGGCGCTGTCACGCTTGTTGGCAAGGGACTTTGCAATTAAATCCGCCTGACTGGCCAGTTCTATTTTGAACGCCTTATATAAGGCTTCTTGAGCTCTAGCGGTGACCCACGTGCTCAACAGGGGTAACGAGGGGGTGATTTGCTATAGATAGACAATGAGCACAGCTAAGCAGATTATTACAGTACTCACGTTCAAAATGGCATATTTTGATTTTTCTTCCTGTGCGGTGGTTAACTGATCCAGTACTGATGCAGTAGAGCCATCCGAAGGTGAGAAATTTTCAATGAAAGATTCTGCTGCTGGGATGAGGTGAGCTTCGTTCCTTGTTAACCAAGCTTCACACATCTCTTGTGTAGCTATCGAACAGGTTAAAGGCGCGACCTCTTTCTTCGACATTGCCGAAGGCTCCTGATCTCACGCTTGGCCGCATCGTTGATACGTGTTAATGCTACAGAGCAAGAAGGATTAGACCACACATCCGCATCCCAAAGTCAAAGGAACTCACGCGGCCGGTATTGCTCGAGGCGCTCGATAGCCTGGCTGTACAAAGACACCTCTATCTGACACCGCTTCATCCTCTCTTCTATGATAAGTCGTTCCACAATTGTATGACTTCCGTCATCTCCACCAGTACAGGAGCTCTGGTGCGATCGCAATGTTTCCTCCTGCTTTGCTTCTATACTGCGCTCCCCAACCAGTTCCCAAAGATCAGCAGGATAAACTCGATCTTTGAGCAAAAACGACAAGACGAATAATTCAGTTCGAAGCTATATGACATATAGATCAGGATGTACAACCTGGAAGATGGGATTTTGACTGACCTTCTGATTTGCTACGAGTCCGATGTAGTCATCCAACAATTCGGTGCCTAGTGAATTTGAGATTTGAAAGATGCTAATACGAGCAGCTGATGAATCGAACAGCACCGGTGAGAGATGGGATGGCATCTCGAATGAGTGACGTACTGTGGGGTGGTGCGCAAGTGGGAATCCATTAAGATCTGTGAGTGTGTGACTACTTATATGTAGCACTTCGGGCTGAGCCTGGCGGAGGGCGAGATCCGGATCTCCGTTCGATGAGAATTTTCACAACGGCCCTAGGGTCTAGGATCTAGACGCACCTAGTATAGAAAGTAGACAGCAATATTCCTTCTAATACAGCGCAGGATCCGGATGGTTGTACTAACTGACATGGTTGTGGCGCAATGGGCATGATGTCACATGACACAAAATGAACTATACTCGGTGGAAATTAACAGTGACCATCCACGAAAATGCACTGGCCAGCGGTTGTATCTGTCGCAATGTCTGATTTAGATGTTAGATGATCGTCTTGGAAGGCACTGATGCGACCCAGTAATATCTTATCGTCACTTCAGTTTGAAGCCGAGATCGATTGAATTATCATTTAAATCCTGTAGAAAAGCGGCCATAGAACTATAATCGAAAGAAGGAATGGTGCAAGCGCTGTAAATCGATGGCGAGGTGGACTGTCGTGCGTGTCATGTATGGGCCAAAAGGAAAGACATGACAGGAACACATTCATACACATGGATTTACAGCGTGATCAAGCTATGACGGACGCCGGAGACTCGCGAATAGGCGGGCGGTGCGTGGGAAGCAGTAGAACACAGTGGAAAAAGCTGCGAGGGAGTTGACATAGGAAATACAGGCCAGTGCGATTACCAGGCTCTAGTAATGATCTGTTGTGCTGCCATATCACTTACTTATGTTCCTCGGTAAATCTGTATAGGACATACCTTTCTCGCTGTACTTCGCCACGGCCCACCATTCCTCTGTGACACCAGATCATCAACTGGGCTCAGGAGCCACCTGCGCCATCGGAAGTCACTCTGACACTCGAATGTAACTTGATCTTGGCTTTGAGAGGAATCTTCGCGTTCACGATGATGATACTCGGGCAAGCTCAGCAACAATGTCCAGCCGGTCAGATTGGAACGAGCAGAGCAATCTCGGCAGGTATGTGAGGGAAAGATGATTGAGGCGGAGTTGTGAACAAACATCTCTAAGGACTCGACAAGCTTATGGAAGAACCCTATATATGAGCATGAAGCAAATCTTCCACGTCTGAACTTGAAGACTGTCTAAGAAGACTAGGCATCCTGTGAGTGTCGAGCTCAGCCTTCCTCAGATGAGAAGCTGGAATGCGTACATTTTGAGAGAAGGATATTATTAATTGAAAGGACTATCAAATTTGGCCTGATTGACTCATTCCACCTAGACTTATGTCTCGACAGGCAAGTTGATGTGCTTCTACTTCCAATTTCGACTGTTGCGGTGGGACGAGAAGATCGAATACGAAGGCCCATCGGGAGGTTGGGCTGTGTCCGAGCGTTAGCTCAGCACTTAAAAATCCAACTTGGCGGATTCCAATGTAGTTCAAAACTCTTGCAAGAGTTGCCGTTTTGGGTCTTCGGGCAATGGGCATAGCCCACTCCAGCGTCTTCTACGTTAAGTACGTGCACCATGACAACAAAGGTGCATGCTATTGCACAGACAGGATTCGCCACTGGGACGAATGAACTATATGATCGGTGAGTTGACTACCATCCGTGTAGTCCACATGCGCTAACATATGAGCTGTGCGCAGGGCTCGCCCATCGTACCCAACTGAGTGTATTTCGTACATTCGTCAGGTATCAAAGAGCACAGCACCCTTGAACATTGTCGAGTGAGTCACACACGTTACTTTTACTTCCTCCCTTCAATTGGCTTTCAGAATTGGGCAGGGACAGGTATTTTTACCCGTGCCTTGTTAGCTCACTCTGACTGGGCTATGAGCATTGATACGCTGAGAGCTATCGAGCCTAGCGACAGCATGCGTGATGTGTGGATGAAGACTGTCAATGATAATCGCAGTTCTATTGTCAAAGGGACATTTGATAACACCGGTGTGGAAGATGAGTGGGCAGACCTTATCATTATCGCACAGGTGAGTAGTGCTATCAATATAAGGGTAGGTGCAGGTGTTCACCCATCAGATATATAGGCGTTCCATTGGTGCCCCGACTATGGGAAGGCATCGGCTGAATTCGGTCGTATTTTGAAGAAGGACGGTGCAGTTGTGTTTATATGGAACCTCGAAGACAGGTTCGCTTCTGTTATTTTCTTTGTATCAATTCTTTTGACAGCACCGAAGAGACGGCGCAGGTTGGGTTGCACAATTCCGTGACCGCGTCGAGGTTCATAAGAAAGGGACGCCCCTATTCCCCCTCGGTCTTTGGAGGGAGACGTTCTCTACACCTGAGTATATCTCCTTGTTCCATCCTCGGGAGGAGGAAGAGTGGGCATATCATCTTCTTGCTAGCGAGAAAATTGTTACGGATCGCGTTCAGAGTGAGAGTTTCATTACCATACTCCCTCCAGATGAAGAGGCCAAGGTAGTGGAGGACGTCAAAGGTATCCTCGAGCGGGGAGATGGTAAAGTTTGGATTAACAAGGAGGAGGGCACGTATCAATATCCATACAAGACTTACGCAGTGGTATCTAGAAGGAAGTAGACCTAGATCAATCAGCCATAACTCCGAATCAGGATAAACGCCATATACAAAATCATTTTACATTCTCAGCTCGTGACACGGGGCTGCAGTGGCAAAGCTACGGGGATCTGTCAGTGCACACTAGATCTCTCAGTTGACATCGATGGAGCTGACTTCCACAATGACAGCTTCTTCCAAAGTATCATCTAGCTCGGTCAGCCATGCCCACTCCCAATTTTTGGTGATCGTATCACTGAGCTCGTGCAGGGGGGCGTCCTCTTCAAACGCGCATAGTTATCCACTATGAATAGAGCGCAGAGCCACTTCCGATGAGAATGGGCTTCTCAACTTGTCGTAGATGGCAGGGGCCATAGGTACCGTTTCTAGGGTCGTAGATTTGTGACCAAGAACAGTCATGAGCAAGTAAGCATCCTATCAAATCAAATCAACCTGGTGTAAATTTCTTGGAGTGCAGTCGTGCACAGCTGACCTCGATACTCTGGCCAGCACCAGAGCCTTGGCATGTGCAGGGTCTCCCACGATTGCGACTCGCCCGAAATTAGTGGATGGCAAAGTTTTCACGGTGTGCACGGCCCAAAGCGTGCCCTTTTCTACACACTGTGGAAATCGTTAGTAGAGAATAGTAACTCGGATACGAACGACAGACCTCGAGATGGAGAAAGCCGCGAGGGAGTTGACATAAGAAATACAGGCCAGTGAGGTTACCAGGGTCCAGCTGTGCTGCCATATCACTTACTTCTGTCCCTCGGTAAATCTGTGTGGGACATACCTTTCTCACTGTACTTCGCCAAGGCCCACCACTCCTCCGTGATACAAGGTCATCAACTGGGCTCAGGAGCCACCTGGGCGGCCATCGGAAGTCAATCTGACACTCGAACGTAACTTGCTCTTGGCTTTGAGAGGAATCTTCGTGTTTGTAACGATGATACTCGGGCGAGTTCAGCAACAGTGTCCAGCCGGTCAGAACGAGCAGAGCAATCTCGACGGGTATGTGAGGGAAAAGTGATTGAGGAGAAGTTGTGAAAAAACGTCCCTAAGGACTCGACAAACTTGTGGAAGAACCTCACATATGAGCATGAGGCAAATCTTCCACGTTTAAAGGCTGTAAGGAGATTAGGTAACCAGTGAGTGTCGAGTTCAGCCTTCCTCGGATGAGAAGTTGGAATGCATACCTTTTGAGAGAGAAGGATATTTATTAATTGAAAGGACTGTCGAATCTAGCTTGACTGAATTCTACCTAGACTTATGTCTCGACAGGCAAGTTGATGTGCTTCTACCTCCAATTCGACTATTGCGGTGGGACGAGGAGAACGAACGCGAAGGCATTGACAGGTTGGGATATATCCGAGCGTTTAACAGCTCAGGCTGGACACTGGAGGATTGAGCCGCTGGGTGGGCGGGTAAAGGAACAGCGATTTCGGTGTGATGCCACGCAAACAAAGATCAGGAATGCAAATTGCAAAATATCTATTGCACAATAGTGTAGCGGTGGGTGGGATGCACAGAAAGACCGTGAGTGACGAGAGAACTATGATAATGAGGAGAACAAGTATAAACGACGGGTACTAGAATTCACGTTGCGAGTCCGTTGTGCAAATAGTCCGATTTCGAATGGAAAGGAAAATCGCGTCTCGCTAAGTTGGATGCATGGTGCTGGCCTTCCGGATGGCTCCGAACCACCTTGTTCACCAACAGTTACTATTAATCATGTGGCACTAATATGTAGGTCCAGGGTCAGAACATGCAAGTTAAAAGTCAATCAAACGTATCTCAGATGGCCCAGTCCTGACCGGAACCGGTTAATTGCTATTATTAAGCACATTTTTCGGGCGTTGCCGGTGGTAAGGATTGTAGCGTGCAGCCCATTTCTTCTGGACACCAATCTGAATCCAGCATGGCCCTCGTGTTCTTATGGTGCAAGAGCTATGGAGTCGGTCTGTCTCCTCTTATCCTTTGAATGACAGTGCACCTCGTTTCAGTACTCTACCATGCAGAGTTTCTAGCTTTGTAGTTCTGTACAGGGCTATACTTATCTGTATCAATTGAATTTTCTATGCATGACCTCCCCGAGACTGCGGTGACCACGCTCAGAGGAAAAGTCCAAGTGCAAGGTCCCGTCAACCTGCAGGTGAGTTCAGAGGAAAATTTAATGCTCGAACCCCTCAATCTGTAACACCATTTGCAAGACGAATCGTTACATGGAAAACTACATTATGAAAATTCGTGGTAATCGTCCTTGGTCAATGAGCCGATCTATGCTTGCGTCAGTTACACCATGACAGTCCACTAGTACGTACCTCAAAACGCTTTCACAATATTCAATGTATAACACTGCCGCATGTAGGGAGTCTTCCACGTCGTACCCATGCAGACCATATGTGACGTTCAAATTGCCTAATCCTCGATCAGTGCCAGTTCGATTCGTCAAAAGCGGCTATACGCGTGGGGATTCCGTGGTGTACGTTGAAAATTTACTAATATGAACTGTAGTTATTGTTGAAGTCCAGGGAACATCCACAGGTTTTCGTGCAGGAACGATGGTGCCTCTGGGTTTCACAGACAAGACGCCAAAAGTGCTTACCAACGCCTGTGACGTCGAACACGGCGAACTGCTTGACACCGCTGTCCTGCTTCCAACGACGCCACTTCAACGACGCCTGAAGGGGCGTCACGTTGCTATGATCGGGCAAGTCATCATCTTCAACACATACATGTGTCTCACAATTTTGGCATCAGCATTGGAGGCGTTATTGGTACGGGCTTATTTCTAGGCACTGCGACGGCATTGATGGAGGGTGGTCCTGTGGGACTTCTACTCGGGTATACTTTCATGGGGACAATGTGCTACTGCGTTATGGTGAGCTCGTCTTTGGCGCGCTTCTGTGTTCTCGGTTTACCGGTTACATAACAGATAAGCGTCGGGGAAATGATTGCTCTCCTTCCCATTCCAGGCGGTCACATCAAACTTGCGGAAAGATTTGTCGACCCGGCCTTCTCCTTTGCAATGGGTTGGAATTGCTGGTACTGTTGGACGGTAAGATGCCGCATCGCTATGAATGGCTGGAAGATTCTTATCGCTTGATTTCGTGTCAGTTTACGATACCTGGTGAGTACGACCATGCGTTGAAGTCTTCTCGTATTCAACTTGAGCCAATCTTGGTGAAGCTGAATTGTCAGCTGCCGCTACTCTCATTGACTATTGGAACCCCGGAGTTAACAATGCTGTGTGGATCACCATGTGTCTGGTCGTTGCTGTTGGGATCAATCTTTTCGGCGTTGGTTAGTCCCTTGCTTCAACAAATGTCAATCATACATGTTAATATGATCTTCAGGGACCTATGGAGAAATGGAATTCATCTTTGCGTGAGCAGCCGTTTTTGCCTCGATTGCTGGATAGACTTATCGTCGATCAGGTCCGTCAAAGTGGTCACAATAACAGGGCTTCTCATCCTTGGCATTGTGCTTGACCTCGGAGGTGGCCCAAGTCATGATCGTATTGGGTTTCGATACTGGAAAGATCCTGGACCATTTGTACAGTTCAATGGAATAGCTGGAGCTAAAGGGCAGTTTCTAGGATTTGTCCGTGTACTTATCCAGGCTGCGTTTTCTTTCATTGGAACCGAGATTATCACTGTACGTGGGCTCTCTTGTATCATTGGCACACGACATTTATCATCACTACATTTATAGATGGCAGCTGCGGAGACGAAGAACCCTCGATACACCATGCCGCGCGCGATACGGACAGTATACATCCGAATTCTCTTATTTTACATCGGGGGAGTTTTCATCATTGGGTTGCTCGTCCCTTCCAATGATCCTCTTTTAAGTCTCAACTCTTCCAATGCCTCGTCATCTCCGTTCGTTATCGCTATCAATCGGGCTGGAATTAGATATCTACCCTCGGTATGTCCTTCCATGCTTGTCTCAGCTCCTTCCAATAAAACCTAATCCAGATTTTGAACGCGGTTATCCTGACTTCTGCGTGGTCTGCCTCTTCAAGCGACTTATATTTATCATCGAGGTGCTTATGTACGTGCAGAAATGCACAGATTTTCGTATTCTCACTTTTAATTCACAGATGGCCTTGCTGCCGCCGGGAATGCTCCCACGTTTTTCTTGCGCACATCACGTTCAGGCTATCCATATGCGGCGGTCATTTTTTGCTCCTTGTTTTCCCTTTTGTCATACATGGTTGTGAGCACCAGCTCCGGCATCGTTTTTACCTGGTTTGCGGACATGACTGCTACCACGGGGCTCTTGGCATGGTTTTGTATCGGTGTGACCTACATCAGGTTCCACCAGGGATTATTGGCACAAGGGTATGACAGGAAATGTTTACCATATGCCTCGAGACTCCAGCCATATGCATCGTGGTGGGTGATTGCATCGTCGTTGACGACTCTCCTGGTACGTGTGCAATGTTAAACTGCTCTTGATATCCTAGGATTATTGACTACGATTTTAGTTCAGCGGATGGCAAGTCTTCTTGAAAGCGAATTGGTCTAATGCGACGTTCGTGACGACGTATTTGCCTGTCATGCTGTTCCCGGTATTGTATCTATCTGCGAAATTTCTGAAGCGGGTACCCCTGGTGAAACCGAGCGAGATGGACTTCAAGTCCGGGACAGAGGACATAGATGCTGAGAAGTGTGTGACGCCCTCCATGTTTTTCTTTGTGACTGGGGTTTACTGTTTATCATTTTAGATTTAAAGAACCCTTGCCAAAAAATTGGTGGGAGGCGGTCTGGATGAGCTTGGTGTGTGTTCTGTTTCCCATCTGAGTCGTTCGCTTACCGCAAGGAATATTACAGACGTGATGCAGGTTCGAGTTGTTATGTCGGTGTACAATGTACAGCTAGCGCTACTGGGTCCATTATTTATCGCGCAGAGACACCAGGACATATTTCACTTTCCTCACGTATCACCGATCGATTTCTCTACTGATGGAGCGTACTAGTCGCAGAGCTCAATGGTCATTAATCATTTTGGTACCCAAATCAGCTGCCAGAACCCAGACACCAGCGGGCGGCTCCTCACCTTCAAAAACTGCATTACACACACGTGAATAGGAGTGAGAAGCATTTGAATGCAATGATATGTGCAGGAACACAACGTAACTCTGGAATAGTACCCAATATTGAATACCGGGACTGCGAGCAGTCAACATCTGCAATCGAGGTCATAAGCGCTGCAGTGCTGCAACCACACTGTAGGTCTTCCTCGAAATCGATCTCTTGTACACCTTTCCCTGAAGAAGAACCTTTGTCCTTTCTTTGATATTCTGATGCTACATTTCCATCATTAATGAGCCTTCCCAACCTCCGTCTACATCCAGAGTTTTTGCTTCGACATCAGCATGCTGTAGTTCCAATGTAGACTTTCTGATCGACCCACGCCATAAACGAGGGCACCAATACTCGTGGACAGTGCACATATCAGCATCGCCCACCACTAGCACTGTCGGGAACTGAAATATTCGATTCATGCGCGCTTAAAGTATTGTGACAATACCTTATTAAAATTCAGGTAAGATCGTTCCAAGGTATCCAACGATATGTAAAGTTACCCAGTGTGCTTCGTGATGGTGGTCGAGGGGCCCGGGTGGCTATGACAATGTGGAATAGGGTTCGAGTCGGATTTTGAATTGAACTGGCGAAGGGTAAGGTCTTTCAGGTCGCATTACGAAGACTAATTGGAGCGTCAAGAAAGCTCTATAGTTCTATCGCGAGTTCCAGTGGCAAATATCGGAGGTTTGACGGTTTTGCATTGCATGATCAGGAAATTGCACGGTCATCCACATACATGTGTTTCTCATTACAATCATCTTCATGGAGCGCAGGTGTGACTCTTGTGAGAGCTACAGTCACGGTGACACCGTAAATGATATGTTTATGAGGAACTGCACCAACTGACTCACGATTATAATGTTATTGCGTTCCTTGACTCTCTCGACTTCAATACGCTAAAAGGAGCAAGTAACAATGAGATGTCTCTCGTCGGATTGGACGTTCCTGAAGTGCGACGGGCTAATGCAAGGATCAAGGTGCAACTGTTGTGAATGATGACCAGTTGTGAAGAATAGACATAGACTCCTAAAAGCCTGGTGTGGAGGGTGGCCGTGCTATGAAAAACAACTAAATTCAGTGATGCCGCAGATAGAACCTCATGACAAAGATTCTTCCCCCTTGTCGACCTCGCAGCTCAGCGCTCAGCGCCCAGCAACCAAAATAGAAGTCCTACTTTCCTATGGCCGCCCCACTCTCCTGTACTTTAACATAAACCACACCGTCATCACTATTCTTCGCTGCCACCCTGCTGCTCTGATACAATATTGATCATACATAGCAGTGCCAAAGCTTGGTCTCGTGTTCACATAGCAGGACAATCAGAAGTCGGTCTGACATTCATTTGCATTGCTTGTGGCATTTGGGCATTGAAACGTTCATCATCGACAGGTGCCGCTGCAGCCAATTCATATTTCTTCATCTAGCACGCCTGTAGCAGTCTGTAGTGAGCGCTACGCCTTTGAGCCACGAGGTTCGTAACAGTTCATTGCGGCCACGGTCCACCACCGTATGTGTGCAGGATCATCGAAACAATGTTGCCAAAACTAGTCAAAGCGAATTTGACTCGAGTCAGAGCTCACCGACTTCCAAGTCATAGGATTACATAAACTTTTATCATGACAGATTTGGTCCGGATAGGCTGATTTCAGCACCACGACTACTCCGAGAGTCAGCGCTACTAGTAGGACTCAGCCTGTGTGGCCATCACATTAACTTCTTGTTAGTAGATTCCTTACCCTTTCCTTATACCTTTGTCACGGTAGACAAGGGCGAGAAAGGGCGAGGAATCTGAGGATCTACGGCACTCTAGTCTTCCAGCAAGCAGCGGCCGCGGTCACGGTGGAGCTTTCCTTGTGTCCTGTCTGTAATTACGAGGGGATTCATGCATGTCTCACGCGTTTTTGTGCCACTTCTACCCCTGACCTCTCAACATGTTCACATACACCGGCCTGCTACATCATCGCTTGCCATACATTTGACACACCCTTAAAGAGAGTAGTGGAATGAATAGAATTATGCTCTCAACTTTACCATGGCCCTCCTACCGTTCACCTTGGCTGCTATCCTCTTGCTGTTATGCATTCCATTTGTTCGTGCTTTACCGCCTCTCAATTGTACTAGTACCCCTACACTCGATGTCACCGACTCTCCATCCAGCAGTGACACCAGAACCTTGTGGGACATCATTTGGAGTTGCGTTGCAACTCTATTCGCATGCACATGGACTGCAATTCACCCAAATATCCCGGGTATGGACGAGGGAAGAATGACTATTTTCTTTCGTCGCCTATACATCATGGTTCTGGCGCTGATTGCCCCAGTACTCATGGTCACCTGGGCCGCAATACAGTTTCTAAGTGCCCTTGGTACTGCAAAGGCCTTCAATGATGTCTTTAATGCGGCCCGCAGCGACCATCCAGATATAGGAGAGAGCACAGCTAAAGCACAGCTACATTGCTCAGTGAACCTCCAACATTAGATGAAAAGAACAGTCCACATCCAAGTGGTCCATATTTTTCAGGCCGCAAATTTAGAGGTTCGTTACTTGCTCAGCATTTTGGTGCAGTGATTCAACGGATGTCTCACAGAGTGGACCGCAGCGCATGGGTTTTTCGCGTGGATGGGTGGATTTATGCTTTACTGTGATGACGAGCCACGAGCTACTCTTACACCCAAGGAACTTATGGACTACATTCGCGATGGATGCGTGGATATCCCTGACATTGTGGAGGCAGACATAGAAGGTCGAAGTAAGGGTGACGCACTATCCAAGGGAATCGCCGTTCTGCAGCTGGGGTGGTTCGTCCTCCAGCTTGTCGCCCGTTATATCCAGCACCTTCCCACTACCCTTCTCGAAATCGACACCCTGGCTATAGTTTCTCTCGCCTGCATTGCCTATTGCCTGTGGTGGAAGAAACCTAAGGACGTACGACGTCCTTATCCTGTTCATTGGAATAGAAATAAAACAGAAGCTCCTCCGTTACGCACATTAACCTACGAGTATGTGGTCAATATTCTCACCTTAAATCATTCTTACTCACCCACATTCTAGAAAACCAAATCCAGAATTCTCCTTGGATGCCTGGTATCATTATCTTATCCTTCTCATTATCCCTTGAGGAGTCTTATGGGCACTGCCGTGACCATTTCTCCCTGTACTGTCCGAGAACGTCGGGCTCCGTCTTTAGGTGGCTATGCTGATGATAATCGTCATGATCGTAGTCATGTTATTACACTTTTCCTTGGATGCTTCAGTGGCGTCATATATGGAGGACTGCATTGTCTGGGCTGGAATTATCCGTTTCAGTGGCACACTGAACAGATGCTATGGCGTGTGGCTTCCATTGTAACAGCATCCGCATCGGTACCTTTTCTTTTGATATTTGGCTGGGTCATATTGTCGCATGCCCCCCATGACAGTTGGGTCGTGAGATTTGCTGTAGTTGCCATCGCTTTCATATCAATCACTACACGTGTTACAGTAATTGTACTTATATTGTTGAGCTTGCGATCGCTGCCCCCTGGCATATACGATACGGTAGCATGGACTACGTTTGTACCACATCTTTAGTCTCCTCTTACTTACATCACGATCATGATTATCCTCTTGCTGGAATCATTGCTTCGGATAATTTTCTCATCTCTTGAAGCACCGTTTCTGTGGTGTCTGACTTTCAAGTAGCAAACTCTCGAACACGAAACCTGCGATTGGAAGCACTACAACGAGCCTCTTCTTTTGCACTACCTAGCAACATCAGAAGACAAGTACGGACGTCTATAGATTCGGTATGCAAATAAGCTGAAGTAGTCGAGTCAAAATCATATTTTCCTCGCGACATAGTTAACCTTTGGATGGTAACCATAGCCTGGTGAATATTTTAGTGGTGAGCATTGTGCGGTTCCATACGAGTGAAACGCACAGTAAGCTCGATCACAGGCTGTACGGGGCTGCATTAATGACAGTCTAACGCGCCCAAAATGCGATTGCGCACCCAATACTCCTGATGGTGCATTAATTTTCTGGCTGATTGTAAATAATGACATCACACATACCAGGGGATTGTGTCAAGCGTATACAGGTCACCATCGGTCGCAATGATCGAATCCCAGGGGGCGCCTGCCACAAGTGCGGAATGACGCAAATCAAACAGCCTGAATTCTGTTGGCAGTCGTCTTATATCCAACAGGACGCTCGAACACACCATATTGCAATTACTTGGGTAAGATGATCAAAAGGTGCAGGATTGAAAGACAAAGTTCCGCACCAGTGACTTGGTACACCAACTCTTGCGAAAACACACCTGGCAGTACACAATGAATGCAACCCGGCAAGCTGTGAGGAGTTCCGTCAGATAGGTATCATAATTTGCATTACAGTTGATCACGAGCCCGAAGCCCAGCAAGCCACTGACGAGTATCGCTCCACAATTCAGAGCAATGGTCATCGTAAAGATAACGACCGGGGTAGTGAGAACCAAAAGACGCCCAAAATGCCCAACCTCGCGGTATAGCTTATGAGTAGCTCAAGGAAGAAAAAAGGAGGTGTGTCAGACGCTTAGGACAGATTCTTGCCTTGCTCCATTAAGGCTTGAGAACGGTCCCTACTTCGACTGTCGATTTTCTGCATAGGCAAAATTCGTGAGGGGAAGACTTGTGTAACGCCACTGGATATGTACATATATGCGCACCGTAACTCCATCATCATGTGTTTCTAAACCGACAAGAAGATCACATCATGATATCATAAACACTATGACCGCGAGTCCAGCGGATACTCCGAGTCGTATCCAATCAAGTTCTTGGAGAATCAATGTCCATTATGTCGTTTCCCGCAATGAAACGATACCCCAGTACCTCCGAGGCTATGAGACTGGGCCAGCCACTGCGCATTGCAGTTCGTCATGATATTTCACGTACATGCTGCATTGGTAGTAGAAAGCAGGAGAACCCTAGAGAATTTCAGAGGTGAGCTAAAAGTGACGTTTGATCACAGTATGCAATTAGGTTTCCAAGAACGGCAGCCTTTAAATCCATAACTTACCATTTGATTCGCAACTCTCATGAATTTCACGATGAATTAATAGACCTCAGACACGTACGCTTTAGCTTATCTTTGGGTGTCGCTCAGATGCTCGTGGAGAAGAGATTATTTGGAACAAATAGATTGCAAACCTGAAGAACAAAGATTCTAAGTATGTGGATGAAGGAGTCTAAGCTAAGCACATTCCGGCCCGATCTTGGATCCGCCCAAAGATAGAGAGGTGAGTTGCGAGGGTGGGCGGCCGGCCTTGCATATTATCAGTTGGTTGGAGAGATACACAAGTCAGGTCCACAAGAGTGTGGGTAGACTACTACGCGAGGCGCACCATGATATGAGAATAGCTGTAATGGTGAAAGAGGGAGTATATAGTGGGAGGCGGGGAAAGTTCGACGACATATTTGTTGTAGAGCAGCCGATGGACGAGCAGAAAGAAGCGCTAACGGCTTTTTCCGATTAATTTTGTGTTAATGCCACTACGTAATGGTGTGTCAAACACTGACAGCGTCGAACATCCGCCAACAGCTGAATTCGCGCGCATGACCTCCGCGACCGATAACCAGGTGCTATCATACTCATGCCATTCGACCTTTTTTAATGTAACAGTGACTTAGTCTGTCATACTAAACATGAGGCTACCTTTCTGGACAGACGCGCGAGTTTGAATGGTCGGCCTCGGAGTGGTGCCAAGCACTAATTGACACAGCGTGGTTCGTCCTCCAGCTTGTCGCCCGCTACATTCAGAACCTTCCGATGACACTACTTGAACTCGATACCCTTGCTGTAGTTGCTCTGACCTGCATTGCCTATGGCTTTTGGTGGAAGAAGCCTAAGGACGTAGGACGCCCTTATGCTGTTTATTGGAAAGCAACTACCTCTCTGCCAAGCACATTAGCCTACGAGTATGTCGTCCATATCCTTGCTTAAAATTGTTCTAATTTGGCTGCATTCTAGCGTTGTAGATCCAATGTTCTCCACTGAAAAATGGTTTGGTTTTTGTTACCTTACATTTATCCCCTTCTCAGTCTTACGGGATTTTTTTCCATCAATTCCCCCCGTGCTGTCCATTCACGTCGGGTTCCGTCTGTAGGTGGCTATGGAATTCTTGACGGACATCGTCATCACAATACCATTGTAGTTCTCATTGGATGTTTCAGTGGAACGATGTTTGGAGCTATACATTGTCTGGGCTGGAATGTTTTCTTCCAGGGGCACGTAGAGCAGATACTATGGCGTGCGGCTTCCCTTGCGATAGTATCCACACCAGTATTCATGCTTCTGCTGTTTAGCTACGCCATTCGGCTGGATAGTTCGAACGATGAGAAAGTCGCATTGTACGCTTTATCCGCCAGCGTTGGTATTGGCATATATGTTGTTGCACGCATTACATTAATTGTACTTATATTGATGGGCTTTCGATCGCTACCTCCTGGCATATACGATACAGTAGCCTGGACCAACTTTATTCCACATTTATTGTTTCCTTTTACTTCCGTCGTGATTATGATTGTGAACTTGCTGCCTCTGGCTAGAATCACTGATCAGAGGTGCAAGCACGGTTCGGGTTAGTTTCAAGGTAAAGCCGGTTGTGCTGCAATTTTGTAAAGGAACAACGAGCACGATTCCAGTATCAGAATGCCGTCTAGATAAGCTAGAGATGCGAGTATCATATGTAAATTCCCCCAAGTCTATCAACACGTCACTGCAGTGGCATGAAAGGGAGGGAGCATTACAGGCAGCGAAGATATTGCAGAGAAAAATGTGCTTGGAAAGTGGGTCTTCCGAGACCAAATGGTGGCCGGTGAGGAGATCCCTCGCATAAAATGAAGCACACTGGACATGAAGCGCAATCGATGCGTCGTTGAATGAGCCACTTGCATTCAAAGACACATCGATCTAGCGTGAACATGCATTGAAGCAAGCTAGTGGTTAGAAGTTGTCTAGGTCATGCTCGCATATATAGAGCGAGGATGTTGACGTGGCGTTTGAGTTCTGTCAGGCCGGGGATGGTATCCTGATACGCTTTTGAAATCAAGGGGTGATCGGTCAGGATTATCTCTATACTTTCCTGAAGGTACGTACCGTCCAAGTTGTGCCAGATTATGGTCAGTTCTTCACGATCGGATTCGCCCCAGACGTCTACAAGATGAGACCAGCGCGGGGTGGTGAGCATATCGTCCAATATCTGCGATATGGTCAAACACGAGTCATGTGCACCGAGAACGAATCACTCGTCGGTGCATGATATCTGCGTTGAAAGTACCCTCCCCACCCTGGGATACTCTTTTGCTATATAAACGTGCACGTAATGATCTGGAGGCCGAGATCGAAAAGCGATAGACTTACATATGAGCATAGTATCCAGCTCCCCATTCTTCTGCAAAATCGACCGCTTCCTGTGAGCCTGATAGAGATCATTTTACGGGAATGTGGGATCTACTAATTACCTTTGAGAAGCAGTCCCTTGCTAAGGCGAGCGACTTGGCAAGTGACTGTGATGTGCTAGTCAAGGACGGTACCGAATACGTCGAATAAGCAGGCGTCGATTTCGCGGAGATTGAGGTGTTCGGTGCTCGTCATGGTCATTGATGTGACGCTCTCCCAACCACAAGGATTCCCTTGTAATCATGCAGGAGAGGCGAGATGTGACGGGCATAGATGTACAGGCCCTCGTCGCCTTCCGTCCGGGGATGAGAGACGCACGGGAGAGTCTCTAATGGGTGTCGGTGCGTGTTACCACGTGGCAGGAAGATATCGCACACTCATTGTTTGGTATTTTCGGCGTCAACCTACCTGTCATTTATGGCGAGAAGAAGCAAAGGGCTCTCGGGAGGTTCTTGTAGCAGGTCAGCGGCCGACATCAGTGCCCTGGATTGGGTGGGGCAATCATCCGACTTCAATAGCTGTCCGCCGGCCGACATTACTTCATACATAGTTCCACCACATACCCGACCATCTCTCTCCGAAGATTACATTCAGATGTCACTCTCCTCGCCCCGACATGTCATGGCTGTAGATTTGACGTATGTAAAAGGAAACTACAAATGTGGAATAAACTTTGTCCAGGCTACTGTATCGTATATGGCAGGAGGTAGCGATTGAAAACTCATCAATATAAGTACAATTAGTGTAACGCGTGCAACAATATATATGGAAAAGCTGGCGAGTAAAGCTAAAAATGCGACATTCTCGCTGTCATCGCTCGAACCGTTCAACCAAATTGTATAGCTAAACAGCAGAAGAATACATACTGGTGTGGCAACTATCGCAAGGGAGGCAGCACGCCATAGTATCTGCCCTGCTTGCCCCTGAAACAAAGAATTCCAGCCCAGACAATGTATCCCTCCAAACACAGCCCCACTGAAACATCCAATGAGAAGTGTAATGATTCGATGACGGCGAGCACTATCCTCATCATAGCCACCAACAGACGGAACCCGAAGTGAACGGACAGCATGGGGGGAATTAGCTGGGCAACCGCTTATGAAAAGGTGATAAGTGTAAGCGAACAAAATATCAATCCAGCCTTCAAAAAATGCTGCATCGACTTTGCTAAGATGCAGGTGAATTAGAATAATTTAAAACAAGAATATTGACGACATACTCATAGGCTAATTTGCTTGGCGGATAGGTTGCTTTCCAATAAACAGCATGAGGTCGTCTTACATCCTTAGGCTTCTTCCACCAAAAGCCATAGGCAATGCTGGTCAAGGCAGCTACAGCAAGGGTGTCGAGTTCAAGCAGTGTTATAGGAAGGTTCTGGACGTAACGGGCGACAAGCTGGATGACGAACCACGCCAGCTGAAGAATGGCGATGCCTTTGGATAATCCATCACCCTTACTTCGGTCTTCTATGTCTGCCTCCATGATGATAGGCATTTCCACGGAGCCCTCAAGAACAAAGCGCTCAAGTTCCTTGGGTTTAAGAGTGGCTCGCGGCTCGTCATTGAAGTAGAGCATGAATCCACCCATCCACACGAAAAAACCATGTGTCACTGTCCACTCTGTGAGACATTCGTTGAACGAAGTTAGTCACCACACCAAAATGCCAGGCGGATAACTAACCTCTAAACCTGCGGCCTGTAACATGCGGAGAGCTCGGATGTTGGCTGTTCCTTCCATCTGAGGTTGGTAATTCACTAAGTAATGTAGCTGTACTCTCTCCTATATCTGGATGGTCGCTGCGGGCCCGATGAGGTTGCGCACAAAAGACATCATTGAAGGCCTTTGCAGCGTCACGAGCAGTTAGAAACTGTATAGTGGCCCATGTAATCATGAGTTCTGGGGCGACCAGCGCCATCGTCATGATGCCTAGGCGACGAAATAAAACGGTCATTTTCCCCTCGTCCATACCCGGGATATTTGGGTGAATTGCAGTCCATGTGCATGCAAATAGAGTTGCAGCGCAATTCCAGATGATGTTCCACAAGGCTCTGGTGTTACTGCAGGATGAAGAGCCACTGACGTCGAGTGTAGTGACACTAGTGCCGTTGAGGCTCGGCAGTGAGGAGCGAACAAACGGGATGTGTAACAATAATAGGATAGCCAAGGGTAAGAGGGTCATGATGAGGTTGAGGGCATGTCTGCTCAATCTGCTCCTCTACTTAAGGGTGCGGTCGCACGTATGCCTCGAGGATACGTCCGTAGCCACAACTGGGACAGGGAATCCAGGATGGTACACGTCTATCCCACGCGGAAAGGCTGCGCAACGTTGAATGAATGCTATCCTAGAGTCCTCCACTGGCATGGACGGCGATGGGACATTCATATCAGAAGGCTGAACAAATACAAGAAACACGACCGCGTGATGCGCTTCTTCGTTATGGACGACCGAGGTAGACCGAGCTCGTAACTAGTCTTACTGCGTCTCTGAGATGTTAAGTGCTTGACTCGTCTATTAAAGCAAGGTAGAAGGGTCTCGCCAGCTCACGTGGTTTGCGGTTATTCCAGGACCTAGAATGGTTATAGGGTACAGGTTATACATAAATATAAGTTTGAGGCCTGGTGTCTTGGCATCTAATGATATATGAAACAGGTTGAGGCTGCGAAGAAGCACAAAAAGGGCCGGTACACGCACCTCTGAAACTTAGGTCAAGACACCCACAAGCTCTCTAGTAATTTGTGCTCAACATCATCCACCTCGATCGAGCAGAATGACGGAAACAGAGCAGGCCGCCATTCCGATCACCACGATAGCTAGTTGAAGGTCATAAAGGTAGTATCTTTGGAGCCACAGTCTTCCCCGATAGACGTCATATGGTGGCAGCCTCGTTTGACAAGAGTCTCACTTCGTCTGTGGGGAAGACAGTGTCGTGTTGAAGAAAATGGAGGGCCATCGCTTCAGCGTACGAAAAGCCAATCACGTCACATATCCAAATATGGCATTCAGGCACATCGCAAAGTTCCAAGGTCACTTACGTCAATCTCCTCATCCGAGTCATGGCTGTAGATTTGGTTCTGAAACTTTATGTCCTGCTTGACAGCCTGAACACTTTTACGACGTTCCCAGGAACTGCACACTGCATCTGTATCGCATTTCGTCTCACAGCAGTCAAACGATGTCGCACTCAAGCCCAGGAAGTCAAGGCCGACGGACTTCATGACCTGCTGATCACCACGGAGGTCAAGCTGATTCAGGTCTCATCACCACGGCCCACTATGGATACATTCTTGTTTGTTCGTCCGTGGAATCGTTATGTCCTCGAGCTTCCCGACGTTGCTGCCAACGACACGCAGAGCGAAGAAGATTATTGATATGTGCCCGGGTCTCCATTATAGTATTCGCCTGGCGTGTTCCCTGAAGCACAGGAGTCGGTTTATTCAGAACTGAGTGATGGAGCCTTGCGATTGACTGCTCGCCTTGAACAGCCTTTTGGCGCACTTTTGCTAGCGCAGCAGCCGGGCGGAGAGTACAAGAGAATCGCGTCAGATCATGATATTATTGCACAGGTCAAAGACCTTTTTCTATTTCAGACATGGTCAAGATGTTAGGGATATTGTAGCAGCATGCATTTTTGGTGTTATGTACCAAGAATGTGAATCTCACGTATGAGACAAGCAATATCCACGGAATGTCCTCGAAGCCGATCTACAAGCAATGTCACAACCGGCCACTTACATGCTCACCCATGGGCTGCCCTGCGGCTAATAGTTGTGAATCGGATGGATGGGGAACATAATCTTCATGACGAATCGTCATCGTCAGCATCATTGTGCTGCAAATGGATATGTGAGACCTGGACTACAGCGAGAAAAATCAACCGGGCATACCAGTTGACCGGGGCAAGACGAGCATTGGAAATTGGTGGCAATGCACGAACGGTCCATAGGTGAGGTTGGCGGGCTTTGCAGATTGTAGGAGTAGTAGCAGATGATTGGTGGGTGGGTGGGTGGTCGAGACTGAAAAAGATGTAAGTTGGAAATGTGATAGTGGACATTGACACTCACGTTCTCGCATAGATCTGTGTATGAACGTCCTCCGTGAGTAGTGGACTGCAGTGAGGGAGAGCAGTTAAGAGGTAGGGACAATGTAGCAGGTAACTGTAAGGAGATCTTCGAGTCAAGTATGAAGGAAACAAAAGAAGAACGTACGTCCAAGGGATTACGAATGTTAGCATTCCAGAGAGGAACTGTGTCCATGCAAGAAGAGGAAGGAAGGAGTTTGCGAAGGTAGGTCGCTACGAGTGTATTATAGGTGATTGTATTAGCGGCTGATGAGCGAAAGATGTGACAGGCGAGATCACTGGCTTACAACGCGGTACAGCAAGAGGTGTTGCACCGGACTGCAATAATGATATCTGACAAAGTGGTTTACATTAGGGATCACGTACGTCGAGTAAGTCAGCGAGGCGAGGAGTTTTAGCTGCACTTGTCTGCAAAATGATGTTAGTGCATAACGGATAGATCTGCGTGCGTGAAAATGCATACACTGGACTCTTCTTGTTGTAGCCAAAATGCTACTAAGGATATCGGATGGTGTCGCCTATATAGATATTGCCAGTGGTGCAGGCCGGCATGTAAACCAATTGGCATGAGTCAGGTGAGCAGATGATGTAGCGAGGATGTCGGACATCAAACGAGGCGAGGAGCTGGCGGAACTCGAAGGCCCAGCGCTTGACGGCGTGGGTCATGGGCAGGGCTGACGAGGAGAGCACAATCAAATGATAATGCTAGACCTATGACAGTGCACCCTTCAAAGCTTGGCGTTCCGACCTTCTCCAGCCATCGAGGCCCATCAGACTCGCAAACTGTCTTCAGGCCGTGATCGGACGTGTGATTGGCGACGTTAAAGCTATGGTGGCAGATCCATTGCTCGCCACTCGGAAGATTAAGAGTGAAAAGTTCATGATCGGTGTCAATCAAAATACTCCGTGATTGTTGCCTTGTAGAGATTTTGTGCGGGTTGCTGGATCCAGGCCTCGGGGTTGCATGATAATGATATCTGCGTGACGAAAAACGAAGTGGCGGGCCCAATTCTTGCCAGGGTAACATCTCAAATACTTGAGCACGCCGGGGGGGTTGTTGAATGAGTATGGTGGTCCCACCAGTACCTTTTCTTGAGATTCATTTAGTAATGATTGCCGAGTGCCATGATTGCGTGAAGCACATCTTGAACTGTCTGTAGGGGCACCTGGAAGAAAAATTGAGTTACATCAAAATTGCTGAAGGAGTGCTTACCATGTGAGCTATAGCAGCACTCCGGAAACTGCTATCAAGGTCTCATGGATGGATGTAAGTAAGCCTCTCGGGTGGGATCTCTGGGACCTTCCTGCTCCCCACCAACTTGAGTGCGCGCCATCCTACGGACTCATGTTCCCGTTGACGTTCAAACTTCAGACGCGTTGCCACTAACGTGTCTGAGTTTCAAACTCCGACACAGCAGGGGCCGTAGTGACACTGTGAGTTGGCAATGAGTGTGACTCGGTCGGGTTATGTCCACCCCGATGATGACGCGGCCGTTGTATACTGCATTGTCCCATGTCAAAAGCCATCGGCTCATTTTCAGGAGGAAATGAAGAAAATTGATATAGTCAAATGAAAATGACATGAGAATTTAACGCAACGGCCGAAGGTCACTGGTCCCCTTGTATTATGTCATAGGTCGTTCATAACGAAGAAGCGCATCACGATCATGTTTCTTGTTTCTGTTCAGCTTTCTGAGATAAATGCCCATGGAGGACCCTAGACTATTATTCATTCAATGTTGCACAGGGACCTTCAATTCATGTGGCCCGGGATTGACGTGTACCATCCTGGATTTCCTGTACTAGGCCGCCGAGGCATACGTGCGAATCGGTGCGACGACACCTAGTATCGTAGCCGAAGCATACGTGCGATCACACCCTTAAAAGAGGAGCAGATTGAGCAAACGTATGCTCTCAACTTCGTCATGACCTTCTTACCCTTGGCCATCCTATTACTGTTATGCATCCCATTTGTTTCCTCCTCACTGCTGAGCCTCAATGGTACCGGTGTCACCACACTCGACTGCAGTAGCTGTCCGTCCGGCGACGACATCAGAACCTTGTGGGATATCATCTGGAGTTGCGCTGCGACTCTATTCGCATGCGCGTGGACTGCAATTCACCCCAAACATCCCGGGTCTGGTCGAGGGGAAATTTGCTATTTCTCTCGTCGCCTAGGTATCATGCTGGTGATGCTGATTGCTCCAGAACTCATGATCACCTGGGCCACACTACAGTTTCTAAGTGCTCGTGACGCCGCAAAGGCCTTCAATAATGCCTTTGGTGCGCAACTTCACCAGGACCACAATGACCACCCAGATATAGGAGAGAGCACAGCTACATTGCTTCGTGAATTTTCGACCTCAGATGGAAGCAACAGTCTACATCTGAGCGCTCCGCATGTTGCAGGCCGTCGTAATTTTAGAGGTTGGTTGTCTGCTCTGTCAGTGTGGTGACTAACCTCATTCAATTGATGTTTCACAGCAGGACTGTAACACATGGTTTTTTCGCGTGGATGGGTGGATTCATGCTCTACTTCAAAGACAAGCCGCGAGCCACTCTTACACCCGACGAACTTTTAGGCTTTGTTCGTGATGGCTCTGTAGAAATGCCTGTCATCGTGGAGGCAGACATAGAAGATCGAAGCAAGGGTGATGCATTATCCAAAGGCATCGCCATTCTCCAGCTGGCGTGGTTCGTCCTCCAGCTTGTTGCCCGTTACGTTCAGAATCTTCCCGTGTCACTGCTTGAACTCGACACTCTTGCTATAGCTGCCCTAACCTGCATCGCCTATGGCTTTTGGTGGAAGAAGCCTAAGGATATAGGACATCCTCATGCTGTTTATTGGAAAGCAACTGCCCCCCTACCAAAAAAATTAGCCTATGAGTATGTCGCGATATTCTCACTTGAAATCGTTCTAATTTAGCCTGTATTCTAGCACTGTAGATGACAGATACGCCGAAGATTGGACTGACCCTTTGGTCGCTATTTCTGCTATGCCTTTGAATTTTATGGGCATATGGCCTTCCATTTCCCCCTATGCTGTCCGTTCACGTCGGGTTCCATCTGGAGGTGGCTACGACGAGGGCAGTGTCCGCCGTCATCGAATCAATGTACTTCTCGTGGGATGTTTCGGTGGGACAGTGTTTGGAGGGATACAGTGTCTAGGATGGAATGATGTGCCTCATGCACAAGGATTGTTGCGTGCGGCTTCCCTTGCGATAGTAGCTGTGCCGGCATTTACTGCTCTGCTGCTGGCCTACATTTGGCTGAATGGTTCAAACACGGTTATCGTACTTGGTGCTACATACGCCATCCCTGCCATATATGGCAGTGCACGTGGTCTACTATTGGCAGCTATATTGGTAAACTTACAATCACTTCCTCCTGGCGTATATGACACAGTAGCTTGGACTAAGTTTATTCCACATTTGTAGTTTCCTTTTTACTTACATCATGATTCGTGATCATAATCATGAACTTGCTGCCTCTTGTGATCAAAGATGCAAGCACAGTTTGGGTTAGTTTCAAGGTAAAGCTGGTCGTGCTGCATGATTGTGAAAGAACGACGAATGCGGCTCCAATATATGAATGCGACCGCAACGCCAGCTAGACAACATATAATCGAGGATATGCGAGCATCTTATGCACATTTTGTAAAGTCTATCAGCACGCTGCAGCTACAGTGGCGTGCAAGGGAGGCGAGCTTTACAGGCCGCGAAGATACTATCGCAGAGGTGTTCTTAGAAAGTGGGTCTTCCAAGACCAAATGGTGATACCTGACATAAATGAAGCACACTGGCCATGGAACGCAATCGATGCATCGCCGAATGAGCCAGCATGAGCATTCGGAGACGCGTTGATTTAGCGTGAACATGCATTGAAGCAAGCTAGTGGTTAGAAGCTGTCTATGTCGTTCCCGCATATAAGCCCTCCAATTTGTTGAGTTGCATGGTTTCCCTAGCTAGATCAATCGAAGAAGGAAAGATAATCGTTCCTTTGTATTTCAATTTAGGAGTCAGTGATGATTGCAAAAAAGTGACTAACTTTGGAGGAACGCCTTTGTCAGGTATTGTAACTGTTTTGATTTGGTCCAGGACCTCTGAACACTCTCGAAAAGAGCTTAGGCTTAGAGTTCCTCCCGACGGCTACGAATTGCATTTGCGCAATATAATATGATCTGTCGTTCGCATCGCTGCCCCGAGAAACATCGTCGATTCAGTGACCTCACTTCGCTCGCGCCGTAACCCTGGTATAAAAATGGGCAAGTAAAAATTGCACAATATGTCAAGGACTCACAAAGTATGTACCAACCGCGGGTTTCAACTTTGTCGACCTTCACGTATCAATCTTGCCAGCTCCTGGAGATCTTTAACGACAACATCCACCTCACCGCCGTTCCTCTTGCTATGCATACTCACCTTTACCTCACGCGAATCTTCAGCAGGGCATGGTACGTATATCGCCTTGAAGCCTACGCTGGGAGGTCGAAGCTGTGCGCAGTGACCATTGCTATCTTGTGAGAAGGTAAATAGAGGTGGTATGCTGTGGATTGATGGACCTTTTTGTTACTACGCGGATGTCAGGCGAGGGGATAACACACAAATGTAAAAGCAATCGAGACGCACGATTTGTAGGATCCGAACAATTCAAACGAAAAGATGCCAACCCAAGGAACACCTTGGATCTTTGCCTGTAGCGCTGATTAAAGGAAAGGCCTGATGTGGTGACTCGATTACCAGATCGAGAAGTAATCTGAAGTTTCCGTTAGATAGAGCGAGGATGTTGACATGGCGTTTGAGTTCTGTCAGGCCGGGGATGGTGTCCTGATACGCTACTAAGCTTTCCTGACGGTATGGCTTATAAGTAGCTCAAGGAGGTGTGTTACATGCCATATTAGACGCATAGGACAGATTAATCTCGCCACCTTGCTTCATTGAGGCTTGGAGCTTGAGGAATGGTCCCTACTTTGATTGACAATTTCCTGCATAGGCAAAATTGGTGAGGGGAAGGACTTCTTGTGTAACGTCACTGGATATATATATTTGCGCACTGTAACTCCATCATAATCACCATGTTTTTCGAACTGACGAGAAGATCACATCAATTATATCGTTTCCCGCAATGAAACGACACCCAAATACCTCCGAGACTATGAGACTGGGCCAGCTACTGCACATTGCTGTTCGTCGCGATATTTCACGTACGTGCTGCATTAGGTGAGCAGTAGGAGAAGATAAAAGTGTTTAGCCACGTGCACAAGTTGAAGGCTAAGTGGCAGGAAATCCATGATTCACCATTTGATTTGCTTGCGGGTAGCAAAGCAAGGCTTGGACGGAGATTAATACGTTCAACCTGTTACACCGAGTCTCCCATAGGCAGATTTTCTCCTGTTTGGCCCATCATGCTGCGCACTTCGGACCTTACTTACCAGTGCCTTCCAACAACCTCAAACCCTCACGGCATTCACGATGAATTAGACCTACTCAACATATTTGCTTAAGCTTATCTTTAGGCGTCACTCGGACGCTCGTGGAGAAGAGATTATTGGAACGAATAAATTTGCAAACCTGAAGAACAAATATTCCAAGTATGTGGATAAAGGAACGAAGCGCATTCCGGCCCGATCGTGGATCTGCACAAAGAGAGAGAGGGGTGAGTTGTCAGGGGGTGGCCAGCCTCGCATATTATCAATTGGTTGAAGAGATACACAGGTCGGGTCCACACGAGGGTAGATAGGCTACTATGCAAGGCGTACCATGATCTGTGACTCAGTGCAAGAGAGAGTACTAGTGGTGGGTGGGAAAAGACATGCTCGACAACATATTCGTTGTTGAGCAGGTGAGGCGGACGAGCAGAAAGAAGCGCCAACGGCTCTTTCCTCTCGCTCTAGAACCGGGGGGAAGAGGAACTTGATCAGGCGTGGAAGAGGTGCAAGCCGCACCTGCGTGATTTGGGTGCGGACAAACTACGGACAGACTAGAGTATATAGGCAGCATGTGTAGCTACAGGAGAAGGGGAAATTGAAGGAAGAAGGGGTCAGCAGCTGGGCAAAGGGTTACACGTCATCGAAGATGGGCTGAAGTTCAAACGCCGATTCGGATCTGGCATTCGTGCCTAGAGTCCCCAAATAATTTTGTGTTACATAATTCTACTACGTCAAATGTTGCAGTGAAGTTCATCCGTCTGCGCACATGGCCTCCGATAACCCGGTTCGAACATGCCATTTGATTTTTCAACAGCGACTTAGACTTATTGGTCTGTCATACCGAACATAGGGCTACGGATGCGTGAGCTTCAAGGGTCGACCTCGGGGTTGTGCTAAGCATCAACTGACACGAGCGCTCAAGATGATTTGCCAACGGTCTGTCAGGGAAACGAACACCATTTTGATTGAAAGCCTATCACACTGGTTGAGCTGATCGATACTCTCGCTTTCCACACATCGCCGTGCCTAGAATAGCATTCAACGTGTACCATCGTAGATTCCCCGCACCGGTGGTGTATGCTAGCTTCGAGGCACGAGCACTCAGTGGAGCTCAATCCTCACATACTACGTGCGACCGCACCCTTAAAGAGAGGAGCAGATTGAGCAGTATGCCCTCAACTTCATCATGACCCTCTTACCCTTGGCTATCCTGTTACTGTTACACATCCCGTTTGTTTGCTCCTCATTACTGAGCCTCAATGGCACCAGTGTCACTACACTCGATGTCAGCAACTCTTCATCCTGCATTCACACCAGAACCTTGTGGGACATCATCTGGAGTTGCGCTGCGACTCTATTCGCATGCACATGGACTGCAATTCACCCAAACGTCCCGGGTATGGACGAGGGGAAATTCACTATTTTCTCTCGTCGCTTGGGCATCATGATGACGGCGCTGATCGCCCCGGAACTCATGATCATCTGGGCCACTGTGCAATTTCTAAGTGCTCGTGACACTGCAAAGGACTTCGATGATGCCTTTGGTGCGCAAATTCACCAGGCCCGCAGCGACCATTCAGATACAGGAGAGAGTACAGCTACGTTGCTCGACGAAATTCCAACATCAGATGGGAAGAGAGCTCCTCATGTTGCAAGCCACAATTTTAGAGGTCGGTTACCTGCTTGGCTCTTCGGTGTGGTAACTAACATCATTCAAAAAATGTCTCAGAGTGGACAGTGACACATGGGTTTTTCGCGTGGATGGGTGGATTCATGCTCTACTTCGAGGATAAACCGCGAGCCACTCTTACACCCGAGGAGCTTGAGCGCTTTGTTCATGAGGGCTCCGTGGAAATTCCCATCATCGCGGAGGCAGACATAGAAGATCGAAGCAAGGGCGACATATTATCCAAAGGCATCGCCATCCTTCAGCTGGCGTGGTTCGTCCTCCATTTTGTCACCCGTTACGTCCAGAACCTTCCGATAACACTGCTTGAAATCGACACTCTGGCTGTGGCTACTCTGACCTGTATCACCTATAACTTGTGGTGGAAGAAGCCTAAGGATGTGAGACGTCCTTATGCTGTTCATTGGAAAGCAACCTATCCACCAAGCAAATTAGCTTACGAGTATGTCGTCAATATTCTTGTTTTAAATTGTTCTTACTTGCCTGCATTCTAGCAATGCTACTGCACATTTATCATGTAAAGTCTGGCGTGATTATGTTTTCTTTGTCGTTTATCCCTGGGGGAGTCTTCTGGGTCTTGGCGCGTTCATTTCTCCTCGTGCTGTCCAAGAACGTCGGGTTCCGTCTCTAGGTGGCTATGACAATCGTCGTCGTATGATTATACCTTTCATTGGATGTTTCAGTGTGATATTGTTTGGAGGGATACATTGTCTTGGCTGGAATGTTTTGTCTCTGGGCACGCAACAGACACTATGGCGTGCGGCTTTCCTTACTATGGTATCTACAGTAGTATTTGTTCTGCCATTTACCTATGCCGCATGGCTGAACCGTGATGCATTCGTCCGGAAGAGCAGTTGGCACGTTGCTATGATTGCCGGCTGGCTCATATATATTATTATACGCGTTACGCTTATTGTAATAACGATACTGAGCTTACAATCACTCCCTCCTGGCGCGTATGATACAATAGCTTGGACCAAGTTTATTCCACATCTATAGTTTGCTTGTACTTACGTCGCGATCATGATTATGAGTTCGCTGCTTCTTGCTTAGACTGGAATCACTAATCACAGATGCGAGCACAGCTCGGGTAAGTCTCAAGGCAAAGTCATGCTGCATATTGTGAAAGAACGAATGACGAACGCGGTTCCAATATATGAATGCGACCACATCGTTACCGTATAGATAAGCCGCATCCAATCGAGGAGGGGTTGTAGGCATCATATGTACATTTTACAAAGTCTCGCGCCACAGCTGCAGTAGCATGGCCATGAGGTGAGGTTTAAGTTGCTGGAATCACTATTCTGAGATGCGAGCATGGTTCGGGCTAGCTTGAAGGCTATGCTGCATGATTTGTGAAGGAACAACCAACAGGGTTCCAATATCTGAGCGCGACCATAACACCGTCTAGACAAATTGCAGTGCATACAATCGAGGAGGAGATGTGAGTATCTTATACACATTTCGCGAAGTCTATTAGCGCGCCGCAGCTACAGTGGTGTGAAAGGGAGGTGAGCTTTACAGGCGGCGAAGATATTGCAGCGGAAAATGCAATTGGAATGCTGGTCTCCCATGACCTATGTTGATGGAACTTGATGCTCATCCGGCAACGCGCGACATATTGATCCAGCGTGAACATGTAGGGAAGCGATTGAGCCAGTAGTTATCGTTATCTAGATCGTGCCTGCGCACGTGAAAGTCGTCCGGTTCATCGAATCGGGACAGTCTCTCGTAGCTCAACCAATCGAAGAAAGATGGTCGTTCCTTCGTATTCGAATTCAGGAGTCTGGGATCGATCGATCATCCCTTGAAACCAACTCACCCCGAACGAACGTGCCAAGAGATCACTGCCAACGCATGACATTATAAATATTGCGGCTGTTTGCATTTGGTCCATGAAGAATAGAGTGATGTGATACAATTGGAGAGTAATTATATGTCAAGGACCTACCAGGATGATGCGAGTCGTGAGCTTCGACCTGGTCGAACTTCACCTATCAGCTTCGCCAGCTCTTGAAAATTTCCGAGGACAAAGTCCACCTCACTGCGGTCCTTGCTACGCATACTCCCCCTTACTTCACGGGAATCTTCAACAGGGCGAGGCGCATATATGGTCTCGAAACCAATGCTAGCGACAGCGAGACAGGCGTAGGGGTGAAGGAGATGTGCAACCAGCAGGATCCGAACATTTCGGACGAAAAAATACCAGTCCAAGGAATGCCTTGGTTCTTTTCCTCGTACAATTTGTTAGGGAAAGGCCTAATGCGTACTGCCAGTAAGCAGAGACTCGATTACTAGATCGAGGAGTAACCCAAAGTTTTCGAGCGAGAATGTTGACGTGGCGTCTGAGTTCTATTAGGCCGGGGATAGTGTCCTGGTACGCTCTTAAAATCAAGGGGTGAGTAGAGGTGAGTAGTCAGGTTTGCCTCTGAACGTTCTTAAGTTTCGTACCATCCAACTTGAAGTTGTGCCAAACCAGTCAGTTCTTCACTCTCGGAATCGCCCCAGATGTCTATAAGATGAGACAGGCGTGGGGTGGTGAGCATATCGTCCAGGATCTGCAAGATGAGTGTAAGTTACCTGTCGACGCCCGATGCCTGCGTTAAAAGGACCTTCCCTGTCCTGTGCTACTCTTTTGCTGCATAAACGTGAATGGTATGGTCTAATAACCAGGATTGAAAAGCAATAAAATTTGAACATGAGCATAATATCCGGCTCTCCATTCCGCAAAATGACTGCGTCTTGTGGGCCTGATGGATGCGGTCAGTGAGAGCGTTTTTACGGGGATGTAGGATCTGCCACTTAGCTACCCCTCGTTAAGACGGGCGACTTGGTGGGTGACTGTGCTGTGCTAGTTGAGGATGGCACAGAACGCGTCTAACGTGTAACCGTCTGTTTCGCGGAGGTCGAGGTATTCTGTGCTTGTCATAGTCGTTGGTGTGCTTCAAGGGACGGCAAAGACTCGGAAGAGCTGGGAGTTCGTAGAACGGTATCCGCTGGTGCGACTCGTGCGAGTGTCTGTTTACATCACCGTTGCAAATGAGTAAGAGAACAAGGAGGCTACCCATCAAATTAGCACATCAAGTCTTGGATGCAACATGAAATTATGATGGTGTACCCATATGCGCGATCGGTCCATCATTATTTCATTATTGAAAGGCACCTGGATTATGGTGGTAGGACTAGTCACAGTGCAGAATAGATCGCCATCATAAGCTAAGATTGAACCTCCACTAAATCAATGATGGAGTACTAAGGAAACACTGAATCGTTTTATCGCCGGGAATTGCCGATGGCCTTTGATTCTCATTCACATCGCGATCGTGTTTCTTGTATTTGTTCAGTTTTCTGAGATGAATGCCCCATCGCCGGCCATGGAGGACCCTAGCCTAGCATTCATTCAACGTTGCGCAGCCTTTCCGCGTGGGATAAACGTGTACCATCATGAATTCCCTGTACTACAGTGGTGGCTATGGTGGCCTCGAGGCATACGCGCGACCGCACCCTTAAGCTAGGAGCAGATTGAGCAGAGGTATGCCCTCAACTTCATCATGACCTTCTTACCCTTGGCTATTCTATTACTGTTGCACATCCCATTTGTTTTCTCCTCACTGCCAAGCCTCAATGGCACCTGTGTCACTACACTCGATATCAGCGACTCTTCATCCTGCAGTAACACCAGAACCTTGTGGGACATCATCTGGAGTTGCGCTGCGACTCTATTTTCATGCACATGGACTGCAATTCACCCAAACGTCCCGGGTATGGCCGAAGGGAAATTCACTGTTTTATCTCGTCGCCTAGGCATCATGATGATTGCGCTGATCGCCCCAGAAGTCATGATTACCTGGGCCACAATACAGTTTATAAGTGCTCGTGGTGCTGCAAAGGCCTTCAATGATACCTTTGGTGCGCAACACAACCAGGCCCGCAGCGACCATCCAGATATAGGAGACAGCACAGCGACGTTGCTTAGTGAATTTCCATCATCAGATAGAAGGAACAGTTCACATCCGAGTGCTCCGCAGGTTGCAGGTTGCGATTTTAGAGGTCAATTACCTGCTCGGCCTATCTGTGTGGTGACTAACTTTCATTCAACGGATGTCTCACAGGATGGACTGTAACACATGGCTTTTTCGCATGGATGGGTGGATTCATGCTCTACTTCAATGGCAAGCCGCGAGCCACTCTTAAACCCGACGAACTTTTAAGCTTTGTTCGTGAGGGATCAGTGGAAATGCCCGTCATCATGGAGGCAGACATGGAAGATCGAAGTAAAGGTGATGCATTATCCAAAGGCATCGCTATTCTTCAGCTGGCGTGGTTCGTCCTCCAGCTTGTCGCCCGTTACGTTCAGAACCTTCCGATGACCCTGCTTGAACTCGATACCTTTGCTGTAGCTGCCCTGACCAGCATTTCCTATGGGTTTTGGTGGAAGAAGCCTAAGGATGTGAGACGTACTCACGCTGTTTATTGGAAAGCAACTGCCTCTCCGCCAAGCGAATTAGCCTATGGGTATGTCATCAATATTCTTGTTTGAAGTCGTTCTAATTCGCCTGCGTTCTAGCAAAGTAGATGCAATATTCTCCGCTGAAGGCTGGACGTATCTTTTGTTCAGTTACATTTATCCCGTTCTCGATCTTCTGGGCAGTGGCCCATTCAATTCTCCCCGTGCTGTCCATTCACGTCGGGTTCCGTCTCTAGGTGGCTATGATAAGGTTGATGTCTACTACCATCAAAACATGATACTTCTCATTGGATGTTTTAGTGGGGCAGTGTTTGGAGCGATACATTGTCTGGGCTGGAATGTTTTGTTTCAGGAGCACGCAGAGCAAATACTATGGCGTACGGCTTCCCTTGCGATAGTATCCGTACCTGTATCTATTCTTCTGTTTTGTAGCTACGCTATTTCGCTGAACGGTTCAAATGATATTAACGGGGCTATCACAATTTTAGCTTTAGTCGCCAGCTCTTTCATATATATTGTTGCACGCGTTACACTAATTGTACTTATATTGACGAGCTTTCGATCGCTACCTCCTGGCATATACGATACAGTAGCCTGGACCAATTTTATTCCACATTTGTAGTTTCCTTTTACTTACGTCGCAGTTATGGTTATGAACTTGCTGCCTTTTACTGGAATCACTAATCAGAGATGCGAGTACGACTTGGGTTAGTTTCAAGGTAAAGCCGACCGTGCTGCATTTTTGTGAAGGAACAACGAAGATAGTTGTATATTAATGCGACCACAACGCCATCTAGATAAGCTGCATGCAATGAAGGAGATACGAGTACCATATGTGAATTCCGCCAAGTACATCAACGCGTCACAGCTGCAGTGGCGTGAAAGAGAGGTGAGCTTTACAGGCGGCGAAGATATTGCAGAGGAAAATGTGCTTGGAAAGTGGCTCTTCCAAGACCAAATGGCGATCCCTCGCATAGAATAAAGCACACTGGCCATGGAGCGCAGTCAATACATCGCCGAATGAGTCAAGATTATTCGGAGACATCGATCTAGCGCGAACATGCATTGATCGTCGAGGACTCTCGAAGAGAGCTCACGCACAGAGTTCCTCCCGATGACTACGAATTGCATTTGCGGAATATAATATGATCTGTTCGTTCGTATTGCTGCCCTGAAAATTGAGTTAACCCACTTCGCTCGCTCCGTAACGCTGGGATACAAATGGGCAAGTGAAAATTCTGCAATGCCTCAAGGACTTACAAAGTATGTACCAACCGCGAGCTTCAACTTTGTCGAGCTTCACATATCAACCTCGCCAGCTCCTCAAAATCTTTAACGACAAGACCCACCTCACCGCCGTCCTTCTTGCTACGCATGCTCTCCCTTACCTCACGCGAATCTTCAGTAGGGCGTGGTACGTACATCGTCTTGAAGCCTACGCTAGAGGCAGCGATGAGATGGAACCTGTGCGCAGCAACCATTGCTCTATTGTGAGGAGGTAAAGAAAGTATGCTGCGGATTGGTAGATTTTTTTGTTCCTGCGCAGACGTCAGGCGGAGGGATAACACACAAATATAAAAGCGATCGAGACGCACGGTTTGTAAGATCTGAACAGTTCGGACGTAAAGATCGTAGAGAGATAGACTTACACATGAGCACAATACCCGGCTCTCCATTCTTCTGCAAAGTCGACTGCGTCCGACCGTGAGTCTGATAGTGGGCGACTTGGCGAGTGACTGTGCTGTGCCAGTCACTAGTCAAGCTTACCGAATACGTCAAATAAGCAGGCGTCGAGCTCGCGGAGGTCGAGGTATTCGGTGCTCGTCATGGTCGTTGGTGTGCTTCAAGGATAAGCGTTTAAGCTGGGAAGAACGGGATCAGTTGGTGCGTCACTGCACAGGCGTAGGTGTAGAAGGATCATCCCGATGAAACTAGCACGTCACACGTCATGCATTTGGCATGTCTTGGATGGAATGGCCCAGATCTGCGATCGAAAGATAGTACGAAACTTTCACGCTTCCACTGTCAGCGTTAACGATGTATCTGAGTTTCAAACTCCGCTGCGACAGTAGGGTCCGGCAGGATGACACTAGTGACACAGGTAACGAAGAAGCACATCACCCAGCTCTCCGAGACGTCTATGGAGTCGGACCCTAGGCTAGCATTCATTTAACATTGCACAACCTTTCTGCGTGGGATAGACGTGTACCATCCTCGATTAATGCCCTGTACCCGTGGTGTCTATGAACGTATGGTAGTCTCGAGGCGTACATGCGACCGCACCCTTCAAGAGAGGAGCAGGTTGAATAGACGTATTCCCTCAACCTCATCATGACCCTCTTACCCTTGGCTATCCTACCACTGTTATACATCCCTTTTGTTTACTCCTCACTACCGAGCTTTAATGACACCAGTACCACCACATTCGACGTCACTGACTCTCCATCCAGCAACAACACCAGAACATTGTGGGACATCATCTGGAGTTGCGCCGCAACTCTATTCGCATGCACATGGACTGCAGTTCACCCGAACATCCCGGGTATGGACGAGGGGAAATTCGCTGTTTTCTCTCGTCGCCTAGGCATCATGATGATTGCGCTGATCGCGCCAGAACTCATGATTACCTGGGCCACTTGTCAGTTTCTGAGTGCTCGCGACGCTGCAAAGGCCTTCAATGATGCCTTTGGTGCGCAACTTCACCAGGCCCGCAGCGACTGTGGAGATACGGGAGAGAGCATAACTGCGTTGCTCAGTGAAATTTCAACATCGAATAGAACAAACAGCCTACATCCGAGCGCTCCGCATGTTGCAAATCGCGATTTTAGAGGTCGGTTACCCGCCTGGCCCTCCGGTGTGGTAACTAATTTCGTTCAACGAATGTCTCGCAGGATGGACAGTGACGCATGGCTTTTTCGCGTGGATGGGTGGATTCATGCTCTACGTCAATGGCAAGCCGCGAGCCACTCTTACACCCAATGAGCTTGAGTTCTTTGTTGGTGAGGGCTCCGTGGAAATGCCCGTTATCGTGGAGGCAGACATAGAAGATCGAAGCAAGGGTGACGCATTATCCAAAGGCATCGCCATTCTTCAGCTGGCGTGGTTTGTCCTCCAGCTTGTTGCCCGTTACGTTCAGAACCTTCCGATCACACTGCTTGAACTCGACACCCTTGCTTTAGCTGCCCTGGCTGGCATTGCCTATGGCTTCTGGTGGAAGAAGCCTAAGGATGTAGGACGTCCTCATGCTGTTTATTGGAAAGCAGCTTGCTCTCCGCCAAGCTATTTAGCCTACGAGTATGTCGTCAATATTCTTGTCTGAAATTGTTCTTACTCGCCCGCATTCTAGTCAAGTAGATGTAGAATTCCCCATTGAAAGTTGGTCTGATTTTTTGTCCACTTGCGTTTATCCCTTTCTCAGTCTTACGGGTTTGGCCACACCAAATTCCTCCCGTGCTGTCCATTCACGTCGGGTTCCGTCTGTAGGTGGCTATGATCAGGACAGTGTCTCCTGCCGTCCAATCATTATACTTCTCGTTGGATGTCTCAGTGGGGCAGTGTTTGGCGGGATACATTGTCTGGGCTGGAATGTTTTGTTTTGGGGGCATGCAGAGCAAATACTATGGCGTGCGGCTTCCCTTGCGATAGTATCAGCACCGGTATCTATTCTTCTGCTGTCTGGCTATACGACTTTGTTGATCAATTTGAACAAAGTTGACGGGATATTCATAGTTACCTCGGCACTCGCAATTTATGTTGCATTCGCCAGCTTTTTCATATATATTGTTGTACGCGTTATACTAATTGTGCTTATATTGATGAGCTTCCAATTGCTACCTCCTGGGGTATACGATACAGTAGCCTGGACCAAGTTTATTCCACATTTGTAGTTTCCTTTTACTTACGTACGTCGCGATCATGATTACGAACTTACTGCCTTGTGCTGGAATCACTAATCAAAGATGCGAGCACGGTTCGAGTTACTTAGTTTCAAGGTAAAGCCGGCCGTGTTACATGATTATCAAGGAACAACGAACATGGTTCCAATATCTCAACGCGACCACAACGCTGTCTAGACAGGCTGCAGTGCATACAGTCGAGGAGATGTGAGCATCTTATGCACATTTCGCAAAGTCTATCAGTGTGCCGTAGCTACAGTGGCGTGAAAGGTAGGTGAGTTTTACAGGCAGGGAAGATATTGTGAAGGAAAACGTGCTTGTAAAGTGGGTCTTCCAGGACCAAATGGTGACATAACATGAAGCACACTAGCCATCCAGCGCAATCGATGCATCGCCGAATGTGTCATGAGCATTCGGAGATGCATTGATTTAGTGTGAACATGCATTGAAGCAAGCTAGTGGTTCCAGCATATAAGTCCTCCAATCGGTTGAGTTGGGATGATTTCCCTAGCTAGATCAATCGAAGAAAGAAAGACGATCGTTCCTTTGTATTCAGGAGTCAGTGATAATTCCGAAAAAGTGGCTTACTTGGGAGGAACGCCTTTGTCAGGACGTCAGAAAATATTGTAGCTGTTTGGATTTGGTCTAGAATCTCTGAGGACTCTCGAGGAGAGCTTACGCATAGAGTTCCTCCTGACGACTGCGAATTGCATTTGCGCAATATAATATGATCTGTTCGTTCGCATCGCTGCCCTGAAAATCATTTTCGATTCAGTTACCTCACTTCGCTCGCTCTGTAACATTTAGATACAGATGGGCAAGTTATGATTCCGCAATACCTCAAGGACTTACAAAGTATGTACCAACCACAAGCTTCAACTTTATCGAGCTTCACGTATCAACCTCGCCAGCTCCTCAAAATCTTTAACGACAAGATCCACCTCACCGCCGTCCTTCTTGCTACGCATGCTCTCCCTCACCTCACGCGAATCTTCAGCAGGGCGTGGTACGTATATCGTCTTGAAGCCTACGCTGGCGGCAGCGAGGAGGTCGGACCTGTGCGCAGCGACCATTGCTATCTTGTGAGGAGGTAAAGAAAGGTGGTATGCTGCAGATTGGTAGACCTTTTTGTTCCTGCGCGGGCGTCAGCGAGGGGATAACATACAGATGTAAAAGCGATCGAGACGCACGGTTTGTAAGATCCGAACAGTTCGGACGAAAAGATACCATCCCAGGGAACACCTTGGTTCTTTGCCTGTAGCGCTGATTAGAGGAAAGGTCTGATGTGGTGACTCAATTACCAGATTGAGAAGTAATCTGAAGTTTCCGTTAGATAGAGTGAGGATGTTGACGTGGCGTTTGAGTTCTGTCAGGCCGGGGATGGTGTTCTGATACGCTATTAAAATTAAGGAGTGATCGGTTAGGTTTGTCTCTGGACTTTCCTGAAGGTTCGTACCATCCAAGTTGTGCCAGATCATGGTCAGTTCTTCACGATCGGATTCGCCCCAGACGTCTACAAGATGAGACCAGCGCGGGGTGGTGAGCATATCATCCAGTATCTGCGATATGGTCAGACACGGGACATGTGCATGGAGAACAAGTTACTTGTCGGTGCATGATATCTGTATTGCCAGTACCCTCCCCGCCCTGTGATACTCTTTGGCTGGATAAACGTGCACGTCATGATATGAGGGTCAAGATCGAAAAACGATAGACTTACACATGAGCATAATATCCGGCTCTCCATTCTTCTGCAAAATCGACTGCGTCCTGTGAGCCTGATAGATGTAAGCAGCGTGAGATCATTTTACGGGAATGTGGGATCTGCTATTTACCTTCGAGAAGCAGTCCTTTGCTGAGGTGGGCGACTTGGCGAGTGACTGTGCTGTGCCAGTCAAGGACAGTACCGAATACGTCGAATAAGCAGGCATCGATGTCGCGGAGGTCGAGGTCGGTGCTCGTCATGGTCGGTGTACTTCAGGGATAAGCTGGGAGGAACGGGATCAGTTGATGCCAGTCACATGTCAGTGGCGTGCGTCATTGCACACGCGTAGGTGTAGGAGGATACCGATGAAACTAGCGCGTCATGTCTTGGATGGAATGGCCCTCTGCGATCGAAGGATATTCCGCCAGACATGATGGCCAGTACTTATATGTACTCAGTCCATCGCCGTTTTGTGGAGGTGGAGCGTGTGTAGAAAGGCGCCTAGTGTCTCATAGACTAGTCACAATGCAAGCATCATACCAAGAAAATCATAAATATAGCACTGAACTAGCCGCTGCTAGCGCGCGCTGACTGCTGGATTGATTATAAAGTTTGAATTTTAACTTTAAGTTGACGCCGTAAGCACGGGAATTGCCGATGCGGCCTTTTTGGGAAGAGTGACTTTGTCGGGCTGCTCGCTATGGTCCACGACGATGAAAGGCGTCGAGTACTCAGAGCTCGTTAACTGGGATGGTCCTCTACCATCCAGTTCTTATCATCCTCAGTTACCCAAAGACGCACCTTCGACATCATTCTTTAACTCTACGATGAGCAGCTTGATTCCTACCCCTGCATCATATTCTTCTAGTACACCGTCACAAGACGCTAATGATTCTGAAGAAGATTCGGACTGCTATATAATCGATGCGCCATCTTCAGCAGACGGTTTATTTGACGAAAACTATGGTTCTACGCGTACTTCAATAAAGGTATGTTCGCGTTTCTCCTGTTACCACCTGAATCATTGTAGTTTGCAACTCCACTCAGCATTCATCATCGATTGAATTCGAAAGACTTTCAGTCTCCCACATGCCTAAACTCTTTCCGCCATCTAATCTCGACACGCTATTTCCATTCCAGCATACTCGCGACGCCTCGGCTGCCGTGAGCGCGTCTTCTTCCTCTGATAGATCCATCATACTTACGTATTTTTCCCTACAGGATGAACTTTTGACACAACCAGAATCATATCATTCTTCCTCACAGCATAGCACCCGGAGCGTGCCAAGTTCATTCTATGCCGCGGAGTCCGGCTTATTCGACATGTCTATACCCCCTCTCTTAACTCATAACGACGTGATTGAGTTGACTGACGACGAAGACGATCCCGGACATGATGGTATCAAGAGTGTTAGCGATCCTAACAATGAAGACGAGGAGATGGCTGTTGATGATATGCTTGTAAGTAAATGTATACAACATTACGCCATTCCCGTCCCTTAAAAAGACTGTTTCTTGACTGTTAATTTCTAGACTGAACCTTTTTCCGTGCGCGATTCGTCTCCAGATGGTGCCCGTTCTTCAAGATCGTCCTCACCCGAAATAGGCGACTCTCTATTTACACCCCCTCCATCTTCCCGTAAGCCTCGCAGACGCGTCGTCCTCGACTGTGTATCTGTGCCACCCCTTCCCAAAGGCATCGCCAAAGCCGATTACAAGGCATCGAACGCGTCCAGCAGCGTGCCTCAGCAGGGTGTAGAGCACCCGTCAGTTAGCCACGCCCTGACCGCTGCATTCGCTCAAAATGACCGGTCGCCATCACCCTCTCTCAGTCTTATGCAAAGGGGGCATGACCGTGAACGCCCGCCCCCAGCTCCTGCACGTCATAAAAGGAAGCACAAGCCTCGTTCCCGGAAGTTCGGAGAAGACGTTTCTACGGTACCAACCCAGATCCTGGACGCCCATTATCCTGCTCTCGAGCTTGACATCCACGAGCTGCCAAATTTTCTACCACATCACGACATTGTCCTGCAGTCGAATGCCTATTACATCCACGTCAAACGCATTAAGCGCCTTTACGCACAACTGCACAAAGGTTTGCCGGAGATGATTGCGGAGATGAAAAGTCTTGCAGTACCAGACGATGAGAAAGATGAGAAAGAAGACGGACCCGTCTTTCCTCGCATTCTCGCACCACTGTTTGAGGAGAGGCCGGATATCGAAGCGGCTCTCACACCATACTTTGGACGCGCGCCTCCCAAAGGTTCCTCTCGCAAAGGTAACATTAAGAGTAATTTAGAGCCACAAAACGTTCCGTCTTCATCCAAGCTTAAATTGGGGTTCACTGGCACCGTCCTTCAAACGCAGGGTCCTTCATCCTCTAACGTCCTTGATGACATCTCACACTATACCGCACTGGAAGAGGATCAAATTCTGGATTTCAGCACGGAGATGGATCAGTATTTGAATGACCTCGGCGATTCTCCTGCAAAGACATATCCCCAAGGCATTAAACACACTGGATCTGCACCAAGTTCATTCATTGGTTTCTTGCACAATACAACACGGCTGCCTCCCGACATGGCGTCGTTCACTCGAGAAGATGCAGAGGACAGTTTCTTTGGAGTACCTCCTAGCCCGAGGCTGGTATCCGAGTCTCCTTCACTACAGCTCACGGACGCGTACGCCACCAATTCCTCACATAGCCTGGACGGTAGCTTCGATCTTGTGCTCCCTGCGGATGGCCAGTGGTCTCTGTCGCCTACCATTGAACAAAAGAGCATATCCCCCGATAGTCTTTCTCCTTCAGACAGCGCGGGTACCATCGATCCCTCGCTGCTTGGTGGCAATGAGCCGCCTCTCCCATCAACAGGCCCTCAAAGCTCGAAGCCACGACCAGCAGGCCCCATCATATACGTGCGCAGACCTCCAGGGGTGTCCGCATCGCAGGAAGCCCCAGCGCTTTCGGACAAAACGCCTGGCAAGTCACGAAGAAACGTCCAGATCAAATATCGCACCAGTAAATCGGCCTCTATCACTGATGAAGGCGACGGGACTAATTCAGCGAAAAAGATGGACGACGGGGAGGTTATGGATGATGGGGGGTGCACTGCTGAAGCTGTTTCTGCTTCACCTGCACCAGCCGGGGCGCGGCCAAGTCTCAAGATACGGATTCGTCGACCAGGCACCCGTGCAAGCTCTGATGGGTCGTTTGTGCTGTCGAAAGCTTCGAGTTCGGCTTCCCCTCCTGTATTTGCGACTCCATTTCCAGAAACGAAACTGTCCAAGGTCCATGCACCACCTCCGCCAGCTCAAGCCACGCCACAAGTCGATGGCGAGCCTGAAGTTGTCAGTACTTTCTGTCACCAATGCCGAAGTACGCAAACCAGACCCAAGATGCAATGTTCGAAACGCCGTCCAGACCGGCAAATCTGCGGGAAACGGTTCTGCAACCGATGCATCCTGAACCGGTCTGTCGTCTTCCTCTCCTTCGTGGCATCTCCTTTCCTCATTGATTGCAATGCCCCCTGTATGGTTGCTCAGGTACCCTGAGACAGTATTTGCCCCCGAAAACAAGAAGTTCGTCTGTCCGGTCTGCCTTAATACCTGTAACTGCTCCATATGCGCGCGGAGACGTGGGGAGGAGTATATTTCCGCGCGTGGTGGCGGATTTGCGGGGTCTCGCACCAAGTCGGGCCTTCTGCTTGTGCCTGATGATTCCTGCGTCCCGGATGGCTCAATGACGCCTGAGCCTTCCGGAAGTGCGCCACAAGCCAAATTTCTGGGCTCATGTCTATGGTCTTAAAGGTGAGCGCGTCGGCCGTGCGTTTATCGACGGCGATAGCGCCTCTGCCCCCGTCCGACCCACACAACCCGTAAAACAGCGCGCCCAAAAGCAACAGAAAGTAAAAGCCAAGCTGAAGAAGAAACCGAGGGTATTCATCGGAACCCCGTTACCCGAGTGGAACATCTGCACAATTAAAGACCTCGAGCCCAGCGCTGTGATTCCGCCTCTCATCTCAGAAGCAAACGCAGGGAAAGGCAAGGGCAAAGCTGTTGAACGACCGCGTGTTTATATCGGCGACGCGAGGTGGTTGTATGTGCCATATACACGTATGCCTGTGTCACTGTCCTCTTCGCGGACGTCGTCGCCGGACTCGGAATTGGAGCTGGACTCGGATGGGACGTTGACGCCGTTGGAGGATTTAGAGGAGGGGATGGGGGTGGCCGCAGCCTGAGGTGGGGGAGTCTGTGACTGTGACGTGGGGGGTGACGCGTACGCAAGATCGGAGTGCGTCTAGTTCGTTGTCGCCGGATGATTTGCTCAAGGGCTATTGGGGTTGCCTTGGCGGCGACGCGTGAGGGCACGGGAGAGTGATGATAACGCTCATGTGAGTTGTTTTTGTGCATAAATTTGTTTGTTGTCTATAAGGACGGCGCGTAGTGAGGTAGGCGTTCATAGTACTACTACTACTTAAGTACGGTATGCTCCACGTTGGGTTGTGGATATCGTTTAATATTACAAGGTGATACCTTAGGACGTTGGAAAGCATGTAATTACAAGGTTAAGATCGATGACAATTGAGTACTTGCTGTGCGCTGATGTGTAATTCGTCACCGTGAATAGGAGGTCGATATCAAGCTACACTGAGCGTTTTAAAACCTAGCCTTAAGCTTTAGGCCGTACTAGCCGTAGGCCTGAGAAAACTAGTGCTAATTACTCTAAGTTGGATTGGGAGGGTTTTCCTGATGCTAGACATGAGCAGTTAGCACATATATCTCGCGGAAGAGCTTGTACAATCATTAATGTCCGCAAGATTCACTATTAGAAGATGATTCGTCCCTTGTTATAGCCCTTTCTGAATTTAGATGCTTAGAGACTTGGATAACTCTACGCTGGGTGATCATAAGTGGTCTCAATATGATTTAGGGCTAGTGGAGCTGGGGTGTCTTCGTGGAACAGCGATAGCTAACGTTCGAACGCTCAACTACGACTCCGATCGAATTTATTTCTAGAAATGCTTCCAGAAGATAACTTGGTCCATATGTTGTGAAAAATGTTATATTGTAACGTACAAATACCCAATACCCAATAAAAAAATTGCATCAGTTGGTAGTGGCGTTCGTGTATGCGGTTGTGGCAAAACCGACTTGGGAGTTGGTGGTATCGAGCACGGTGTAGAAGCGCTCAAGAAAAGTGTAGCCGTTGATAAAGTCGAGACCTTCACCACTGGGGGTGCCAATGGAGTTGACAATGAGGTAGATGTAGCTGGTGCTACCACCTATATAGGTGTTAAGGGAACGAGGCCAGATCTGGCCGTTAGGGGTGAGAGCGTAGGTGCTCTGTGCAAAATGGTGAACAAGAGGCATTGAGATTTGGTACAGAAAGGGCGTACGCTGCCAACATTGAAGTTCAGGTTCTCGAGGGCACTGTACTGGGTGGAGGTAATGCGGAGAAGACCAGTCGTGTCGTCCAAAGTAGCACCGGTTGCAGACTGGTACAAGCTGAAGGCGTCTATTGAATAGTACTGCAGATGAAGATCACTCGCTGGACTCGAGATACGCACTGGTGGCAATGAGGATGAGAGTAGTGCCAGTATCAATGATACCAGCCGTCTCGGACAAGATGGTCGTGGTGCCGTAAGTGATACTCTCGTTGATACCCCAGTAGTAGGATGAAGGGTAGGTGGTGGTGAGAGGACTGAAATAGGCAATTACTGTCAGTCCGGATTGATCTCTGAGCTGCAGCAACTTACGTGTATGCAATGGCGCCGGTGTACTTGGTAGCGTCAGTTCCACCGAAGGTGAGCTCTCCGTTGGTGTCTGACTCCGAGGTGGTGGGCTCGAAAGAGATACCAACAACTATCTGAGAAATGATGCCTTGGCTATACAGGTTGTCAGTGACAGTCGGGATCGTCGTGGATGGATCTGCCTGGACCTCTCCCAAGTCTAGGGGCCCGATGCAAAGGACACCATCAACACCAGTGAAGCCGAATGAAGTGGAAGCAACAACAATCGGCTGCTGGATGATGGTGAGCTCACTACCGAGAGTGACGGTGTCGGTGTACTCAGTTCCTATAGATAATCGTAAGTATCCTAAACTTATGATATTGTTGTATGTCATACCAGAGAGGGAGCCGGAACCGTAGGTGACCGCTATAGCCTTGCCAGTGTCGACGCTGGTGCTGGTCTTCACGTAAGTGGTGGCGTCAACGCATGTGATCGAGCAACTGTTGACGACAATCAAGTTGTCTGCAATAATATATGAGTAGCCGCATGTTTTCTCATTGTTGAACCCACAGGTTGTGGCAGGGTTGCCAATGCCAACTGATGCGACGTAGTCTACAGCATCGTTTGTCACAGGAATGCTACCAGAACGACGGCCAAGAGAGTCTCTGCCGAAAGCTTTGAGGGCGGTGGCGCGAGATTGGTCGTGCTGCAAGAGGTTCATGGTACCACCAGAGGTGTTTAGCCTCCTGGCGATTGGGAGGGTGATGGGGGAGTCGCGAATTTCAACAGGCGATGCCGCTATGGACAAGGCCAGGAGGAGAGTCGTCAACACAGCTGGGAACATGATTGAATGGTACCGGAAGATAATGATCATACCACATTTCGAAGTCCATTATATACTATGTACTGGTAAACGTGAAAACACTGTGAGTAGTACATGGTTAATCTCATCCTCAGAAGGCTGAATCATATGGAACGCGCCTCCTCAGGTGAAGGGACCGAAAAAAGGAAAAACTAAACAATTGACTCATTGTGCGCGCATCTTGGATCAAAACTGATATAGCGGGACAGGTAGCTTGTTTTTGGCCGTGAGTAAGGGGAACTGCATCCATGGACCATGAGTAAGAGGATGCGGTGTTCCACCAGTTTTATTCATGGACTGGAGTGCTTACTTTGCATGGTGAAGCTCGTGCATGACCTTCAGGCTCACAGACTCGACTCGGGCCCGAGGGTGCGCTGTTCCACCAGAAATAGTAATGAGTGCTTACCTCGGAGTCCTTGACATTGTAGCCGTGGGAACTATAGAATCATATGATTTTGCTCCTGCCAAACATGACATCTATACCGGTACCGTCAGTCATTGATACATATGTGGCCATCGATGGCCGAATAACATCAGCGGACCATATGGACTGACATTACTCCACTGCAGCCGGTAAGGGGTAGTATTTTCTGCTCTATTTTAGCTTAGGGTCATGATATGATTGACCTTTCCGGTGTTTACCGAGGATCATCGATCAGCGCTGGATGATTCACTTCAATGAACGTACTAGAGTATCCCACTGCACACCCAATCGCTCCTTATCTCGTTCAAAACGCTTACTTCAATACTCACACCACACTATCTACCACAGCCGCTAGCACCCTCTCAACTCTCCGTACAAGAATACCCATGATGCGCCTCTTGTGCCCTCTTCCTACTCCTTTCCCCTCCTATAGATCATGTAGCTGTCCATGAATATACCGAGTCCGGAGGTAGGATATTAGCATTCTGTGTTAGCGTTAGAAAGGCGCTCTATTTGGACCGAGTCATGGCTTTGGATCACTATCCGCGGGTCTTGGTCTGGACATGGTGAAAGACACTACTATACTCACAGTCGCTGATGGAAGCGCATCCCTCTACATCTCCTTCTCAACTGCTATTGGAACAAACGCAGATGTATCTGTAACCGACACGGTGTTATATGTATCCAGACTACCCACGTGCCCTTTGGACTTTGAAGCAATCATCCTCGGTCGTTATGCAGAGGGGAATCCGCCTGCCGGTATCTTATCTCAAAGCGGGCTTGTCGCCATGTGGAATTGCACACCATCCCTTCCATATATCCTGCTGTCGCGATCGCTATCCGCACTTGGTCTGTGCTTCTCCTCACAGAGACATGATCCCAGTCTTGAGCCACACATTTTGCCCCAGTTTCTTCTGGCTCGTCCAGATTCGTGGTAGGTGCAGTACTGCATCGTAGAGGCACTGCTCAATCATTCAAATCTTGGGTCAACCGTAGGCGGTGAATCACAACGCGAGTGAGAGCCATTTGTGTTCGAAGATGCCAACGACGATCATTACAACCAAATTCCCTCTCAAATCCGAAAGTCGAACACGTACTAGTACCTTCAAAACCTCTAACTTCCGAGGATGAATGAATATGCACCCCACAATTCTCCCCATCTGCCTTCTCCCGTGCTGTAGACGAGTTTCGCTCTGGAACAAAATACACAAACCCGGACACCTGGCGCATCGGCGATGCACTCATATACGGCGAAGTAGTCTCCAGCACCCAAACAATGTTTGACGAGTGCGTCTCACCCAGTCACGTCCGTCCCACCGCCCACCGCCTCAGACAACCCAACATCAAATTCAAAGTCAACGCCGGAACCACGGAAAATGGACGGGATACTGGTAAACACGAGTCTTGGCGGTGGTGTGGCAGATATAGTGATCAGTACGGTACCCTCCTCCCTTTTTTTCTCAGTGACATGAAAGCTCACTCAAACTCATCGATGAAAATCAATAGGAAGTAGTCTCAACGTCCTAAATGCACCGCCCATCGCCTCACTCGTCCAACTCGCATCTACACCTACCTCAGGGCTCTCTGTAGAATGCGTAGCAGCGGCGGTTCTCAGAGCGCATATGGAGTTCTTTTTTACAGAATGAGGAACCGGGGTTTCACCCGTTCATGGATCAATACCTTCGATCATGGTTACATTCGTACGTCTCTGTTATGTTTCGCTTTACGTCGATGTTGATTGTCTGCTTACTCGTGGTTCGAACAGAGATCAGCTCGTCACACAAAAGAACCGAATTCCACACCGAAGTGTCCGCATCATCTATCACACCTGACCACGGATTGTTGCGTACTGTGCCGATAGGCGGTGGAGAGTTCATCGATTTACAGCCTGATGGGCCTGATGGGAATAGCTTTGATATGATGAAGGGTTTGATATCGACGAAGAAGGGGTAATAGGTAGGAACAATGAGCATGCAGAACTGTTATAATTACACTGGCATACAAAAGACACCCATCTAGATAGGAGCCCCTTCAGTGAATTTACCCGTATTAGACGGACAGCTAAGGGTGACAATGTACCAATAGAGGCGGGCCAGCCCATGTGGGCCCATGGCCATAAGTGTACCATGATAGACGAGTGGGCCGGAGGGTGGTGTGTACCTGTTCCAAACGGATGGGCCGGTGGTATATCTTGTAGATGGTAGTATAGGAATGTACTATATAGGATATCTATGTATATAAATGAATTCAGTGTGCGATGGAGACGAGTGGGCCAAGGGTACAGGGTACAATGGAGACGGGTGGGCCGGGGGTATGGGGTGCACTAGAGTTCAGTGGGCCAGGGATATAGGTGTGATGGGGACGAGTGGGCCGGTATGTGAGGCACAATGGAAGATGAATGGGCTGGGGGGTAAGCTCAATGGAAGATGAGTGGGCCGGGGGGTAAAGCTCGATGATATCCCATCTGGTAGATGATGGAAATTTCTTCCGGTATGGAAGGCGAAGGTGAAATGGATGGTACGGATGAACCGGAAGTGTTAAACGAATGGGCCGGAAGAGCCGGAGGGGCATGAAATGGATGATACAGATGAGCCGGTAGTACATGAAATAGATGAGCCAGATGGGGATGAAATGGATGATACAGATGAGACGGTAGTACATGAAATGGATGATACAGATGAGCCGGTAGTGAATGAAATGGATGAGCAGGATGGGGATGACATGAATGATACAGATGAGACGGTAGTACATGAAATGGATGAGACAGATGAGACGGTAGTACATGAAATGGATGATACAGATGAGCCGGTAGTGAATGAAATGGATGAGCTGGATGGGGATGAAATGGATGATACAGATGAGACGGTAGTACATGACATGGATGATACAGATGAGCCGGTAGTGAATGAAATGGATGAGCCTGATGGGGATGAAATGGATGATACAGATGAGATGGTAGTACATGAAATGTATGATACAGATGAGCCGGTAGTGTTAAACGGATGAGCCGGATGGGGGTGAAATGGATGATACAGATGAGCCGGTAGTGTTAAACGGGCCGGATGGTGATGAAATGTATGATACAGATGGGCCGGTAGTGAATGAAATGACTAAGCCGGTGGTGTGCTGTGTGATAGAGGTGAAGGTGAAATGGATTATACAGATGAGCCGGCAGAGCGCCATCCAGTCCCGCAACATTCTTACTGCTGAATGCATATTATGCAAGTCAAATCATATTGATTGAAAGCATGCAAGGTTGACAACACAATGTAGATGACTAGTACATACAAAAACATGAATGATGTGCTAGTCTTACTGTGTCCAATCACCGGAAGGCTTGCATGGATATCTAGCACTCACTGATTGACCTTGGTGCGACAGAGGTCCATATCGCGGGCATGGCAAAGGAGCCGAGATGGACTGTGCATCAGCTGGCACACTTGATGGCCCGGCGACTGGGAGATCAGGAGATTGCGCAGGTGGTGACCCAACCAGAGGAACAGACCAGCTGGATTCCCTCATTGTCAATGGTGGGATGTTGGTGGGGGTGGATGACACCCGGTTGTGCCTTGCGACTGGTGAGCCATCTGCAGTGTCACCAAATGTATCACCACTGGTCTGGGCACCCATCCAAGATACATCCGGAGTGAAGACATTGTTGGTCACAGTGCGGGCAAACACACTGATGGATGGGCCGGGAGCTGTGATGGGGGGTGGATTGAATGCCGGTGGACTTGATGCTGTCGCTTGACTGGATCTCTGCTCCCTGAGATACCTGACAATGCCTCTTACTTCGGCGGTGCACTCAGAGAGGAGTGCATGCTGCGCATGCATATCCTGCTCGTTGTGATCAATCTGCACCGACATGGCGCTGTCAGATGCCTCTGTGAGGTCCATTCGACGCTCCAGGCAAAGTTGCTGGAAGTCGATTTCCAATCGATCACGTGTACGAAGTTCCTCCATCTCAAGACAAATTTGGGCCAATATGGCCTCCATCTGGTCATGAGAAAGGGGGTGCCGGGTGGATTGACCGGGTCCGGAAGGCGTGGTAGGGGAGGGTGGGCTGTAAACGACAGGTAATGGTGAGAACCGGATGTCGTCCTCTGAGGCCATGGCCGGTGATGGAGGTGGAGGTGGCAACTCATCATTGTTAGGGCTCGATCCAGTGATCAGGAGGGAAATCGTTTGCAGATGCCAAAGGGGCCGATTGTTGTTGGGCACCCATCACATCCACAGTGCCATTGAGCATCTGGACGCTCTCGTCTTCCTCTTGGATAGGACTAGGTTGCTGGATTGTCTTGTCTACAAGCATGCATTAGAATAGAAAGCAACCGGAAGCAAAATACTTGCCTTTCGCATTAGATTTCTGCCCCATCTTTTTTCCGGTGGCTTTGGACTGGGTTGTCTTGGAGTGAGTGGTGACTGCAGTCACAGGGGGTGCAGTGTCGGTGGTGGGGGCAATGGTGGTGCTCGCTGTATCGGTCTGGATGCATGCCATCTTCCAGAGGTGGCACAACAAGCAAGTCGAGGCGACATCACCTTTCTTCGTCAACCAGGGGCAACACTCCACCTTCTTCGCCCGGCATCTGTCACAAGGCGGCAGAGAACCGTCAGTGGGGGGCTATGAGGAATCAGCATGGTAAAAACATAGCAGTGACCAGAAGACTCACCTGTTCTTGGACCTTGGCTTTCCTGCCAGTGCCCTTGCCCTTGGACTGGATGGACTATGGAATAATGTCAGTCTGTATTCGACCTTCGCAGTTACATGCAAATCCTACCAGTTTTTGTCACTTCCCTGGTCGTACAGTGGCCTGCACCAGGATCAGCGATGGACCAGGCAAATATAAAGAAAAATAAAAACTTGCCTTTGATCTGCCTTGTGCCTCTTCATCCTCCTCCAATTCATCTACTTCTTCATCACCCTCACTCACAACCAACCGACTTGCCTTCAGTGTGCCCGGCTTTTTTGCAGGGATGACAGCCTTGCGCATTGATTTCCGGGGCTGTTTTCAGCGTTAGTAATGTCAAATTTACAAAGAAAAAACACTTACCTCGACGTCCGGAAGATCATCGACATCGATGAAGTCGTCATCCTCATCGCCGTCAACTTCCGGTGCCTTGGCCTTGCCTTCCCTTCCCCTTCCCCTTCCCCTTCCCTTCCCTTCCCCTTCCCCTTCCCCTTCCCCTTCCCCTTCCCTTCCCTTCCCCTTCCCCTTCTCAGTGTCAGTGTCAGTGTTGGACAAGATCTCCTTCGACTTGATGACAGGCTTCCGGGACCAGTTGGCACGAGGCAAAGGAGGGCTGGTACTGAGGCAACATTTCCGTGTTTTCGACAGCCCTGCCGGTGCAGGCTCACCAGATGCTGCATGTCTGGGCATGTGAATGCTGACATGTGGTGCAGGTGCCGGGGCACGAGCAGGAGAAGGTGGTGGTGCAGGTGTGGGTGCAGGTGCAGGTGTAGGTACCAGTGCAGTTGCTATTGCAGTCTTAGGTGTGAGTACCGGTGGGATGAGGAGGAAGACACTCACCAGGAGCTGCAGGCGCAATAGGTGGTACATCACCCAATGTCTTACTGTACAATGGGTGCTTCATGCACATGTCCTGATTGTGCCCAAGACGGGTCCAATCCGGTATTTCCACCAATTGTGTGGTGTGCCTCTGAGCGTGAAAGATCTCTGCTGCAAGTGACAGCAGGCCAGGGGGGACATAGGAAGCCTCCTTCCCATAGGTGCGAATCGTGTCATTCTGTGTGACCATAGTATCAATCAAAGCAACTGACAGAGAATGAAACATACCACTTCACGAGCAATCTTCCAGCTCAACTCCATTTTTTCCTCTTGCAATGGCAACTGGATAATGTCTTCAACCATCTCAGTGAGCCGGTGAGGTGATCTCAACCTGGCTGGGCTGATATGAAATATCTAAAAATGCTCAACCAGTATAAGTGAGTCTTGGCTCTGCCTAGCTGCTATACTTGCAGAATGCAAGAATGTTCGACCCTAAAGGGGACTGCTACTGAACACAGAACCAGATGAAATAAAGACCCTTGAAGTGTGATGGATGCGCGAAAGCGCAAGAAGAAAAGCGAAGTGAGCGCGAAGCGCGAGAGAGCGCACTAAGGTAAGCGCGAGCATGGGAACATGAGCGCTAAGGCGCGCGTTGTGCGGAAAATATTGGATAAAGAAACGGATAAGGAAGCGGATGTGCAAAGCGAGTGCAAATGCAGAGCGAGTGTTATAATGAGTGCGGATAAAGGTCTAGTATAGGCGGATAATGATAACCATTGGAAACACAAAGTGCGCCCAAGTGGTGACTACTACTTTAGAGTAAAACCCAATAGCGAGGGAAGTACAGCAAAGGGGAGTAATTTAATGATGGAGTAGTAAGTCAGCAAACTTTATACTATGGAAATCGCATTGGAAGCGGAAGGGATAGGAGCAATAAGCGCTATGAATACATAATGACATGTAATAGCACTGCAATGCTTGTTACAAACCACGAGGCAAGGGATATGATGTACCAATGAGGTGGGTGGACATAGAGGGACATTCCTGGATGATATGCGATGCAGGGCGCTTAAGCGTGAGAAAGCGCGCAAGGTGTGCATGTGGGAATGCTGCACGTTGTGCAGGAAAGTACCGCGCCTATGGCGCGTTTCACGGGAAAGCTGCGTGTTATGTGTAAAACGACTAGAGACATGATAGAAGTTGAATATAGCTGATGGTGCAAGTCGTGCATTGAAGGCCAATTGTCATGAGTTGTGAAAAGGTGCGAAATGTGCCCATATGTGCCTGCAGAAACGCGAGTCTCTACATCGGGCTACAAGAGCTATGAGAGCCTGGTTGGCAGCGGCAGTGGAAGACGCAGAAGTAGAGTGAGAAGACATGGCAGGGAGATGATTGCAGTAGAGACTTAGTGGACAAGTAATCTGGTGTGACAATTATATTGGCGCTAGGCATGTATACCTGCATAAGCCTTCAATAGGTGGACCAAAGCTAGACCTCATATCATTCACTATTCCCCTATACATGGTCTTCAATTGTCTCAGCTATAATCCTTGTCCGATGCTATTCCGCACATTCCCGCACTATGCGCGCACATTCCCGCAGCGCTATTCATGTTCCCACGACTTATCCTGCGCTATTCCCACGCTTATAGCGCTGTCGGAACTACCAGCAATGTGTCTATAGGAGCATTAGTGCATGTCCACTCTATCTAGTGCTTGTTCCCGCGCTTAGCGCTTATCCAGCGCGCTGTTCTCGCGCTCTAGGAATCACCCGAAATGTCGGAATCCATCCATGGTCCATCCTACCTCATTGGTATGTAATTTGCCTTGCCTCGAGTTTGTAAAAGTGCTACAGTCTTATTACATGTATATCCTATCCCTTCTGAGTCCGAGATAGTATAGTTTACTAGTATAAGAAGCCTATGGTGACTACTTCGACATTACTTCCCTTCAACTGTATTTCCTTTCCCTTAGGTTTTACTTAGAAGTAGTCACCCTTTAGTTGCGCTCTATGGCCCCTATTTGACTTTCCTTACCCTTGCAATCAATACCCTTGATCTCACTCGCTATCCAGCACCCTCCTTTGACTCAGTGTCCGCTTTCTTGACTTCCACTCTTTCCTGCGCATTAGTGCTCTATCTTGCGACGCGCTATTCCCGTGATTTAGCGCTCTTTCAGGTCTTTTGATCTTGAGTTGTTCTTAGTAGCTTTTCCCTCGGGTCAAACATTCTTGCATCTTTGTTGCAAGTATAGCAGCATAGGCAGAGCATTAGACATATACTGGCTGAGTACCTTAACAAGTGCCTAGTCAGGTTGTGTTTTTCACACTGGAAGAGACATGTTCAACAACCACCCTTGGGAAAATGTCGGCAACCGGCAACCCGGCCCGACCCGGATATATCCGAGTCCATTGTTCGCTGTCAGTGTCTATTTTTATATCTGAATATCACATTGTGCGGTTCACACGTCATCAGCAATCAATTGTCACTAGCTAACCTGTGATGAAACCATCCGGTCACAGGCACCAGCAGAACATCTATTCTGCCGGTGATCTTATGAAGACCGTGGATTTATACAACCCTTTCATTAAAATGAAAACGAGAAGGATGCGATTGTCCGCCATTGCCAAGCATAATCTACATGTGCCTAGTGAGGACGAAGGTAAGAATTTATCTACTACCACAATGGACCGGTTGACATTATCCGGCATGCCAGTATTTGACACCTTGCAGCCGAGAGGCGAGGAGCGCACTTACAACAACCCTATGATGGATTGTTCAAGCATGGATGAATGTGAGTTCATCTCATGCACAGCAAAGACAATTGACATTACCTTTGAAGACCTAGATGTCATGTCAGCTCATGACCGGCTGAGAGATGGCAATAGATTGAAGACGGTCCACTTTCAAACTGGGGATGACCACCGGTCATTGGACTTGGGTTTTTCTGAGTCAGATGATGACCGGATAACCAACCCTCACAACCACCCACAACTGGACATGTTAGATATGCAATTCCCCACCCTGCCTGACGATGAACAGTCAAATGGTGAGATGTCAGAATTGGGGTTTCCTCCAGAGTCGGACTGTCGGAGATGTGCTAGATTTGGGGTTCAATATCGACGTCAGTGATCCAGGCCGGACACACATATGGGCTGCTGGAAATGGGCTTCAACATGAATCATGTAGATGAATCGCTGGACTTAAGAAATAATATCATGCTGGATGAAAACCCTCTGGAGATGGGTTTCGATATGGATTCGGTGCATGAAAGCCCTCTAGAGATGGGTTTCGATGTGGATCCGGCGCATGTTGACCCGGATCGATCTTGTAAGCCTTCTTGTTGCTCCAGATATCATACTGACCATTGAAATTCAGTCGCTGTCATTCGAACTGGATCCCATTGGATTTGTAATCCAATGGGCTGTAGGCGATTTGCATATAGCAATACACCGGTTGGATATGGACCGGGCTGGTGATGCAATGTCGCCGGACGAGGCCTTTGCAAGACAAGAAGTCCTTGACTGCACACAAGAGTTGTTGCTGGCATGTCAACTGATATCGATATCTCAACTTTCAACATGAAGTATGTATTTCCAGTCATATGCTATCTACACCTATCACTAGAATACTTGTGTGCAAAGATCCAAATTACTACTACTGCATATACTGAGCTTTGTAAGAGGCCTTTGAAGTTCTAAGAGAGCGCTTTGGCTCAGAATCGGTGGTCTGTGCTTCATGTCCTTTGGCTTTCTTGCCGGTGGTCCTTGGGGCAGCGGGTGTTGGTTTGGGCACCGGTGTTTTGTGGTTTTTCTTCTTGGCATGGACACCAGATGTAGGACCAAATGCTCGACTGTTTGAAGGACAAGGATCGTTGTCATGAGCACCAGTTGATTGCGCAGAACTGGTGCTGGCGTTGTTTGGCTGAGATTTCTTTCTTGGAGGCCGACTGTCCGACTCTAAATCAGATTGAATGTGATCAACCCTACCGCGCTTTTTAGTTGGTTTTAATTTAGGTGGCAAAGGAACCGGCACGGATTTCTTGACCGGTGGGTGGGGATCTTCATGCTCTGCAGCAGATGGAGCCGGACTAGCCCTGCTGCGCATGTTGACTGGCCTGGATTTCTTGACCGGTAGGCGATTTGTGACAGGTGTCGACTTTGGAGGTGGCGATGTGCCATCGTCATCATCGTCATTCTCGTCATCATCGTCCTTCTCGTCATCATCGTCCTTCTCGTCATCATCGTCCTTCTCGTCATCATTGTCATCGTCCTTCTTGTTGTCATCCTTCTCTTCATCTTCATCATCCTTGTCCTCGTCCTCACTACTCGACACCTGTTCCACCCTCCCGGTGCGCTTTCTGGTAGACTTTTTCACTGGATCCTTGGGTCTTGTGTCAGAACCGTTTCCGGAAATCACCTCTGCCAGTTCTCTCATCGTCTTATTGTCGCCTTCCCAGCCTTTAAATTCAAAGGTTGGGCGAACATGGCCCTTCTGTCTTTGACACCACAACTCTAACAGCCGGTCAGCATCAGCCAACCAAATCTTTGATAGATCGTCAAGCTTCCAGCCGGTAGGTAAAAATTTGGCTGCGATAAAGTCCCCCTGAGCCTTCCTCACTGAGGCCCAAGGCACAGACACCTTTGGTTGTTGGCTGCACAACCCTGAAAAATAGCCGGTCAGTTGATCAGCTCTCCAGATGCATCATTTGTGAAACTGACTGTAGTGTTTTGTGAGGAACGTCCTGATAAGATGCTTTTTACTCTCAAGGTTAAGCTCTTTCATGTCCAGTATGACCGGAAGCCCATAGCTATCCACCTCTAAAGGATATTCGTCCTTCTTTCCGCCTTTCTTCCTGCCTTTTTTCACCTCCCCCTCACTATCATTGTCATCATTATTCAGGTCAACATCTGGTATCACCCTATGTCGCATAAGTACTTGACTGAACAATGCAAGATTGTCAAACAGAAGCTCACCAAACTCTTCTCCAGCATAGGCATTCCACTCTGATAACATGGGCTTCCAGTCTTTCATATCGGTAAAACTATTGCCCTCCAACTTTTCATTGAAGTCGATTCTTCCAACCGGATCAGTATTCATTTACCGGTTGAGTGTGAAGTGGAACTCACCCATTGATCCGCACTTCGTCTTCCTCTTTCCATGCTGATAATATAAAAATTCTCATACCGGCCTGCTTCCACAACTTGGATGCCAGGTCCTTCATCAAACCAGGTGCTTTCTTCTTTGCAAAGTCCGCCTGGACAGCTGCAGGAGGAGCCTTGGCAGACCACTCAATCAGCAGTGTTCTGAGCTTCCTCCAGCTCCTCTTTAGATAGACTTGCCATGACTGCAGTGAGTGTTGTCTGATATCTTTCAATAAATGTCTTCGATCCTGGCATCGCTCCGGTCTTTTCGATGATCTCCTTCTTGCACAGTTGTTCTATGACTGACCAGGAAGTCCATTTCTGACCCAACTTGCTGACCTTTTTTCGAGTCTTCTCGGGTCTCCGGTTATATAACCAGTCCTGGTACATCTCAATACATCATGATAAAAGTCAGTCATCATGCATAAAATTTGAAGCTCAACTGCTCACATATTTTCTGTTCTTCAATGACCAGTCATCCATAGCAGGGGCATGCACCTTTGCCTCTTTTATGACCGCCTTCAGAATCTTTTTTCTATCATTGGCAGCGGCTTCCTTCCATTTTTCTAGGTGGGATTTTAAGACCAGCACCTCTTCCTCGGTCAATTTCTTCTGTTTGGTCTTTTGTGGGCTGTCGACTGATGAGTTGGATCAGGGCCATGGTAAAGCAGTTGAGGAGCAGTTGAGGTCTTGGTAGAAGAAAGGATGCATGCGTGTCTCACAGTATTAGGTTACATAACCGATGTACGTGACTGCAAACCGAACAAGAGATTGTCCAATACCTGTTTGTTGGTATGATTAGTATGATTCCCTTGACATCCTATGTGTTTCTGATGCATAGAAGAGAACTGTAAAAGCATACATACTTAGACCTGTATTATATAGTATATGGGCAGCATACAGCCCTCAGATACTGCATGCTAGAGACATAACCGATGTACGCGACTGCAAACCGAACAAGAGATTGTCCAATACTTGTTCGTTGATATGATTGGTATGATTCCCTTGACATCCTACGTGTTTCAGATGCATAGAATTGAGAACTGCACAAGCATACATACTTAGACCTGTATTATATGGTATATGGGCAGCATACATCCCTCAAGTACTGCATACAGGCCCTGTGCAATCATATTCCACAACTTGTTCGAGTAAGTATCATCACAAATGACTTTGGAGGCCAACATAAATGTGCATACAAACAGCCGGTGTCCCGAAGATCAAACAAGAAGCTTGTTTGTGTCCATAGAGTGGGTTATCAGGTTCAAACTGTTCTCTCAGAGCATGTTTTGCAATGCTAGTGCCCTCAACTGAAGGATTATCAATGTATTCACTTTGTCAGACTCATCAATCATCCAATCGAAAGAAGCATGTATTACTGCTGAACCCTCTTAATTAACTGGATCACCTTTCTTAGACCAACACTCTGGAACACTGGCTAGACAGAAGTATTTGAACCTTGAAATGTAACCTCCGGTCGACGTACTTTATCAAGTCAATTGTCATCTAACCTGAACATGAAATTCATGCGACTTGTGTTAATAGCAGGATTACATTGTTTGTTAGATGATGCAACTATGGCAACCCTCAGTGACTCCAACCTTAATATATACCAAACGGAGGTAATATTACAAGATCATCAGGAACAATGTGGTAATCCCGACCGTTCAAACCATTCAGAGTCTGGACAACACCGGATCAATCAGTCCCTTCATGAATGATTGGGTCATTCAATGACTAACAAGGGAAAATGTGGTAATCTCGATGGTTCAAATCACCTGGAGTCCGGAAAATCGATGGAAGCACCCGAGTCATCAAGTGTTCAGCATACTTATCCTGTCCAGTTGTAGTATCAACATGCCAAAGACCAAACAAAAGGGAATCACATACACCCCTCCTACGAAGACACGATTGCCTCAGCTGTATAAGCTCAAGGAAACAACTACAACTAGAGGATCCAGGTCATCTTGGGTGAAAGATTCATGGGCTCGGAAAACAAAATCAGTAACATCATCACCAACAAAATCACCCTCGAAGCATATACCTGGGTCCCCTCACTTGCTGTATGAAGGTGCCGATTTTGACTTTGACCAAGGTGACATCCCACAGCCAAAATTTCCGAAATCTCTGGCAAGCAACAGTCATCTTCATTTCCTGAGTCTGGCTCTGACCAGATCACACAGAGTCAGAATGCATATTTCCAGCAATGGAAGTGCAAGTTCAAGGACTACATAAATTCACTCATGGTCAGAGAAGCTCCTCCACCCGACCGACTTTGTTCAGTCTGCAAGAAGGATGGGGTGTATAGACGTCATGGCTGTTTCAACGAGCCACTCTTTTGCACAGACTGTTGCAGAATTCAGCATCAAAGACATCCATTCCATCGCATCAGTCAATGGACCGGATCATTTTTTCAACTTCACTCATTAAAGTTGGCCTGCACATTCACCTTGCTTACGATGGCACACCATATCCCAGCAGCAGCACGGATTACTCATCCGATGTCTTTCAATGGTCAGATACCGATGACGATATAGATGATGATTACCCAGAGGGACCTTTCATTCCACTGGTCAGAGACCCGGATCAGCCAGCAATAACTGTGGTAGACAAGTCCGGTGTTCACTCCCTTTCCATATGTTATTGCCACTGCCCTGGTGCTCTCAGCCGAGACATGCAGCTCTTTCAAGCCGGCTTGTTCCCGGCATCTTTCACCAGACCAAAAACTGCATTCACATTCGCTGTCTTGGACAACTTTCTGTTAGACAATCTCGAGTGCGGTACATCGGCCATGAATTACTACAGCAAAATTCGCAGACTAACACCGAGCATCTTTCCACTAATGGTTCCGGTGAGCTTGGTTTCACTTGGTATTTCACCATCCTGGTCATTAAAGAACAATATCTGTAGGATCGCTACAGAGAGCTCATGAGAGCCGCCAGGCAGTGGCGACAATGCAAGCTTTACAAGTGGCATGGATTTGCCCACAAAGATGACCAGCCAAAGGACGGCGATCTTGCCCTATTTTGCCCGGCATGTCCACAACCGGGTATAAACTTGGACCTGTCTACCGGTACAGTCGCCCAGTCAGATGATACACCTTCCTGGCTCATGACTAGATATTTGGTCATGGATGGAAATTTCAAAGCGGAGCACATGCATCCAGTGAATCCATCCGACGAAGTATCATTGATGGATGGCCTGGGATTCATGGTCTCCGATGAAAGATACAAGAGGCATTTAGCCACTGCTTGAGACCATGTCCAAAGGTCAGATTGCAATAATCACCGAGCAGTAAACCAAGCAAACACCTCACGGCAAAGGCTGGAGGCCACCGGTATAGGAGGATGTGCATGTGCACGGCATGGATGTTTCGTCCCCACATTCGATGGTGGACTTTCAGAAAGGCAAAAGGTTGGTACATATTGCATCCAGTCACATCAATGGCTGATCTTACAACTCTTACCCGGAATGATCAGGCAGATGAACATGGACTATGCATTAAGTCAAGTGCTCAACTATAAGACAGACGGAATCTCTCGCGCCATTACATTCTATGACATAAATTGTCAGTATAACAAGTATTTGAAGGACCAGATCACTTCAAGCATGTATCTTTCCATCCCCATCGGTATGGATATCATTCCTGGAATAGGTTTGTGGCATGTCCATGGACATCAAGACAGCTGCTTTGTCTGGTATGCATTAAATTTCATCCATGGCACCGGCAGGATAGATGGAGAGATCATGGAGACCCTCTGGGCTCCTATGAATATAATCTCTCCATCGGCCAGGGGCATGGGAACTCCCCATCGCAAGGAGGTATTGGATTATCAGATGAATGATTGCAACTTCATGAAAATGATTCGTATAAGTAAGTCGCCAACCTCCGCATGTACATATATTGTCCGTACTCATACAATGCATGTCCGGTAGCCAAGTTTCTGTCCAGGAAGTTGAAAGAGGCTATCAAGGGTGCTGCGGAGAGCAAACTTGCGTTTGATAATCTCAATGAGACAGCCCAGCCTGACATGGTCATTATATGGAAGGAAGAGGAGGCACTCGCTCATGCAAACAGAGCGGAGGATCCTGCAGCTATGGACATCTATGAGGTCCAGTTGGAAAGGGGCAAGTGTCTACTGTTATTGATTGTCCGGCATGTCTGATCACATGGTCGTGCAGCTCCAACAAGAAAACAGCAGGAGTTGCGCCTGTTGCAGGCTCAAAATCACCCTGAACATCCGGTCATCAACCCCCCTGGTCGACGAGGAGCTGCCACTTGGCTTGCAACCGGTCTCACTATAGAGGAATCCCAAGTATCTCTCTCCAGGGATGTGAAAAGGTTATGAATGCACCCCACAGATATGCAATTGTTGAAAGTGGCACGATGCCGGGATAAGCTTCACACTCAGATTACGAGCTTTCTGGAGATGGCACCTACTTATCTTGGAGTCGATGTCGATGTCAATGACCCGGAGTTTCCAGTGATTGTTCACAATTCACTCGATGATAATTATGAAGATTACTCTGATATCGACGAAGATCAAAATCCCGGTCCGGACATTCACAATGCTTCCATATTTCAACCGGAGCTCACCGTCATACCTCTGCCATCCAACATTGGTGAAGTGAGGTGCAGGGAGTTAGGTCTCACCAATCTCATGAAAGAAGAAATTGCCCTACGAGAAGGCCAGGCCAATGACACACTCCATGCCATTAGAGTTCATTTAGGGGATAAAGTTGTTATATTCCGCAATACTGTCTGGTCAGTCAAGTCACAGGCTTCATCTACTAGGGCACGGACTCGAGTTTGCTCAGTGGAAACAGCAGTCAATCTCAATGCTAGTATATATTCGAAAATGCCGGTCACAGTTGGCAAAGCTCCCTGACCACAACCTCTTGAAGAAATATCTTCCTTTGAAGAAAGAAGACCTGAAGGCCAGCTCTGCAGTGGCTGATCCAAATGCACGTGGTCAAAAGGATACCACTCTTTCATGGTTCTGGTCCTTGGATGTTCAGGGAGACACATCCGGAAATGATTGGATGACAGAATGTGAGTGTCCGGTGCCTCCGGTTACAGCGGGTTGTCCGGTCTCACATGTTCTAATAATAGTTTACCGGGTTAATTGGCTCTGGACAAAAGCACTGCGCGACCGGTGGAACGAGGAGGTTATTATTGTCAAACATGAAATGCAGTGGTCAATTAATTTCTTTAAACGTTGAGCCAAGCAATGGCTTGGTCACATGCACAATGCAACTGCTGCAGGGCTCACCGGACATACATGTTATGCTGCCCGACAATCTCACATATATGACCAACTAGCAGCACATGCAGAGGATTCTTTTCGCAAAATGATTGTTCAGCTACAAGTACCAGTATCGGTTGAGATGGTTGGTGGTACCAGTTAGTTACATAATTGTGGTTACCTGTTGATAATACCTGTTATGTAATATATGCGTGTGTTGGCATATAAATAATCCTAGTGTGTCGGTCACACTATAGCCTCACATTTCTCTCCATGAACAATACTACGACTCTCATCCCCTCTGACCAAATAGTCATTGCCACCAAGGGCAATCACATCACAGCTGCAGATATCTCTCGTGCACTGTTTTATGCCAATTCCCGGATGCTGGACCATGTGCCTGCATGTTGACAAGAGTTTTTCCCTGGGCCATGCCTGGTTATGCAGAGGCTTTCTACACCCTGATAAAATGGGAGATGGAGGTGGGTGGCCAGCCATGCTGATACTCCCATACCCTCATCTTTGTCTCTTTCATATAGACCTTTGTAATGCCTTTCATTAACATATGTTTTATTACCCGGTTGTCCGCTACTATTCCTCAACTTCTCAAGGATGTGCTCTCCACCATGACCGCACACACTTTGGTGGACCGGCGACCAGATGTTAATGCCATTTGCAGGATATCCGTGCATTGCGCATTTCTGCTGATTCAATCAAATCAGATGACTATGATATTGCTCATATGCTGGACTACTTCAATGACTGGTGGAAGGAGCCGCTTGGTTGTTGCAGGGTTTCAGATATGTTGCCCAAGTCATCTGTCCAAGATGTTATGGATTTGGTTGCATGGCACTTTTCACACCTGGTCAATCAGTCCATATGATCTTCTTAACACCAGATACTAACACCATACATGATAGCCTGATCATGTGAGGACCAGCCTTCTCCCATATATTGTACAAGGTCCGGATAATCTGCCGGAGACAATTGGTTTGTGCCACCAGACACAAATTGGGAGGGAGTTGCTGGACATGTTGCAGCTAAGGATGGTGAATCTTAGGCGTTCAAGTGACCGGTTGACCAGCTTGGTTGGGCCGATTGATGAAATCACCCAGGCTGTATCATCCTCACAGGCACTCATTGACAGGTTAAATACAGATGACAGTGCCTCCATGTAGTAACAGTTAAGCACACCCTAATGTCTGCTGGTATCCGGCCAATCTATTATACAATCATGTCATGTGTACCAGCATGTAAATGAAGTCTGTCCATGCAATCAGAGGTCATGCGAAAGTGGAGCTATTTTCTCCAATTGATATATCAGTGGTGCTTTCCTGTCACTTGATTGAATTGGCAAGCCATGGTTACAATTCCACTTGAACTGGGCCTTGTACCAGACATACCTTGCTGGTGAATTGGTGCATGAGATTTTCATGTCTACAATTCTTCACCGACCGGTAAAGGATATGGACCTTGGGCTCTTGGATATTGACACTTGCATTGCTTTGGAGCAGCTCGCCAATGTGATGGCTACTGCTTACTCTAACACCGGTAGGTATTCCAGCTCATTTATCTGTTCTGGTCAACTAATTTGCAGACAGTTCATCTTAAAATAGATATGGTTAGATACAATGACGCCCTGGACAAAGATGAATCCGGTCGAAGTGAGAAACGAGAGGAGAATCTTTTCAATAGATTCCTCCCTGAAGAGGAGCGTTTCTTGACAACCCCATCCGTTGGCATTGATTCCAGCGGTAGAATCATTGCCTGGTATTTGCCTGGAGCACTGACCGCTATAATAATGGTCTGTTTTTTGTGCATCTCCATGTCAAATTATCTTACCCAGATATATGACACAGAAAGATATTCATGGTGCCACAGATTCCATGAGTGGTTTGTTGAAGCATAGCATCACAACAAGCAAGATTGCTCAATGGAGGACCCACCGGTCTAACTTCCATACAAGTCCAGATGGGATGGTCACCCCCCGGTTGCATCAATATATCCCCTGCATGGTTTCAGCAAGGAAGAGAGGTGCGTCCGGTCAGCATGCATTGAAATCTCTTGTATGAAGTATTGTAGAAAACACGGCTTTCCAAATCTTGACCCTGAAGATGGCTTCTCGCCAGAGGTATCAGTGGCACTGAAAGGTGATGCCAGTCGTAACATTATGATATCCCTTCAAAGGTCCGGTATCATCATCTCTGCTGCACTTCGAGTCATGCACCCTGATCTTTATTGGGCCGGAATGGAAATTCAAGTCAGGCTGGGTGTATGGGCTGCCAGATATGAATTAGACGAGATGCACTATCATCTTCAACGCTGGACATCCGTCTTTAATGTGGTATCGATCATATGCAATCACCGGTCACCCCCTCATAGAGATCCCCAAATGTCGACCAGCAGCATTTGATATCATGACGACCGCCGGTATTTATCACCCGGTCATCATGGACTTTATGAATCTTGGGATCAAGTTTCTATATGACTCTGGCTCAATGCTGGCTTCATCATGTCGACTGGTGAGACATTACATGGATGTGGAAGAGGGCAACCGGATTGTGACTGCATGGTACATGCGTAGTGTTGCCGCGGCTCCGGCTCTGGCCGGCTTTAGCCGTGAGCGGAGCTTTAGTTAGCCAAACCGTGTATGTAGTTATAGCTTATGTAATTAGTAGCTTGGTCTAGTTAATGGAGCCGCATTTAAGGTCTTCAAGCCAGCTCTAGTAGAATAATAATAATAATAATAATAATATATATATATAATATTGTGCTACAGGGGGTGTTGGAGGAGATGCTGTTGATGCCGGAGACGTTGATGGTGAATAACTTGGTAATGGCGTGTTGGATGATGTGGGTGGTGTGATGTAGGAAGAGTTGGGGCGGAGGGAATTTTGGGATACCTGGTGAAGACGAAGCTGAAATGATGCGAGTCCCATACCTGGGGGTGTTGGAGGAGATACCGTTGATGCTGGAGACGTTGGTGTTGAATAACTTGGTGATGGTGTGTCCGCTGATGTGGGTGGTGTGATGTAGGAAGAGTTGGGCGGAGGGAAATCAGGCTTTGGCGGTGAAGGATAACAATGGCCATATGTAGGCGTAGGTGCCAAAGTGGTTGGAGGAAGTGGGAAGGGGATCTGTGGTAGGAGGAGGGGTTGTCTTAGATGATGAGGGAAGAATGTAAGTTGGGAAAGGTCCTTGACCTACAAAATCCTTCTTGACCATGTCCTCGAACTCCCTAAGCGTCACTGGATCCACATTGAGCTCCCAATCCAGATACTGACGCATCTTGCGCTCTATCTGAAGCCCACAGGCTTTTCGGCCCACCGCATGCATCTGATCCTGAAAAGTTTCAAGGTGAGCTGTGATGGGCGGGAGGGCACAGATCAGGAAGCCCTGTGTACCTTTAAGCATTGGAAGGGCAAGCATAGACTGCGGCCCTCATGCGAGAGGATGAGGCGGAGGAATGTCGTAGGTGAAGCGCGATTTGGTACCTTGTATGGTGTGTACTTGAGCGAGGAGCTCAAATACTGAAGGTTTGCTGTGTGCCGTGCTCGCGAAGCATGGAGGCTGCATAAATAACTCAGTATATTTGGATGCGATGGAAGCAAAGAATAACTCACCAATAAGTTGTGTTCATCTGCGACAAGTAAACGGGATATGGCGGAATGGCGGTACTGTCGTGACCAGTGAGGCTAGAATTTACTAAGTCTAAGATGCCCGTCGGCGGGACTTAAAGAGAGCGCCCAGCCGAGAATAAGTTACTAAAAATAGATTATCACCTTGATCTACGGCCAGCAAGCTATCGATATCTACTACTACAGGATCTATAATCATTGTCAATCGACATATAACAATTCAAGTACCTATGGGTCCCCAAGATAACATACGTGGTCCGATGAATGTTGATCAAAATCTAAAGTAAATGTTAGTTGTACTGCAGTGTTGTTTGCGCGCGATACTTACGAGAGCAACAGATGACTGAGCGACAGCACAGAGCCGAAAGACAAGCCGCAGGACAGAGACTTGGAGGGGAGAGAGCAGAGCAGAGTAGAGAGAGAGCAGGGGAGAGAGGAGGGGAAAGAGGGGAAAGAGCAAGGGAGAGAGGAGAGGAAGGAGGAGGTCGTATGCCGCGGAGATCGAGGTGGCGATATTGGTTGTTGAGGATGTTGGGGAGGCAGGAATAGAAGCGGCTGTTGTAGGACAGGTCCAATATGGGTTCTACAAATGTAGCAGTACACCATGACCACGATTGTACGCAAACTTCATGCTGGGAGCTCGAACTTCTGCCGTGGAGGACTCTGGGAATGACATCTTGCACGCCTTGGCCTGGATCCTGCTCTTGATAATTTACCAGACGAAGATATCAATAGGCTCTTTCGAACGCATCACGAAGGTGAAGTCGATGCGAGACCACAACTCCAAACCGTGACAAGAAAGTAGCCTTAGCGTTCGAGACGATATCTGGAGCGAATCAGGTTGACCTTTCTCGAGTGACGCTACTACAGATGACACAAGCCTTGAAGCCGGAGCGAGTCATAGTACACCTGATGTTGACGGACCTCTAAAGGATGTTCAGTACCAACTCGAGTCTCGTCTTCAAGCTATCACAGAGTCAAGTGAGGCGGAAGACTTGAAAGTAGAAAAAGATCATATGACATTGATGAGCATGCATTTGGCGCAGGGATCATGTTATAAAAGACCCACTTTGTAAAGTAAACGTAGAAGAAGTCGAGGTAAAGCCCGGTTTGCACCAGTCCAGGCTGTGACAGCTATGGGATCCACCACGTCCTCCATAAAGTATCTGGAGGGCAAAATTGTTCGAACCATAAACAGAATCCACCGAACGCGTGCATACCTATATATCCAGTTGGGAAGGTACAGAGCACGATAAAGACCCAGAGCAGCCAAATAGTGTGTTGTAATTGTCTCCCGCCTCGCCAGTACGCTGCAACATGAACAACTGGGGGAAAATGGCGACAGATTCGAGATATATAGAAAATGTCCAGAGAATTTCGGTTGGCTCGAACACATAGTTGAATATCAGTGATAGAAAGAAGGATGGCCCAAGAAGATATTCAATCTTGAACGTGTCAATGGAGGTGTCATGCGTCGGACTATCAAAACCAAGGTCAATATTCATGCGGAAGGCAGTCATTAGTGAGTACGAACCGGAAACGGTACGTCATGATGTAGAGGATGTGACAACTACTGCTTATGAAGAATAGCTTCATGACGAAGTTGTAAACAGACACCCAGCGAAATAGCAGGTCGATGTAGCGTGTCATGAATACGAGGGCGTAGAGAGCCTGTGTCTTGAATGAAATACCTAGCAGACATGGGACACGCTTGAGAAAGGACAAATCTGTGAATCAACATTGAACGCTTTGAGGGTGACCGTCTTCGACATTGAGACTCCATTGAAGATTGTTCCGAGAGCAGTCAGCCTGAGGGAGGAAGTAGAAATCAATCGCTTTATCATAGTCCTTCGCGGAAAAGGCTCACCTCTGGCGGAAAGCGGCTTGGGCGTCAGAATGACAAGCACAGACGAGTGCAGATACAGATATCGAGTCAATCGTGTGGTTGGCTTCGTCAAATATCCATTGAGCTCAAGCTTGCGCGATTCCGGCAATTTTTCCGTGTTCTAAAAAAACCGCATCAATCAGCAAGAAGAACAGCGATATGGAAAATCGACTCACTTCCACAAACTGTGCGAACACCGGATTGGAGCTCTTCTCTTTTTCGAACTCATACTTGCCATACAGTTGGTGAGCACCATAGCTTACGAAGGGTGCGAAATGCGGCACAGAATCCAGAAGGATGTCCCCGATGTGCTCCACGACAGTGTACGACTTTTGTTGCTTGTTGAGTGCGTCTCGAAGGCGGGTATTTACTGTGATGATTTCGTGGATGTTCCAGAAGACCTGTGTGATGAAGTCCGCATGACGTTCAGCGGGGATGATGTCACTATCTTTCAGCCCATTTATCCAGACCTGTGCAGAATGTGGTGCAGAGTACATGAGAGCGGTGTCGAGTTGGATGAATGTAGGGTTAGCGCTAATTTAAACGGTCGAACTTTGGGCGATGTGAAGTCCAGTCATAACAGAAAGGGCGACTCATTGAACTGATAAGTAGTATTAACACTTTGCTCGAATCATACAAACGTAAAGATACTCACATTTAAAGTGGGTATAATTCGGTGGCCTTTTCTTTCGATGCGGCGATCACGCCAATAAGGATAAATGGCTTTCACCAGGTGCAGTAAGTAGAGCAAGGTTGTGGTATCCAAGTCGGTACCGTAGTGAACATGGCAAACATAGAGGGGCGGTAGTGGGGGAAGAGAATGCTTCTTGATAGTCTGTAAATGAGGAAATGTCATATGCCGGACTCGAGGCCCTGTGTAGACGCATCAGCGTGCAATATTGTAGTCAGGTAAATCAACTTGCATGGTGCAAAAACTCCGTTGTGTCATGGGTGACCTTCTCAAAGATGCCCATTACAAGGCTCAAACTCGTCTTCCGTATGCTGTGTGCGAGGAGCCCTCAAATGAGCAGGGGGGATTCCCAATTAACGCCTATGGTGAATGACATGAGGTCACTAACCCTGGTATTCTGCCGAGTTTGGGGGGATTCCCAATGAACGAGGGTGGAAGACTGAATGGGTCCTCCTGGTCAGCTGGCAGTGAACAACATGAGGTCACTTACAGCCGGAATTTTGCCTGACAAATGAACCTTAGGTCAGACCGCCTATGGTGAACGACATGAAGGTCACTATACCTCTGGTATTCTGCCTGAGGAAATCATTCTTTATGTCGGCCATGATCACTAAAGATGAATCTTCAGAAGTATGTCCTTGACTACCAGATGGCCGAGGCGGCCCAGAGTTTGAGCTGTAATTAATGTAAGGAGGACGCAAAAAAATATTTGAGGCAGAATGCTTCATTCCCGATGACACTGGCAGCTGTACCACTAGTGGTCTAGAATTTTCATCCTGCAAACAAGTGCAGATGAGCACAAATGAGTACAGACGGGCACAAATGAGTGAAGATGGGCACGCACAAGTGCAGACGGGCACAAACGAGTGAGGGCTCGCTAAGACCAAATGAAGATAGTCAAGGAAGATAGAACAGTTCACAATTGAAATCACGATATGATGCAAGAAACATTGCAAGATGCCAGGCAAACAGAAGTAAGAGCAGTGTAAGAAGGAGTGAAACAAAATCCACAACAATTGAGCAGGAAAAGCAAACATCACAAGTCGTAGGTAGTAGGAGCATCGTCATATCATCACACTCCCTCCTCTGCAATAGCTCTGAGGAGAGTGTTGCATACATCACCTGTCATTCCTTCTGCCGCTGGAAAATGCCAAAGGATCGTTAGTCCTGGCCCTCCGTTGCCCAACATCCCATACTCC